CCTATCGGCCTTGTATGCGACCATCAGGAAGCAGTGGGCACTTGGATGAAAAGTTATCTCGCACCAAAATATGTTATGTCAAGGGATGTCTGCTCAACTACAGAAGTCCTGTAGACCCGAAGTGCCATTGAAATTGCAAATTCCAATGTGAGACACAACCAAAGAACAGGCTATGGTGAAGGTGAACACTAATACTATGACATGACTGTCAAATTTCACGAAGGTTCTCTCCCTTGAGGTTTTCCTCCATTCTGGACAGTAGATTTCGGTTGTGATTTTGAACCCAGGTCGAGGTAACTTCTCGCTTCTTTCCATTGTCCTTTTTACCTGTAACGACTAATGTAGCATGGTTAGAAAACCACAATTCATCTTGTGTGATTGGTAGATTTTGATTACCTGTTCGTGCATAATGATAAATCAAGTCGTCCACGTTTCCGATTCTATGACCACACTTCTGAAGGTGTCGTTTCGCCCGGTCTTCACACAATGGGTTCTTGGAAAACACCGGGTTGGGACAATCGTCAGAGGGACACCTCAGAATGTAGTATCCAGATGTATGGATGTTTCGGTACTCGAAGATCCAATAGTTTTTGTTGCGGAGCACGGAGGTTTTGATCGTACCCTGTGTAGTCTTGATGGGTCGCAACCTCGATGGGCGGGGGCGTGAGCAAGGTTTACCCAATGTGTCGTCAGACTCCGTGGTCCGAATATTCGATGCTGACTTTAATGGCGGTGGAGAAAGCTTGGAAAGCAATGGCTTCCTTATTTCAGAACTATCTTCCTGGCACTATCATTTGTTAGCAGGTATTATGTAGAAATACACACATCAGTTCAACAAAATACATGACTCACATTACTCGCATTGTCGAGCAAGTGGCTTGAAAGGGACGTCTCAATAAACGTTTCGCTGCCCCTCTCACATTGCGGTTTATACGAGAATAATATGCCACGAGAAACATGGGTTCCACGTGAATTATCCGGTATTAGGTATCCTTGCCGTAGCTCATCAGCAATATGAGGGTACTGACGGCCGAGTCTTTCAATAATTTCAGTCCTTCGGGACTCGAGATGGTCGCTGTGCGCTTTGAAGGCGTCGACAGCATTGATGGCAGCTTCACGGAACGTCCTGTTAGCTTCCTTCAAGCACTGCTTGACTTCTGTGAGCTCCAGTTCTGCTCGGGCTTTGGCCTCGAATTCTTCTTCGGTCATTTCGTTGTTGGGTGGTTCAGCCATTGTTGAAGCTGCGGAGATGGGTGTAAAGCCCGTACAAGGCAGGCTCGGGGTGTGGTGGGTCGTTATCAGTCCAGAAGAAGCGCTCGAAAATAACTTTTCTGTTCGGGAACTGGAAAAACGGGTGGGGTACTTCTCTGAATTCGCTGTGATGCATTCATAGCGCACCCATGAATTGCCCAGGTAGGTAGAAAGATTGATCGCCCACCAATCATAAATATGCAGGGGCGTTGTTGGTTCGAGTTAACGCCCAACTGCACCGTCGCCCTGTTATGTGATAAGATCATTACTCGTGCGTCGCGTTTTTGGCCCCCAAATACTACACCCTGTCCAAATATTCACGGCTTTCCCTTATTATTGTGTGCGTACGTGTGAATGTCTAGAAGACGCGACAAGTATCACAACCTAGCCGCTCAGTTCGTCGAACTGAGCTTCCACAGCTACGAACCATCGATGGTATCTCATTTCCATCGCGTGTTCCTTTTTAATTCAATTTGACTTTTTATCAAAGTACAATATCTCTGTTCGACATCCATTGTGACACTGACAACAACGCAAAAGAGTTGGTTTACGACCAGACATTATCTTTACCAAAGATGTCCCGATTCCAGGCTGTAAATTCCGCCTCGCACAATGCAAGCTCACTGGAGTCCAAATCTGTGTCCGTATTCTATTATTCGAGCCTTTTACCCAGATATACCACTTGCACTAACCATGAGTCCACTCAGCACACTCGGAATCGACTTCGGCAGCACGAGCACCCGAGCCTTTCTCTGGTGTCCAGAAGAAAACAAGGAGTATTACATCGAGAGCACAAGCAAAGCCAGGAATAATCATCGATTCTCCGCTGGCGACTTTTCGTCGGTTGGCTATCCTTTTGATGACGGCGAAGTCTATCTGGGCCAGAAAATCGATGCTTCTCGGCAGTCAATCTCGCTGAAATACGCCTTCTACGTATTGGCCAATGCACCAGCCGACCTTGCGAGCCAATACCAGGTGTCCGAACCTCTTCGCCGCCGTCAGAGGGAGCCGGATTTCTTGGTTCGGTTACAAGAAGGAATAAGTCAGCTCTTCAATACGATATACCATCGTGTTGTCGAAGTATGCAGAGAGGAGAGGCTCCGAGTCACCACCATTGGCTTATCCGTCCCGTCACAGTGGACCTTGGACTTTATGGACCTTTATCGAGGCATTGTCAGTGACGCATTCAGACACGACCCAAAATCTATCTACTTTGTCACAGAGGTAGAAGCACTTGCACATTTCTTATTCGCAAGGAAGGTGAATCGCTTGATTCCACTGGAGGACAGTGTTCAAAATGCCATTGTGGTAATACTCGATTTCGGGGGCCACACCATGGTTAGTTACCATTGCCCCAAAGCACTTTTGCACCTAATTAAAGCTTCTCCACAAGAACACTTGCACGCTCAAGCTTGTGCATGACTCCAATGGGCTTCCTGCTTTCTATCTAATTGGAGAGCCTGAAGGTGGGACTATTTGCTGTGTGGTAAATTTGACGACTGATGCTGACCCGACGATATTAGGTGTATCAGGAGGGAGCGAGCTATGGGAATTGCTCTTGGTCGAGACGAGTCTGGAAATCTTGCAGCGCGAACATAATATCGTGCCATCTGGTGCGAATAGACAAAAACTTCTCGATTCGATCAATAATGCCAAATACGAACTGGGACCACAGTACGAGAACAAGGATTTTGATCATATTGTTCGAGACGGCAAGAAGGATTACATGATTGGTCTTGATGAGTCATGTGTAACAAACTGTTTTGACAAAGCCCTCAGAAAGCCCCTGGCTTTGGCCGCTACCCGAATCAGAGATGCTGCAACAACTCTGAAGCTGGACAATCAGATTGATGCTCCGGATATTATGCTTAAACCACGAGTCATTTTGTCCGGGGGTACCGCAAGCCATCAGGGTCTTGCAAGAATGATCGAGGACATATGCCGCAGAAACGGGCTTGATAAGCACGTTGCAACGGACGATATCAGAATCCATTACGAGTAAGATTGCTCTTCCCAAAGATATGTCTCAAAGGGGGAAAATCACTAACTGAAACACCAGCTCTGTGAAAATTGCCAGCGGTGCTGCATTTGCTGTTGCCTCTTCCCTGACAGTGGAGAAGTTCTTGCAAAGAGGTGCAGCTTTCGGTCTCCAGATGCGACAGCCGGTGAATCCGGGCAGTACGGAGTCAGAGCATAAATGGGACAATACAGCATATTTTCTGTGGAGCTTGGTCAGTCTATTCGTTCATATGACATCCTTTATTCAATATAAAGTCTTACTTATTCTCAGCGGAAGCCGAATCAACCGCTTGACATTTTTGTTACGGGAAGAGACGAACTGAAGATTATTTGTGACCCATTCTTCGAAAAAGAACATGGGAACCAAAAGAAAGAATTGCACTATGACAAGTGTTACGACTTTGTTTCCCTCGGACGACCTACCAAAGGAACCTGGACCTTTTCATTGGACCTAGTTGGTGAAGATGATAAGATACGGCTAATCATCCGCACATCGAGGCAATTTGGCAATTCGAGACCGCAGTCATACGAACCTGTCGGCCTTTTATTGCACTATAATCGAGGTAGTAACAGTATACATCCTGGTAGGGAATCCTGTGACTCTACCGAGGATCCAGACATCTTGGCCCTCAAGTACTATCCGGAACGTGTACGAGAGCAGGAGCAAGATACACGAGATCTTGTGGTCCCTGGCACACGACGTATGGTTGCTCGCCGAGGGAGGAGTCGGAAGATGCCTCGATCCACCACTTTCCCGGACAGGGTAGCTCGACGGGGGGCGCGCCGCTGTTAAATCGGTGTACGAATAGAGGGGGTGGGGGGTTTTCAAGTATTGTACTTGCATCATTGTCGATAATGCAGATTGAGTGTCTGCACCAGAAGTTTCAAATCAAATGTTTCATTATTGTTGACTTGAAATATTCAGAGTAGTGTGTGCTGCGTGGCTGCTGTCTGCGTACGAATATGGTATCCATGCCGCCGTGCATAATGACGGATCTGTAGTTGAAGTTTAAGTACGACGCAGCCTCATCAGATCCAATCTTCTGATTTATGCTCTCGTCATGGTCAAGTACTTTAAGTAGGCAGTGGCAAGGTAGTCAGCCATCTCAGTCTGATGTGCCTAAGCCAGGAGGGACCTGACAAGACTATATTGCCCTATTAGCCTAGCTACCAGTGTGGAGCTTCACATGTTGGTCTGCTGGCGCAGTGACCAGATACGACAGATTGATATGCCCAAGGAAACATACTCCTTCTGGGCGACAGTGTGCATCGATACCTTCCATGACGAGTTTGACTCTCCAAGACAGATTCTAAGCTACATGTATGCAAGTATTAAAACCTAACTCACTAGCTGAAGGATCTCGCATCTCCGGCCTGCTCGAAAGCTATAGCCATGAACGGTAACCTATTGGTGCAAGTGTCGTCGAATATGCCAATCAAAGAACGCGCGACCATGTTGCCATATTCAAACACTCGGGATTATTGGAAAGCACTGTCGAAGTGACAATGGGCAAGACGAAAGCTTCCGAGGTAGCCAGGGCAGAGGGCACCCAGAAATGCGAGGATCTACCGCGCTCATGCGACTCATTGTCAGAAGCTACAATGGGCTTGGCACCGAGATGAATCATAAGCTGAGATACTAAAGCCATACAGGGACCAACATAGAAAAGTGAATGACAAAGGTTGTATCTTTATTCAGCCCAATCGGTTCATAGGTTGGTGGGAATTCTCATTGATACTAGGCTGCGAAGAGAAGCTGCTAGAGGTGTTGACACGGGTCCATCAGGGCCACTACTCATTCAATCATATTTGCTTTATATTGCACGACACCCTAGTAGTATAAATGATATCTCGCGACAAACCAGGCAATGTAAAGTCTTCGGCGCTAAGTTGTGCTTGTTAGGACACATGAAGATCAAATATTAAGTGGAGGTCGCCATGAGAGACGAGAAAGCATGTATATAGGGGTGATGGAAAGCTGCCAGCCGCCACTTGATCGTAGCCTTGATTCCTCTCAACAGCCCAGAAGCAAAAGAAACAGATAGCAAGCATATCTTGCAGGCGAAGCCGTAGTATCGCAATGAAAGGCACTTTCTCTCTCAAAACACCCGTGATCGACAAAACAAGCTCTGCCGAACTACTGTACTAGAGGCGATCAGCTTCACACTCCGCTAGTACCAATGGGCCCAGATATGCTATGTTTACGTTACGGATGTGTGGATAGGTAGGCAGCAATTGGATTAACGAGCCGGCCCATCCGCGTGGCAGTCGGGGTCTGAGAAAATTGAGTGATTTATCCGAGAAAGTGCCGTACAAGGATATTAGGTGCGTGTGAGCCAGAAAAGGGTGCTTATTGCCACTGACTCAACCACCGGTTCCTGTCGTGCAGGAAACGGATCTCGCACTCCAAACCCTTTCGTTCACCTTCCATCTAAGAGATCATGTAGTCCTGGACAACTACATAGCTCATAGTTAGTTCTTGGCGTTTTGATACTGCACAAAAAGTGGACTGATGCATCAATCTATTCATGCCAAGGCCTTGGGCCTCGGCCAAGACAACGGCATCTACTGAACCTCCACGCAATGCTGTGTCCTGAAACTAGCAACCGAACCATGTTTCCATGTATTTCTGGCTTCCTTAGACACCCGGGCGCCTGGTTTCAAGTGATTCCAACTTGATCGACTGTGCATTTCAATTTCCTTCTGCGTCCTAACATCTTTCTCCTTCAGAATAGCTTCATTTTCACTTGACTCTTTAATTCATGCGAACCCCACTGACCTCCGTCAGTGCCTAGGCATATAATGATGGAAAATTCTTTCAAAGTTGCAATCATTGGTGGAGGCCTTTGTGGTCTAGCCCTTGCCATTGCTCTTCAGGAACGAAACGTTCCATTCATGCTCTACGAATCCCGAAGCTCATTCACTGAGATTGGCGCCGGCCTCACATTGAACGCCCCGGCATTACAATCACTCTCGCTCATCAAGCCAGCCTTAGGCGAAGCCGTGATCCAAATGGCAACGCGCAGCTTACCTCCCTACGAAGTCAGCACGATGCATATCCGTTATGGGGCAGATCTGAGAGACCATAAAGAAGGCGACGTCATCTTCGAGCTGGCATCACCACCGCCTGGGATGCTGTTTGTTCATAGGCAAGACGTCCTCTCGCTACTTGTTGAGGCACTTGATCCTGAAAATGCCAGACTCAATAAAAAGTTTGTCAGTTATCGTCAAAGAGACGATGGATTGGTTGATATTTATTTCGCCGATGGCAGTGAAGAGACTGCCAATATGCTCGTCGCGTGCGATGGAATACATTCCCGTGTGCGAGAAGTCATGTTTGGCAAGGATAACCCCATCAGTAAACCTCATTTCAATGGCGAGGGTGGGTATCGTGGTGTAATCCCAATGGAGAAGCTTGAGAAGTCTTTGGGTGATGAAGCTCATCAAAGCCAGTTACTTCTCGGTCCAGGAGGCTTTCTTCTATACTATCCGGTTTCTGGCGGCAAGAATGTCAACTGTGCCGCATGGTTCAAGAATGACGACTGGGATTGCGAGGATTGGGTTGTGCCTGGCAATAAGGAGCAATTTGAATCCCAGTACAAGTCATGGGGCTCAACCGCTCGAAAAATTCTGGACTCTTTTGACAGAGAAAAACTGATGTTTTGGACTATCCATCACTTTGTGCATCAGCCCGATTCCTTCCATGATTCACGTGTCATTCTGCTCGGCGATGCAGCACACGCCATGGCGCCACATCAAGGGGCGGGGGCGGGACAGGGGGTAGAGGATGCCATTGTATTTGCTGAGGTATTGGATTCAATGATTCGAAAAACTCGTGGCTCGGACAACAACGGAAATGAAAGTCACATGACACTGGCTCCAACAGCCGGCAGTATAGCGGCTGCATTGCAAGCAGTTGAAAATACCAGGAAACCTCGTTTCCTTGAAGTCCAACGAATGAGCACAGCCGCAGGGAAACGTTGGGCAGAGTTCTATGATCAAGTCATGGAAGGAGAGGAGTTGTCAACTTGGGTGCAATCTGCGAAAGACCAATTGGCTTGGATTTTTGGCGTAGATATGGCAAACGATGTAAACATCGCCATAGCACGGTTTCATGAATTGGTGGCAATGAGCTAAGGGCGCATTGATGGTTTTAGTAAAACGGCAGTGTGGGTTTACGTCAGGCGAATCTGCTCTGGCAAGTCACTCTTCTGTTCACATCCTAAAGGCCCAGTAACAACCGTGGAAGATTGTCGCAAAGCCGTTCCGCTGACATTGATACTAACGAAAAGCATGGCATCTACTTGGGATCTTAGTTACAACTCAGTTCATTATCTCTTGATAGAGCATTATATATTATCACTTTCTAAGAGCTTAAACCACTTTGCGAGTAGAGCAAATATCTTGTATCGAATTTACCAATCTCTGGCATTGTTTTGATACCGCGTTATGCTTGCAATCGGGCGGACATTGAAATAATGGACGTTCAAATGCGTCATACTAGCCAGGGAAACCAAAAAAAATAGATAGGCTTTAAGCTTACTTGTTAGGTAATAACACCGGAGGCTAGTGTGAGACCCTAGATTTCAGGCATGTCGTGTATTGGACAGGGCCTGTTTCGATGCCCACATTATCAGGCACTCGAATCATATCATTGCGCCCACTTATTTGGATGAACGATCCAATTAGTCAATATATATATATATCTGCGACTCCCATGTATTCAATCTTCACTTTCTCTCCCTGGATACATTATTCTTTTTTTCAGCTCCTCGCCCCATCCACCGGCCACAGTAAGATACGCCGTAGGCTTTGCGGCGCAGCAGTATCCACCAGTCCCAGGCACACCGAGGCTAAGATGTCAGCACGGGGTTGGCCGGAACAAGCGGCAGAACACCAGTCGCTCCTTGATGAGGACAACTTGCAAGAAGAGCCTCGTCGTATGTCGCCGGTCATAGATGCCACGGATGCGACCACTTCTGGTGGTGGTGCTCAGCGTCGGTCCCCAGTCCGGAATCACATCACAGGGATCAAGCGGCAGCATTTTACGTAAGGTCCACTCTGATCGAGATGGAATCGATGCTGACATTTCGGAAATAGTCCTATTTTCATAACGCTTTGCACTATGATGCTTCACCCAATCCTTCAATTTGCTGGTGTGGACAAAGCAGCCGACGTTGCGCTTATATTTAACTACTTTGCAATGCTTATCCACATGGCTGTATTGTCCCGCGCGGGCGAGCTGTAGTAGATTAGGTATCTAGGCATGGGCGGATATTGGAAACTGCCATTGTACAGACTGCCGGGAATGTCTTCGAAAATGGCAAAATGATAGCATGGGATCATATGTACCCTGTTGAACTCAGCCCGGCTTCTCTATGTCAGCGTGTATGCGAGATTCTGCAAGATTCGAAGATATCCACATCACACTTTCATGTGGTCAAGTGGAATTAGATGAGAACGCGATCTGGAAAAAGGAAAAATTATAATGAAAAGTACTTTACTGCGCTCTGACGTATTAGCTCTGACCATTTCTGTTGTAGAGCTAATGTTGACTGTCTTTCCGGCAGGCGATAGCTGAAAGATCACCTCGTGTCCGTTCTCGCTAGGAAGTGATACTGAGGGATGGACATGTCATTGGCTTTGCCGTCAATTTCAAAGTTCTCCAGTGGCATACGGGAGAAACGTCCTAATAAGGGCCTCATTTCCCTTCTTGGAAGCATGGGGCAATGATGTGAAGCCCCTGAAATCTTTGGTGTTGACATTGATTCCGTTGATGGCAAGAAGCATCTGCACAGCGGTCTCGTGTTCCTACTCACCAGCCAGCGATAAAGCCGTTTCACCGCAACTTCCTGTTCCGTTGATTACAATATCATATTTGCCAGCAGTTAGAAAAAGCTTCACCACAGGCTCAATGGCTCTGTTGTTTAGACTTGCATGTGGAGTGATATATCTGTGGAGTGTTGAAATCCAAGTTTCATAATCTTCTTCTATCATGGTATTAACCGTTTGGCCCTATCGACAGGCATACGGAAAAACAACTTTCGCACGTATACTGCCGCGATAGCCTCTGCATACCTGTCCCACAATGTGTTCTTGTTAGAGTCGCAGTAGTGCGATAGACCACGAATGATGAGGCATGGAAGTTGGTAAGTGCGCCTGCTGCTTCGGCGCGGAAGCAGAGGCGATGTCTGTCTGCCAAGGTGTCTCTTAATACGCCGCTACCCATAAAGAGTTCACCCAACGCAATTGTGCCTGGATGCACAAGAACACAATTACCAGCATATCTACGGTCTCTAAAGATATAATTGGATTCACATCCAGAACTATTACAATGGAGCCCTGGATCTCTGTGAACGCAGTCTGGTCGATGAAGAAGATCACCTTCTGATCTAAAAGAATCGTACAGGTCTGGACTGGAGGACTTATTGCTCCGACGCCCTTTTACGCTACAATTGATTTATGGTGGTTCTAATGCCGACCGATGATTGTTCATCCTCCACTGCTGCCAAGTCTTGTGTCGCATTGAACAGTATAGCCGGCTGTGGTGCTATGAAATCAGTCTGCTCGAAGCGCTTTGCCCTGGTCTTATTGTTACTAAACTGAATTGTGCCTGGGTGTACTTTGGAGGTTCGCTCACGAAGACGTGTCCAAGGTAGATTGGTCCTTTGTCCGTCTGAGCCAGGATGTCTCAATCAATACCTACAAAACTGAAGAGACTTCAAATTGTGAAAAGTGATGTGTATCTGTGAAGCGACCGCCGCTGCTGAATTGTTGCGGATGACATTGGGCACAGCAATTGCCAATAACGACATGGTGGTCAGCAATGCTACCAAGCGCGTAGAGGTTCTCCTCACCCGGCAACTAGGCGAGCTAGGCTTTGCTAGCTTCTGGCAGTACTATGTAGTAGGGCGGTGGAGTAAGCAGCTGAACCAATCAACATCGAGAGAAGTTCTGAAGGCTTCAGAACTTCTCTCGATGTTAATTGGCTTATTTAGGTGGGACGGAAGAGCAGGGCAGTAAACCAATAAGAATCGAGCTATGGTCGTGCTCTGAATTATAACTCTGTTTTTCTTGGGGCGGGAAGGGATCAACCCGTGGCCTCTTGAAAGGAGTGATTTACCACCGGGACCGGTAGACCGATGAGTGACGCAAGGTCTTGTGTCTCAATTCGACCTTTTGACATGAGAGTTCCCTCCGTTTCATAATCTGCCTTTGAGAAATTTGCACCGGCTTATTTGTACCCATTCGAAAGACACATTGCCAGAGCCAGAGAGCTTCGAGCTCCTCGTCGCAGAGCTCGTCGAAGTTCAGCTCGTGTGGCGAAGATCGAAATGCTTTTTCACAGTCGTTTCAAAGCCCGGCTCTGTCCGGGCTGCTCGTGTATTAAAATTGGTGCATCATCTGAAGGCGAGGTGGAACATTGACACTGCGAGTCGGGCAGCGAACAGGAAAGTGATGGCAATGCACCCTAGAGCGCAGAACCTGGAATTTCTCTTCTGATTTAAGACAGAAGGCATTCTGATGCTAGCAAAGTTTCCAATGCTGAGTTGTCTTTGCGTAAAGCCCAGGCTAGATTGTGAAGCAACGCCCTGGAGGTCTTCCCACCCTCAACTTCATCGTCGGGCGCTTCTCCATACATGTTGTCGTACTGCTGCAGTCGTTACCCGCCACAGATCACCTGCTCGGGTATATAGTTGGCTCTTTAGCACCTCTCTTTTGTAGATTACATAGATCAACTAAGACATCTTTCTCTGCTTATTAGATCACATGTTGCCCTTCACATGTTGGCTGGGGTGAAATTTGGCACATAATTAAATTCAACGTGACTTATCAAAGCGACGGAATGAGTTAGCTATTCATGTCCGAGACAGCGATAGCGGTATTCTTTTCTGTGCATGTTGCATTGCGCTCAAGGGCTCAGAAAATATTCATGCATTAACAATCACTTTCTCATTAAGCTGTCTCGGAGAATTCATTCACCATCTATGGACCATAACTTATTCCGGGGTCAGTCAACGAAACAGACTGTATTAGCGCGCCGTGATATATTCTCGCTGACCAGGTCAATCATGAAAGGGACTTCCAGATTCCTTCCGTTTCACTTCCGTCTGCAAATTGAACTCCTTGGTGACACTTATACCACTGATGCCGGCCTCATAGGTGGATCTGGATTCCGGAGCCGCTATCCGAATGAAAAACAATGACATCAGCATACCCATTATTTGACATGGCACGTGGGGTTTGCGGGAAAGGCGTGCACGTGGCAAGTGTACTTACCATCAATGTTGACAAGCGGGTACTCCCCATCCGCAATCCGACGAAATTGACTACCGCTACTCGTGGTCAAGGTGGACTTTTTGACCGTGGTGGTCAACAAGGACGAGTTGAAGATGCGCTTAAAGGCAGGGCCGAGGATGGGCAGGTTGGCGTTGATGATGCCGAGTATGGGCACCATGGACGAGAGAAGCGTAATCTTCGAAAAGGTATACGTGATGTCGGCCGGGTCCAGTTCGAAAAAGTACTTGATGCGAACCGAGGTGATGGCAATGATCCTAGATGGTGGGAAAAGCCACGTCTGAGTAAACATGCCAACAAACAACAACAACAATAACCAGGTCCACTTTTGACAGCAAGTGAGTGGGTAGGATTATGTGGATGAATACTATGAAAAAAAAACTCACCCAAATCCAAGGCCAAAGACAAACGTCAGGGCAATCTTCTTGGGCGTAGGAAGCTGGAGACCCCACAACACGGGCATTGGGAGCAACAAGATGATCACATCAATTGTCAGATCGGTGGACGCGAGCACAATGTACATGAGTATGCTGTTGCCGCACTCGCCGGGCGTCTCGGGTAGCCATGACTTTTGCACGGGCCGGCAGAAGAAGAGGTCGGAGAAGAAGGCCGCGCACCAAAAGGCAACGACGAGGGCTATTACCCCATAGACGACGCGGCAAAAGGTGTTGTGGCGAAAGATGGACGCGTAAAAATGTAGGATGGACGTCTTGACCAGGGCGACGAGCGTGAGCCACATGAGATCAATAGCAACCACGAGCTAGTTCAGCTCTTTCATTAGCAAAACTATGCTCCAGCTTGGACCAAGGTATCATCCGTTATGGTGCCGATCAAATGGTGTTAAAAAAACACAACTTACCTTTCGGAACAGGACGATCATCTCTGGACCCGCAACCCGTTCGATCTCGTCGGCGTGGAGTCCGAGTCCACATTTCAAGACGAGGATCATTGCAATGATATAACGGATCACCAAGAGCGTCTAACATTATCCGCCCATGTTAGCACGTAGTTTCAGTTGGTAAATAGCGTGCAAGTAATGGGTAATGATACATGGGGGGAAAATTGGTAGATCACTCACCAGAGCCGCAATGATAAGAACATCATTGATCTGCAAAGACGCTCGGATGAGGTGCCTGGACCACAACCTTAGCCCGGTGGTGAGGATGGCTAGAGCCACAAAGACGGTTTCAACGCCAAGGTCAGCTTTTCCAGCGGCATTGACCGGTAGCTCGCCCAGCAGAGTTTCTGAACGCGACTCCATGGTGAGAAGATGGAGATGTCAGAGAAAGGACGGGGCCAAGACCGAAAGGAAAGACGACGACACATCACGGATAGATATCTGGATACTTGAAAGCCGACGACATTGCGGAAGAAAGATGGAACAAAATAAGATGTCTTTGATACCCTGTCTATGGAAAGGGGACTTTGCATGAGCTATGCAACAGTAGCAATGAAAGCGAGACCTGATATTTCTAAATCTATGAGCAAGCCTTGTTTCACTCGAGTCAGATCTCACAAGGCAGGGTATACCGTCACATAAAAACGGCAGATGGGCATCAAGGATTCCTGTCTATTATTTCCCAATTTCAACGCTGGCGCACCATGCACCAAGCCCAAGCCCACCCCGGACCGTAGCGATCGGCACTCGGGAACGTACATGACCAATAGTTTGACCGGGGGAGCCCGCTTCTTACCTGTAAGCAGACAATATCTGTACGATTCCTGCTGAGTAGAGGCGATCTAGCCCCAGGAACGGGCAAGTGAGTGAGATGAGGCATGCGACTTTGGACCCATTTGTTTTCCATGTTGCGATCTTTTGCGATGCGCTCTGTTGTGCAACCCCGGACTCCGAAATTCCTGATCTACTTCCGACTTCAATAGTGCAGGCTGGAAAGCAAGGCAAGAGATGGAGAAATCAACCGATTCCCCTGCGCAAATAATAGTGCATCCGGTATTATGTAGGTAGGATTGTGCAAACATGATTGGTCATGTTTTGGGTCCCGCTCTATAAGCCGAGTCACCCCGTTATTGCTCTTGATTGAGGTTCCCACTCACCAACGGTGCAATGCAACCCAGCTGACCGGTTCTCCTCGGGAAAAAGCAAATACATACCATCAAACATGTCATTTTTCTCCCCCCTCACAGTCACAATGATGCATTTACGCTATGGGCGCGTAGAAGCTGAACCGACGTTGCGGATCATACTTGTCCTTGACGGCCAACAACTTGTCCTGTCGCCACTGTTCGTATCCGTACCAACTCTGCTTGCCCTCGTCTCCAGCCGCATAATTCACATAGGCGTGAAGTTCTGTTTGGTTGGTAGCCTGATAGACAATATCGCGAAGCTGATTTCCTAGATCAATGGCCTTCTGGTCCAGTTCAGCACTAGTAGAGTTCCAGTGCATGACTGGGGCAAACAAGAGATTGTCGTCACGGTGAGCGAAAGCAGTCGTCTCGCTGGACACAGCTTTGACGCCGGCTAGAGAGTAGCCCTCGATCAACATGAAACCACCGTTGAGTTCTGGAGTCTCGATGCTGGCAGCTGCGTAGGCGTCATACACTTTGCGCATGGCCTGCGGATCATATGTCTTGATGTCGATAGGGAATCGCATGTTAGAGATGCCCGTGTGCTGGCACGGACCGGCTGTGTTATCCATACCGGTCCAGACAGGTAAGTCCAGATAGTTGCCACTGCCAGCATCTGTCGCGACAGGACCCAGGTCGTGGAATGGTTGCGTGTAGTTTGAATCGATAGACGTAGCACCCTCCTTGAGAATCCAGAATAAAGTGGTAGGGCCCTGAAATTCATTAGTTTCAGTTCGGAACTGGTACAGCTAATGATTATCGACGTACCGTGGCATCAACTGTAGCATCATTGTAGAAGAATCCATAATGGATAATATCAACAGGAGCATCAGTTGCATTGTTGGGAATAACAGTGTTGATAGTCTCGTAGAACTCTTCAACTTTGTCACTCGCAAAAGTAAACATTTCGTACGCCCAGTCACTATACTCGATATCATAGACTTTGACCTCGACCGAAGTCACGATGCCGAAGTTGTGTCCTGCACCTCGAATGGCCCACCAGAGATCGGGGTCGGTCGCTTCATTGATAGTCTGCAGGCTGCCATTTGCAAACACAATGTTCATGGAGAGGAATTGATCTGCAACGAGCCCATGGCGACCTTGAAGCCATCCATGGCCACCGCCCAGGCCTGGTCCTAGGAGACTGGTGCATTCGCATCCTCCAGTGACTGCAAAATTAATATGATTAGTAAAGAAAGCGAGACATGATGTTAAGAAAAGAAAAGTCGCGTAGTGAAACAGGCAGGTGTTTTTTTTTGGGATGTGTCGAATTGAAAAGCAAGTTTACCTGTTTGCTTTGATGCATCCCAGAGGGTATCCAAGACTTTTTTAGACAGAGAGCCTCCTCCAATTCGAGCCGAATCGCCGCTTTCGGATATGGTAATATTGTTTAGCTGGTCCATCCAGATTTCAATGCCGGTCTGCATCTGACCAATAGAAGTGATGGCGCCATGTTTGCCGGAAATAGCAAGAAACGGCAAATTGAATTGATTGGCGAACTTGACCTATGATGTGATCGACACGTTAGCCTCACTCTCAAGAGCCGCGAGATTGCATCGACCTAGTATATAGACTTACCGTCTCGGCAACATCCTCCTCGGTACTGGGAACAACGACAAGATTGACCACGGGTGCGTCAAAGGCAGACCATCGAGTGGTTGCATTTATGAATCCGCTGGATCCAGGTTCATACAGGATGGCACCTGCGGAAAGTCTGGAGCCCAGATCTGTTCCATTGCCAGCTACCAGCGCATGCGACCAGTCACTTAAACCGGTGTTTCGGCACACGGCGGTGGCGGCCCAAGCGGATACCGCAGAGAGGACCTCCATCTTGAAGTGCCTTGATGGGCGAGAAAAAAGATTGATGAACCCCATCTGTCTTGACAGAAAGAGGAGCCCGAAAAAAATATGGCTCGGCTCTTTTCAAGTAGATGATGTCGTACAAACTCGTTACTGCGGGCCGAGATCTGTGGACTCGCGACAATGTCTGACCACCAACAGTTTCTATGGAAATCTGGTGGGGGCGTGAGATGTCAGATACTACTGCTGTAGTATGATGTCTGTTTGGCGGTTGTGGGCAGCGGAGCCACGTGCGTGCGTGCAGTCAGTCGTGCTACTGTGTATCCGACGGGGTTGATCGCTATGTCTGTGTGTATGCAAGAAATATCGAGATGCAGTCAGCAACGTCTTGATTTTTGGTTGGACAAGACCACACTAGGAAATCTTGACTGCACGCGATCGACGTGGTTGGGTGAAGGCGCAAACAAAAGAGACCGCTGCCCACCTCCATCTCGCCATGAAAGCATGGTCATCTCATTTCATTCCCCTGATATCCCGTAAGCAGCCAACAGCAGCATTACGACGTGCTTATCCGAGATGCAAGCCGAGAGCCTATGCACCTCCTCCCCATAATAGTATACGATATATACACGTTATTGCCATGTTGCTTTCATCGCGGACCGACTACGGGTACGGGCGGGATGGGATGGGAAGGGATGGGAGAGCATGCATGGCGGGCGGGCAGCAGCCATGAGTGCGAAGGAAGCAAATCCATGTGGGGAGCACGAGGGGAGCAAGGGAACGAATGGAGGGTGACCGGTACGGTAGAACAGGAGGGAAATGAATGCGAATGCAACTTGATCAGCGCTGCAAAGTTGTGTAAAACAGCAAAGTGCAAGCTGCAGCCACGGAGCACCACTGCTTTTTCCTCCTAGTTGTACTGTTCAGTGTTGAGAGTGTTACTGTGTACAGTGCAGCGACGCGCTGAAATGCCCCTCCCAACTCCCCGGCGCTCAAGGGCCCCGGAAGGTTCACGCCAATGGGAGCCTACGTGGTCCCTAATGGACCCCCATGCCACGGAGGGCGGGGATAGCCGGAAGTGGGAACCGGACCCATCTACGCCAAGCCTTGGAGCTCCGTCCCCAGCAAAACCTTGTCGTGTCGTATTTTCTTTCCAGTCTCTCACCGGGATGCCACTTCACTGCATGCGACAAACCCACTCACATCTTTTCTTCTTCCCTGGGACTGACGATGCCCGCCAAGTCAACAAACTTGCTTTGTATCTCGGCACTTCACAATACGCATAAAAAGTTGACCAGCCAGCTGGCACTTTTGGATAATCGACCATTTCATCGTTCGTTAGGCCTAGTCCGACCAAAACAAAGAAGAAAAACATTCCAGTGGGGCCTCAATGGACCCCCAGTGGCTTTTCTTTCCCTTCAGAAGCCAGCTGAAACCTTGACCGCTCGCCGTTTGCTCAGATTCCAAGGGTCTGGTCGAGGTAGCGAGGCAAAGTGAGGGTCCGGTCCAAGGGTCTGGTCCAAGCCTCAGTGGCCTCCGTGTGGGCGTGAGAAAGCTTCGGGGTCCCGTTCGGCTGCGCGCGGCCAACATGCATCTTCGGAAGCCGTCCAATAGTCGCCAGACAAGTACAGTACCGACAGAACGATTGACGATTCTTATCATGTGACGTCGCGTCACTGTGTACCGACATGGGGTTGCTGTATAGTCTTCTGTCAAAATCCCAGCTAGGTAAAGTCGCTGTCGTACGTGGGTTTGGCATCTCCATATCGGCAATTGGTCTCGACAGAATGCCTAGAGACTTCTTCTCGATTTGGGTCTCATTAAGCCCATCAGTTCGGCTCACCCCAAAGCAATATGCCCGCTTCAAGCAAGATGGACCATGAGGCTTTTAATGCGGACAGATAGATCGCCATGATGGTAACGCTAGCGTCGACAGACATATCGACCTCTGGTTCATCCACGTCCGTGGCCCACTGGAGACAGTCTGGAGTCGTACTGGGACAATGAGCATGAACTAGCGCATGGTTTCGCTTGCAGTTTGGATAGCATGCTCGATGGCCAAGTTTCAGCTGTCAAGAAGCTTGAAAGCCAATGAAATTCTCTGACCGCTGGTATGAATGGACCTTACTAGAAGATCAATCTGTCAGGGTGGTTCTGCGCTAGAAGACGTCGTCTCGGGCCCAGAGGCATGTACACGTGGCAGAGGCTACCGTATTGTTGGGATGACTTCAGTGCCGTGTAGATATCGCAACAACGTATTTGTATAAGAGCATCCGGCTGCCCAGGATGTAGCGTTCTTCAGACCTTTCAAGTCAAAATCTGTATCATCTTTGCCGCATATTCAATATGGCTGAGAGTTGGACGACAGCTGGGGCCGTGCCAGCCCACGCCGTCGCCATCACTGGTATGGCTTGCAAGTTCCCCGGGGCCGACTCCGTGGACGACTACTGGAAGCTGCTGGACGAGGGACGGTCCATGGTGACGAAGGTCCCTGCCGGCCGCTTTGCCACGGAGGAGCACTGGCGCAGCAATGACAAATCTGTCTTTACGGGCAACTTTGTCAACGATCTCGACGCGTTTGACCACAAGTTCTTCGGAAGGTCAAGCCGAGAGGCCGCCACCATGGATCCCGGGCAGCGACTGCTACTCGAGACGGCTTATCAGGCCCTCGAGTCGTCTGGTTTCTTCCGCGGCGTCGAACAGGACCGCGATGTTGGATGCTTCATTGGTGCCTGTCTCTCAGATTACAACGACAATGTGGCCAGTCACCCTCCGAATGCTTTCTCCGCTCTTGGATCGCTGAGAGCCTTCCTCCCAGGAAGAATCAGTCACTTTTTCGGCCTTACTGGACCGGCCATCAGCTTCGACACGGCTTGTTCATCCTCGGCTGTCGCCATTGACGCTGCTATTAAGGCTCTGAGAGCCGGTGACTGCACAAGCGCCATTGCTGGTGGCGTCTCGGTCTTTACCAGCCCTCACATTTTCCAGAACCTGGCGGGCGCCTCTTTCCTGAGCCCTACAGGCGCCACCAAGTCTTTTGACGAACTCGCTGATGGATACAGCCGTGGCGAGGGTGTCGGTCTCGTCGTCCTCAAGACCCTCTCCCAAGCCGTTGCCGATGGCGATCACATTTTGGGCACAATTCTGTCGACTGCAGTAAAGCAGAACAGCAACCTGGTTCCTATTACAGTTCCATACAGTCCATCTCAAGTCGCACTCTACGGAAGAGTCCTGGAGCGCGCCGGCGTCAATGCCGATGATATCACATACCTCGAGGCTCACGGAACCGGCACCCCCATTGGAGACCCCGAAGAGTTCAAAGCTATCAAGGAGATTTTTGACACTCCTACAAGAACACAAAAACTTCACTTTGCGTCTGTAAAGGGTAACATTGGCCATTCCGAGGCCGCCTCTGGTGTCGCGGGTCTCATCAAGACTCTTCTCATGATGCAGCACCGCGCCATCCCACGCCAGGCCAGCTTCAAAGTGCTCAACTCCAAGATTGATCTGTGCGACGGACGGCTCAGTATTCCTACAGAGACCGTTCCCTGGCATGGCAAGCCCCTTATTGCCTGCATAAGCAACCACGGAGCTGCTGGAAGTACCTCAGCTATGGTCGTTAGAGAGCCCTTTGCCGCCCTGGCCGCTCCGACACACAAGTCTCACTCTACCAAATTCCCCATCATTGTGTCTGGCAACTGTGCTCTCAGTCTTCGACGTAATTGTGCCGCGCTACGCGAGTATCTCACAACTTCTGATGCTCTGAATAAGGGTGCCGGCTTGGCCGATATCGCCTTCAACCTGAGCGAGAAGCAGAACCGCGACTTGTCCCACATTTTCTCGGTAGCAGTGACAGACTCATCAGATCTGTATAAAAAACTTGATCTGCTAGGCCAAGACCTCTCCTCCCCCAATCCCGAGGCAAAGCCCGTGGTCCTCGTCTTTGGTGGCCAGCAGAGAAAGACAGTCACCATTGACCGAGACGTTTACGACAGCTGCAAGTTGCTTCGTAAGCATCTGGACGAATGCGATCGCATCCTTCATGAGTTCGGCCACCAAAGGATTATTCCTGGCATATTCGAGTCTGGATTCCATACTGATGCCGTCTACCTCCAGACTGCCCAGTTTGCCATCCAATACGCTACTGCCATGACATGGTTGGACTGCGGTCTCAAGATTGAGTGTGTGATTGGTCACTCCCTTGGCCAACTTGCTGCCCTGGTCGTCTCTGGTGTCCTTTCACTCTATGATGGTCTCAAGCTTGTTTATCACAGAGCCTTGCTGATCAGGGACCAGTGGGGCCCCGAGACTGGTGCCATGCTTGCCGTCTTTGCCGATCTCGAGGAGACTCGTGCGCTGATTGCTTCTATCAAGAAGATTGACCCCACAACAGACATTAGCATTGCTTGCTACAATGGCCCCTCCAACCATGTGCTGGCTGGATCCAGGTCGGAGATCGAACTTGTCGTTGATGTGATCAACAGGTCGAGATCTATGAAATACGTTGTCTTGGACACTACTCACGGATTTCATTCGAGACTGGCTGACCCCATCCTCCACAAACTCAGACACATTGCTTCCGGCTTGACGTATCATCCTCCTGCGATCCACATTGAGCTATGCTCGGAGAATGAAGAGTCTGCAATGAATATTAATGCTACTGCAATTGCTGAGCACACTCGCCAGCCCGTCTACTTTGATCACTCTATCAAGCGCATTGAAAGACGCTACGGCCACTGCACGTGGATTGAGGGTGGTTCCGACACCTCCATCATGAGCATGCTTCAGCGCTGCCTGCCTGCCAAGACTCACGGCGGCCATGACTTCCGACCCGTGTCTGTGAGCCGTTTCGACTCTCTGGGCCTGTTGGCGGAAACCATTGCGCATCTCTGGAGCCGCAGACACCACGTCCAATTCTGGCCATTTGCCAGATGCCAGAGAGGCGAGTACCGCGCTCTGAACTTGCCGCCATACTCTTTTGAGAAGACCAAGCACTGGCTCGACTTCAAGCTCCTCGTCGACAGCGGCGTCAAAGAAGTTGTCAAGGAAGTTGTCAAGGAGGTGGTCGTCTTCAAGGAAAATGTCAAGAAGCATCATCACCTTCTCATGTTTGCCGGCTTCCAAGACGCATCCGAGTTGACCGCCGTTTACAATATTGATCCCCGCTCCGAGGAATGGCAGACCCTGTGCGGCGGTCACTCCCTTCTCAACACCCCTCTCTGTCCTGCTGCTCTGTACGTTGAGCTGATTCTACGTGCAACCAAGAACATCGTCGAGGTCAAGAAGGGAGTGTCTTCGTTCCGCGTGCAGTTGGAGACACTCGAGATCCAGGCTGCTCTGGGCATCAATCCTCGTAGAAGAGCAATCAAGCTCTACCTGACCCAAGCAGATGGCGCTGGCAACAAATGGAACATTGCTCTTCGATCCGAACCCGAAGACATTCTCGAGACGATTACTACACATGCTATCGCCAAGACTGAAGTGGTCATGGGCGACGACATGGATACCACTGTCGAGTTGGCTCGCTTTGGCAAGCTTCTCCAGCGGGGCTCCTTTGACGCATCCACTTGGAACGCAGTCGACAGAATCCACGGTCCGGTCATCTACCAAATCTTCTCCAAGGTTGTCCAGTACCACGACTACTTCCACGGCGTTCACGACCTTTCCTTCAAGAACCATATCATCGTTGCCGAAGTGTTCCTTCCCAAGGACCAGCCCATCATTACCTCGGAACTGCTGCACAACCCGGTTGCCATCGACACCTTCCTCCAGGTGCCTGGTCTGTACCTGAACTGCCTTTCCTCCTGCAAGCCTGGCAGTGCCTACATCAACACCACCCTCGAGCGCCTTCGCATTGCCCCCGACTTTGAGTACAAGCCCCGAGGTCCATGGAAGGTTATTGCCCTTCCTGGCGATATTGACGAGTCCGGCCATGGAAGCTTTGATATCTTTGTTACCGATCCCAAGATGAAGTCACTCGTCGTGGCTGCCTTTACTGCTCGCTTCCGCATGGTATCCATTTCTTCTTTGACCAAGAGCTTGTCTCATGCCTCCGAATACTCGCAAGCGCTTCTTCCCGCCGCACGCGAGACCGAGTACACCACCCAGCTAGTTGAGCGAACCTCCCATATTGCTCCGAGCGTCGTTGAGCGAGTTTCCCACGTTGCCCCGAGCATTGTGGCAAGTGATTCGTGCAATCTGCGCGAGTCCCGATTGGAGAGAGCCTGGGTCGAGGAAAAGCTCAGTGAAATCCTCCGCAAGGTGGCAGATGTCCCTGTAGAGCTCTTCCGCACCAATGCTTCACTTGAGGAGCTTGGTATTGACTCCCTGATGTGGACTGAGGTTGTGACCGAGGCTGAGAAGACTTTTGGCTTCACTATTCCTCGCTCTGAGCTGCAAAAGGTGCAGACAGTGTATGAGCTGTGCGATTACATTCAGTACCGCGATGTTCACGTGACCTCCGTCCCAGCAAGAACCCTGAGCGTCAAGCATTCACTGCCCCGAATTACGACATCCCGTGCTGAATTCGTCGAAACACCTCTGCTTTCCAGCCGTTCCGAAATCATCACCACTACCAGGCACACTCACACCCTTGAGCACATTCTACGTGACCTTGCTGAGATCCTATGCAACCATGCTTCCGACTTTGTCCCTAGCGACATCCGCATCACCACCAACCTGAACGACCTCGCCCTGGACTCGCTCCTTGCCATCGAGTTCCTCGATGACGTAAAGGCCAAATTTGGTGTCACTATTGACATTGGATCTTTCAGCAGGATGACCGAAGTTGGCCAGCTCGCCGAGATGATCTTCAAGAGCCTGACCACTGAGACAGGCAACCCACCACGTTCGGCCATCTCCAAGTCTTCCTCTGGCAGCACCGCCTTCATGCCAAGCGCCGTGTCCAAGGTCAATCAGGGCCTTCAGCGACCCAAGAGCAACCTTTCCCGCAAGAGTTTTACACGATCCCGTGACAGCCTTTTGCAATTCAATGACAACATCTCGTACTCAGGTAGCACCTTGGCTCATGCTACGAGCGCATTCAGGAGGTCGATAATGGACTTTGAAAAGCTCGCACACAAGAACGAGTTTGCTGGTTTCTACGAGAACGTTTACGGCAAGAACTGCAACCTGGTCTTGGCTTACGTGGTGGAGGCGTATGCTGACCTGGGTATAAACCTGGCTACCATGCGACCTGGCACCGAGATCCCCGAGCTTAATGTCCCTCACAAGCACCATCAGATGCGTGAGGTCCTCAAGGGTGTGCTGGTGGATGGAGGTCTTGCCATCTCCGATCGCGTCTGCCTCATCCGAACTGAGAAGCCCGTCGATCCCACCCGCTCTAGCATGCTCTTTGAAGACATCCTCCGCGAGTTCCCCCAACACACCAAGGAGCACATGCTACTGAACATTACCGGCGCTGAGCTAGCTCAGCTCATTACTGGTGCCAAAGACCCTCTGGCTGTGCTGTTCGGATCCAAGGCCAACAGACAGATCCTTGAGGACGTCTACAGCACCAGTCCCATGTACGTCGTCATGTCGCAGCTCCTTACCCAGTTCCTCGAGTCAACTCTGAGCGCTGCCATGGCTTCCATTGCCGGAAGCGGCAAGCGCTTCCGCATCCTAGAGGTCGGAGCCGGCACCGGTGCCACGACGCGCTGGGTCGTAGGTCGCCTAGTCCAGATGGGTATTCCCGTTGAGTATACTTTTACAGACATTTCGTCCTCTCTGGTCCAAACGGCCAAGAGAAAGTTTGCCCACTACGATTGCATGAAGTACACTACTCTGGATATCGAGAGACAGCCCCCTGTTGAGCACCTGGGCCAGTACGACATTGTCCTCGCCACGAACTGCATCCACGCCACCAGCGACTTGCGCAACTCGTTGAAGAACATTAACCAGCTGCTCAAGCCTGAGGGTTTCGTGGCCATGGTCGAGTTTACCACGCGCATGCCCTGGTTCGACCTGGTCTTTGGTCTGCTCGAGGGTTGGTGGCTATTCCAGGACGGACGCGACTACGTGTTGGCTGAGCCGCAGTTCTGGGAGGAGTGTATGCTCGATGTTGGCTTCAACAAGGTCATGTGGAGCGGTGGAAGCTCGAAAGAGTCCAATGTGGTTCGGGTTATTACTGGTTTCAAGAATGCATAGAATGACGAATAATGATTGAGGGATTGGTCGGAGATTTGTACAATATGTGTATATATACCATTTGCTTTTGAAAGAAATTGAAGTTTTAAATTTCAAGAATAAACAAAAAACAAAAAGACTGGCCAAAATATGCATATCTCGATTAGCCACTATTGTTATATGAGTCTTGCATAGCCTGTTTCAGCTATCGCTACCACTCTCTTATAGTACAGCCTCTACTAGCGACAAATGTGAGAGGTCGGGAGGTTCATTGTGAGAAACACTCCGAGATTGCGTTATAACTTGTTTGGAATTACAGAAGCTATCTAGGTACTCAAACGCGGTTGTGGGATACTCTACCCGTGCAATGGGTGTGAATCAGGACGTTTGAAGCAGCAAAAAGATTGGATCCGTTTCGGATTGCGACACCTGTGAGATTCGAACTCACGCCTTCGAAAAGACTGCCTTTCATAGTCCATTTGGATATAGCAGGGCAGCGCGTTAACCACTCCGCCAAAGTGCCTTGTTTTGGAACCCTTTGTTGTGGTTCTGTTGAGGAAGTCGCGATTATCAAGTAGTATACGTGGTGTTTTAGCTAATAGGAACCACCAGGCAACCGGGCTTGGAACCTAGTGCAAACGCGGCTCTCCTGTCGGGCCGTGAGCGGACCCATTATAGCGGACGGAACCCACCCACCTAAATAATTAGATTAGCTAAAATACATATGTATGCACGCACGTCAATGAACCCTGCATAACCGTACATATCTGCATCGCAAGGCAAAAGTTGGATGCAATGAAGCCACGAAGCGTCATGACAGCATCTGAGCAGGTACAAAGGCCTCGTCCTGACCAATGGAGGCAGGATCGAAGCAAAGGCATGTTCGATCTGGTTTTCCTTCACGTTGCGCTCGATTACTGCAACTCCAGTGACCAGAGCGTCTGCTTCTTCGATGTAGTATATATTTCCGTCTCTTTCGTGATCTACGGATTTGACCGATGGGTCAAATATCCATATTGGCTGAGGGAAATACGAGACGTTGTCCTGATACTAGTTGTTAGTCTTGAGCTAATGAGCAAATGTATCTAGATGGTGTCTTACGACTATTGCATCCGGTTCGAAAAACTCTGCAAGCCATGGACGAAATCCTGAAGTGCGTTGGGCTGTCTTATGTGCCCCCGATAGCCGACGAACATCGAGAGCAGGTCGCATATTTCCGGCAGAGCCCAAAAGACGTCCGAATGAGCATAACTGTCTCTCAGGGAAGAGGGCGTGCTGTGCCACAGGCGGTCGCTGCAAGACACAGCATCCTATCCAGTTGCCACTGATCGCTTTGACGCGTAAAATGTTAGCTTGGAAGAGGATAAAATGCGAATTCCTCATCAGGAACTGTGTGGTGAGTATGAAATGATGCTTCCTATCTGGTAGTGCTGATGTAATACGAGCCCTATGAGCAGGATGTGAATCATGCGGAAGAACTTGGTCGTCTTCATGCAACTCAAACACCATAAAACTCCCGCTGAGAGTGCCCAGACGCGATACCTGGCAATTATCATCCGACGGGTCTGAGCCACCATAAGCCAGTCCGAGGTCAAAGATAGACGGCGGACACCATTCCCATCGACCTCCGTGCGGAGCAATAGGAGCTTGACCATAAATGAGGTCGGTCATTCTGATGAATCCCCATGAGATTAATATATCTTGTGTTATCTCTGTCCCTGACCATTCCGCACGAAATTTCCCACTTCTCAGAACCACCAGACTCGCAATAATCATTTGGTCAATTGACTAGGACGTTATTCGAGGTCATGGGATCTGCAATAGATCTGAAAGGAGCTCTCCTGACCCGCGATATTGTTTGTTCCGCCCCTGTATTAGAAGTGCGAGAATATCAGTAACTACGAAGTGGCCAAGAACTGGCACCGGTCGGTTGAAATCGGCAATAGGAATCTTATTATCAGCCCATTGATTAGGATAGTCCTTCGAAGGCTCAAGGAGCGACAGATCCCAACCAAGAATTTCTTTATCGAGATCCTTTAACACAAATCCCTGTCCGCTGCTCTTACGAGAACCTTTGTTCAGGTGTGCAAAGATAACTTTGACTGCGTGGTTTCTCGACGCCCAAGGCTCGGCCGAACTGTCGGCATCAAGCTCACTCGTATATATATTTATTTCAAAAAATAGTTAATTATAAAGCTTTTATTAATAAATCGAAAGTAAATTTCATAATTATACATATGTTATGGCAGATACTATATGGCACCGGCCCCGTCCCGTGGGCATATAGGTCCCAGTTCGTGATCGTTTCCCAACGATTGCGAGCATGCTCTTTGCCCATTGGTACAGTGGTAGCGTATGCCGTGACTGTATGGAATCCATGATCCACCATTCAATAATCGCGAATAAATCACTCGTGAACGTGCCACAATGGTGGCACGGACCGAAGTTAAAATCGATGATATGCATTACAGGCCTTATGACACGAGCGGCCAATAAAACGTCGCATCGATAAGATCTTTGTAGTCGTCTGCCTCCGTCGTAAATTAAGGCTAAATCCTTAGGATTACGACACTTGTGACTTTTAGTCGCCAGTCTTAAAGGCGCAAATTCTGCTATACAGCAGAAGAATCACAACTTCGTGCGTAAAAGTACATCCGGAGCCTTGCGATATATTTTTAAATTATTTCCCTCGAGTCATACTCACTTCAGCAGGGCTCCAAGCAGGTGGGTAGCACTCTAAGTTGCCGCGATAGGATAACAAAACGCATATCAACAAGGGTCATGTCACCTAACCTAGATACCTAGTAATCTGTACTCAATATGCATTGCATTTCCGCGTGGGGTTGCGGCACGGCAGCGCACCGTATTCTGGCTTAGCGCATTCGGATTTATTCAGCTTTCCATAAGGCTTTCTTAATTGGGGATCGCAGATGACCTCTGCACCACCCTCCGTAGAGATTCCGCTGCGTCATCTCTCTGCTCACGGGCGATCCTGCTCGCTGCTTTAACAAAATAAGCGCCGCAGTTGCCCTGAGAGATTTAGCAATACTTTGCGGCTGAAAATGTATTCTAAGCTTGGGCGTGCTGTAGGACTCAACTCGCGCCGAATATGTTCAGTGGGAGCGGGGCTCTCCAGCCGGATCTGCGACGAAATAGGAGCTGTAACACGCACCTGCTCGCAGTCCGATTCTCTTTAGATTACGGGATGTTTTGTGTCGCACTGAGTTACCCATTCGAAAGATCACCACTAGTACTCTCATATATCAGCAGTTCTAGTGCTCCTTCACATCCAGGCTCAATGTCAAGCACTGTCTCGCAACTCTCGTCGCAATGGGCAAATCCGAGTGATGTCACCACGGTCCTCATGGTCATCGGTGGGGACGTGGTACAGAAAGCTCTGGCCCAAACAACCGGCTGCTGGTACACGCCGGTATGCTTCTCGTTTGGCTGGGTCGCTTACATGTTTATGGCGTTAGTAGGCATCATCGGAGATGGCAGACTGCTCCCAATCCCCGATTACCCGGCCAAAGTGTTCAATCTCAAAACAGGCTATGTTCGGGACAATAAAAATTGGGTAATTGGGCGCCTTCTCCGCGACCACGAGGCCTACATGTCTAGAAAAGAGCCAGCTCCAACGTCTGGGGTTCGTATTGCAGTTTGGGAAGCCAAAGAGAACAAGAATTGCCATAAACAAATTTCGTTCTCACATAGTAGGATTCATATCTGGGGGGGAATCACAATGGCCGCCCAATTGATCATTGCCGCAATCCCTGTGATTAAGAATCACAGATGGGGAATCCTCCTCATCACCGCTTCTGGGACCGTTTTGGCGCTGATGGTGGGGGGTCTACCTCAATGGAGAGCTGAGAAACTGCCAAACCGCCAACAATCGAAGAAAGTCTTTGCTCTCACGACGGGCAATGGGTCGAGGGATATCATGGTCATCATCGGCGCTGGGAAGATTCTGGACCTTGAAGACCTGTCGGCGCAGGAAACACCACGAAGCGAAAAGCCTTGGGAGAAGTTCAAGCTTGAAGCGTCAAGGCGCCCTCAGCGACATGGTTGGGCCCAGTCTGGAAGGATCGAAAAGTTCATGCTAGACCATACAGGATCATTTCACTTTTCAAGAATGAAAGTTCATGGTATATTGACAAGGCCCGTCCGAGGATTGCCCGCAGGATTTCTCCTTACTATGGTTGTGTGCGTTGTTCAATCGATCTTGTGGTTGCTGTTACTCATTACCGTCGCGGCGCTGAGTACGGATACATGGTATCTCATTCTCGTTGGAGGCATCGGAATGTTTCAGAATGGCTATCTCGCAGCTATGGAGAGAACTCCGGAACATAGAAACTGCCCGCTTGAGTTGAAGGAAGTCATCACGACGGCAAAAGTCATGGATGGGCTTATGGACCTTGAAGTTGCATATGGGCGAGACTTCATGCCAAACGACGATTCGATAGAGCCAATCATGACGCCATTGGTCAAAGAATTCTTCCCTGGGCGGTTACGATTGGACGAGGAAGATTGGTGGAAAGGCAAGTGTCTTGATTATGATCAGATACGATCGAAGGAGAAGGAATGGAGGGGTGTTCCACGCAGAGCAATGCATCCTGACGCCGCGCCGAAAGAATACTGGAATGCACCTGAGAAGGCACCACTTTACTATTACGGAGGTAATCAGATCCCCTTTGAAAAATTCCAGCCTGTCGTCTCGAGTACGGCGAGGTACGATTGGGGAATTAACTCTGATCGCCAATGGAAAGTCGAGCATGAACCCATTTCACGACCAAAGTCTCCTCAACAAGCATATCATGCAAGCTCAAGTCGTCTTCCTGGTCTCCCAGAAGGAGAAGCTTTTGCTGACCTAGCACACGTTACCGGCGATACTAGAATAGTTCAGGCCAGACGATCAAACTCAATGACTAGCGAGCCTCAGAGGAACTCGATGCTCCAATTCGAAAGAACCTTCAAACGCGACGACCCGGGATATACCTTTAAATCGCCTCCATGGAGCTGATGATCCTTAAACACGGCGGCAGGCGATTGCGTTTGTCACAAAGATCTGACAGTCTCGATGGGCTTACAAGGATTGTCATTGCTATACAAAATCATTCTATTTTAGTAGCGGTCTTCGGATCGGGCACATGTATTTCCCTAGCTCTCGTTTTTGACTCTAATTTAGTGAAAGGGCAGAGGTCTCGGTTCTCCTGCTTCTGTAAACTCGTTTCCACAGTCGCGTATGTTACACTGTTCCACAAAGACTTTGTGTCTAATACTGCTTGGCGCAAGACGTGTATGAGAAGTTCCATACAAAACTGATCTCGTCAAGGCAATGCGTCAGAGCATATTATACAGATACTTGGTCTAGATTGAATGCATCTATTGAGGACAGGCTCCGGTGTTTGCTCTATTCGGCATCAGAGGAATAATTGTCTCTTGGCACATTTAAAATCGACCTGACTGTCAAAATGTAGGAATAAGTGGACCGCTTCTCCACACATGTATATTTCTTTGACCATCCAAACTCTGTTGGATGTGAAAACCCCAACTAATACAACAACTGTTACCCATACTTTTTTTTATACTGACAGCATATTATTCGTTCGGTATATCTAGAGATATAACGGAATGCACCACATCTTGTTTGTGTATGACAAATAACCTACCCTAGTTTTAGAAATTTTGGAAAGGTACGTGCCTTTCTAGTCTCAAAGTCTCTGTGGCTTCCCGGCTGTGGCGAGTTCGTGAGCTGATCCCTTGCACTACTAATTCTCGGTAATGGTCTTGGAGGATCAGAATTGTCAGGCTGTTTCTGCTTGGGTTGGCCTGACCCTCCAAATAACCGCAAGAGCAAAGGGCGCGCGTTGTCGGGTGGTTGAAATCTGTCTGTCGCTCCATTGGGGGATCGTGGATTATCTCTATCGGGGAAAAAACCATCAACATTCCACACTTGTTCTGGCCCAAGTTCTTCCGCGAGACATATCTTCCCTTTGGTATCTGCAGAGTCTGTCATAACCTGAGGTACCATTGAGCCCCGCGTAGGCATGTCCTGAGCGCGCAATACTCTGTGACTTGGGATAGCTTCCCGATCGTCAGCTGTCAGGAAGCGAGCACGGTTCCTGGTACGAAATTCGGCTCTTGTTTCACGAGACACCTTGACTCTGCGAACTATCTCGCAATATAGATCACTTGCCTCGCGCTCTTTCTGGTGTATCGTGGTCGGCGCATCTGATCTCTGAGAAGGCTCTTGTTCCTCAGGAACGACGTCCAAGGGACCCGTGGTGCTTGCTTGGTTCGTCCTTTCTTCGCGAATTTGGACCAACAAGCCAATTTCTGCTGGAGAATCCCCAGGTTTCACCCGGGAAACAATGATACCTAGTCGGGCATCTGACTCTTGAATCTTTTGAATGAACTGTTGTGGTGTGTCATCTTCAATGGTTTCCACCACGTACCAGTCCAGAAAGCTTGGGCCAGTGGGAAACCAAAATCTTTTCCTGTGCTTATCTGTGGCCAATATGTGACTTCTTTCCTGTGGATGCAGAATAAATCCGGGATAACGGACTTGAAGACCATCCTTTCCATTCATCGTTGCAGTTGACGTCATCAGCGCCAGTGGATCCGGATGGTCCACGGGCTGGGCAGTCATCCAGGTACGTGGTGCCCAGCCAAATCCGATTCGTTCGACCCTATCCCCGGGGAGAAAGATGATTCCTGGAGGAATGCTTTTGTGCCACCGGTCGTTGAACTGGGTCCAGAATATCTCCACTAAACGATCCCTGTCGCGGATCTCTACCAGAGGATCCTTTTCGCGCATTTGCGACCATAACCAACGCTGTTCGGTTACATTTCTCTGTCGCAGACCTTGTTCCGCAATCTTCGTACCCTCATAATCCAGGTTCAAGAGAGTCGCTAAAGCCAACGTTTCATGAAAGGAGTTGGAGGTTGTCTGTTGATATACTGTGAGAAACCTTGGCTGACTGAGATTTGATCGTCAAAGGAAACTTACTCGCCACCTAGCTGCCTTCCAAGAGCTTGCGACAAGCAAAGCTGCTTTCTCTTGAGGCATTTTCGAACCTGACAATCCTGCCTCCGGAAATAGGTAAGTATCTCGAGTTTCTTGTTCATGCGACATGATCAAATGTTGTAAATGGTCATTGACCATATCCAAAAGTGCTGTCGTTGCTTGTGCATGACCGCCAGACGCTAAGTCTTGGGACAATTCTTTTAAGTCTTTGAGATGGGACAATTGATCATCGTAGTCAAAGGCAAAATAGATTTTCTGGCTCAGGAATGCCTCCTGCAGTGTCCAAAGACGCCTCATCCAGCTGCTTCCCAGTATTCTCATAGCTGCAACTGCAGGCCTATCCGGCTCTCCAGGATTGAGTTGAGCCAAACCTGCATCTAGGACGATGGTGTAAGTCGACTCTTTGAATACTTGGAAGATCTGCTTGATTGCGCGTTTTCTTCGGGTTCGATCCTCTTGCCCTGGCCCAACTGGGATTACGAGAGTGTCCATCCAAAATGGCGTCTCCCACCCATCTTCAGGGTCGAGCTTGTTCAGGATATTTCTCACATATCGCAGCTGGCAACATGGGAGTTTATTCTCTGTTTCATTACCGTACCCATCCGACCATACATGTGATATTGTAGCGTATTTGAATGGCCTGGTCTTGTTCTCCGGAATTTTGGAAACGGATAGGCTAATTTGACTTCCATTACCATCATGGTTAGGTGGTTGGTTGAATTGCAGTAACGGGATCTCGTCATTATCGAGGTGTCCTCTAATGAACGTCAGGTCGGGGCCCTGCATTCCACAGAAAGTATCGCATCCATATGCATGTGCAGATTGATACAGTCCATCCTTATCCGTGGGCATGACTTTGCAGTCTGTCTCATCGCAGCCATTATGGTGTGGACCCTTGAACCGATCTAGGGAATTGTATGCCAGATACGATGCTAGCATCAATGTTGCATTGGCGCGCAACTGACTTTGCCATAGGTGAATAGTCCTTTTGCACCACTTGTCCCGCCCCATTCTGTTCAGGATGTAAGCTGGGGGTCCCCAACCTCTCCCGTCTTCGCTATGCCAACCTTTGAGCTCGGACTGGGTAGCCTTCATGATTTGTGCCTTAAACAACGATAGGGTTTCGCCCAATATCATGAGGGACAAAGCTACTTTGTCTCTCAAAGTAGACTGTTCGTCGTCAACAGTTCTAGGCTGTTGTGCATGACTGCCCAGGCTGTAACCGTAGTTTGCCCGGATCGTGCGTCGGGCAGCATCAAGGACAGCCTCGACTCGTACCATGCGTAGACGAATCTCAGAAAGGTATCCTAGGTCGCACCTTTCTTGCTCCCACTTTCTCCATTTTTCCAGGGCTGCTGGCAAATGCTTCGTGGTTACACGACGACTATTGGCTTTGACTTCGACAAGCTGCTTGTATTGAAGAATCGGTTTCCCCTCTTGTTGGACGATGGTAAAAATCAATCCGAAAAAGAGCCATGATTGCAGAAACTTGGGCCGATCAACCGTCCTCCGCTCTGTGCCCAAGAGTTTTAGATTGTAGGTATTTTCATCAAGCCGCCATCCGTTGTCGCGCGGGTAGCTCTGGAATGTGTCCCAATCATCTGGAAATTGGGCCCCATCCTCTGTTAGGTCTGGCACGGGCGGAACTGCGTTGGGGGGCAATTCGAAATCAGCAATGATGTGGTCCATGGTAATTCGCAGACTTCAAGCCATTACTTGCGGGTTGTTGTTTGTTGGCTACAGTCGCCAAGTTACTATGGAGTAACAATAAGGCTACAAGGAGATTTTATGGCTCGCCCAGCTAGTGTACATCAAATCCATATTGGCGTACTATTGAGACGTGGGTATAAAGCGGCAAGTAGGTGTAATAAGTCGCATGCACATCTATCTGCACAGTTCAGGGAATATTGGTGAGTCCTATCAGCTGCACGGCACCAACGACCAATCCTGCCGGGCGCATTGGCGGACAAATGACCCTTTTTGGCGTGTGGCACATGTCCAATCGAATGCAAGATCTCTAACCTTCTAACCGGTCAGCCCCCAACAGAGACGAAGGGGATGATCGGGCGTTGAGGACAGAAGTCTTGGACTCTTGAGCATGCGCTTGGTCAAGAAAATTGATTACAAAGTCGGTAGATTGTTTCACTGATTGTCCTTTTTCCCCTTCCTCACTGTTGTGCATCCGAGTCAACAACCATGTACGTACCAAGGGCTTGGGCGGGTACGCACCTGAATGCCTGATGCCGAATTGTTCCAGCCCTGGCACTGTCATCCACTTGCGACGTGGCTGAATCATGGCATTCCTGCAAGGCACTATTTTTGGGCTCCCCGCCTGTCATTAACCCGTCCACCGCCGCCTGTTGCATGTTGCCTGCCTCTTCGAATCTTCAAGTCGCGCTTTTAGTGACGCGCCTGTCGAAGCGCACTGAAGATGGCACTTCAAAAGAAGGTAAATTGTGGTTTTCTATTTGCGCGTTTCCTTGGCTAACCAGAATTATAGTCCACATTGTTTGAAATTGCACACAGACCAGGGAATTCATCGCCGCAATACGAGTAAAGTCACTTCAATGGAGAAGCGTGCAGCATCAGAAACTTATGATTTACTAGTATCGTGATTGTTCACCCTTTTTATTCCAAAACGCAAAGAACTGGTGTTTTCAAGAATACGTTTGATGAACTTCAAGCCGGCTTGGCCAAGCATCCAGTGATATGTGATGTAGCGAACATATACATATTCTCTTTCAAGGGCAAAAGCATTATCAGAGGAAACATCAAAGTCGAAGCTGTATCGAATGAGCTTATTACGCGACTTGGCGAGCAGCGGCCAGTCCTACAATTAGGATCTCACAATCATGCACAGCCTCGGCCAGAGGAGACAGATATGGTTCAATCCATACACACGAGTGATTCTCAACATCGCAGAGACGGAAAGAAAGCTGAGCAAGACGTCTCGCAACCTCACTTGCTGTTCATATCCCATAGTCTCGGTGCTTGGGTGGTGAAGGATGCACTACTACAAAACAACAAGCCAAACATATCTATCTTCAAGACACAGGGCTCGGTTCTTCTTGATGGCCCCCCTACAGAACATCTATCCGTGGAGTACATACTGTCTCTCTCTAGGCTCTTCTCAAGTCGGAAAATGAAGGGTTTGGGGGACGTTTTTGGTTCCAGCCGAGAGCTCGTGCGCAAGTTGAAGGCTATAGATAAGAGATACAACATCTGGGTAGATTCGGTTTATGTACAAGAAGAGCGGCGCAAAGATCAAATGAAGGGAGATATTCTTTCCGACCACTACGATCTGTGGCTCGCTAAGCACACTACCGACATGGCTGGCCTGGTAAAGAAATTCATCCCGTCGAATGCACGCCCTTGGTTAACTCCTTTTCTTTTTTTCAGATACCGCCAGAGACAAAATTGACAGCAGTATTCCGGAACCTCACCAGAATCATTACCACGAATCAGAGCTACGATGCTCATTTGTACAGAGTTGCAGTCCAAGAACTCGAGAATCTCAAGCTGGAGAACGTTGTAGCGATATGGATCAACCAAACGAATGCACTTCGTCCAGGGAGCACAGTCTTATCAGCCAACTCAGAGGTTCTGGAATCCAATGTCCATGAGACTGTTCAAAGTGTGAGTATACATAAACGTAAGCTGAACTTTGAATCAAAGTCACTGAAACGCCTTAGCATTCATCCTCGCAAATTCGGCCTTCAAGTCCCTCGTCCTGGACTCCTGGATGGTTCGCGAAAAAGAGACAGTCCACGTTTTCGAGTGATACGACCTTCAAATCGGATTCCGATAAGGCGTCCATTGGCTCTGCTCCAAATATTCCAATACTACAGATGGAAGACCCTGTTTTGCGTCAAATTATCAACATGGGGAAGTCCTTTATCAAGAGAGGAGAGCTGGACAATGCTGAGATAGCTTTTCAGAGAGCATCTGCTATCTTGCACCCCAGATCAAGAATGTATGATATGCGTGTCTCTTCTCCCGAAGTAGATGCTCAGCTTGCCTGTATTGCCTTGTACAGAGGTAAGTATGCAGAAGCTCATCGCAAATTTGAAGCGCTGCTAGATTGCCCTATCCCACAAGAGCAATTGAAGAACGAGTACAATGCAGAGATATGCAGATGGATAGGTGTTGCATTACTTCACCAGGGAAAATATGAATCAGCGATAGTGCAATTCCAACAGCTCTTGCTGCAATCCCCCAGATATTCAAGCGATGAAGAGGTACAGATCCGCCGAGATCTTGCACTAGCTTCCGCTTACTCGGGCAACTTTGATGAAGCCTTTGGACAGCTGAAAATGGCTAATGAATGCTTACAAATCTTGGAAGAACGCCAAGCACTAGAACAAAAGAATTCCATGGAGAACACGACGACGGGAAGGGAAACAACAAGCACGCAAGCGGTACATCCCACCGTCACTCCTCGGCCGACAAAATCAAACGACAAGGAGGATACTTCATCTGTGGACATGCCCCTGAGAACACCAAAAACCTCTGAACTGAAGGCTAAAAAGGACGGACTTCTTTTCACCCAAGCTAAGATTGCATTGGCATAGGGTTCATTCGATCTTGCTCTAGCAGACTCCGAATTAGCTCTGCGCGGAATGAAGAAGCGATTGGGGCCCGGACACCTGAAGACGCTTGAATGCGCCAGTCTGAATGCGCTACTTCTAGCCCTCAACTCCCAAACAAGGGCAGCAGAGACAGCTTGTATTGCAACACACGAAGCAATGACAACTGAACTTGGGCCCGAGCACCCATACACATTGGAGGCGATGGGCCACCTCGTACAGATCTACCAGATGCAATCACGCTTCTTGGAGGCAGTGGATACTGCCAACTCGCTGGCAAAGATCGTCAGCTCTGCTCCGACAGAAACGCGTCCGCAGATTTTGCATTCTAGATGCATACGTGCGGAGAGTGAATTGAAGATGGGGAATTACGCGACTGCGGAACTCGAATTGGGTGATGTCACAAAAGTTGCCCAGGCTAGCTTCAAAGATAATCGTCTGGAAAATCTTCATTACCAAAGTACATTGGCCCTTGCCTACAACCACTGCGCGAAAAATGAGCAGGCTGAGGACCTCGCGGGACGGGTTCTCCGCAAACAACTCAAGATATACACTACGCGTCATGGTCATGGGGAACGCGGCTTTAACGAAGAAAAAGTCGCCGAGGAGGATATGACGAGCCAGATTGCGATGATTATCAACATTGCTTCATTGGAACCACTGCATTCCATCATCGAAAAACTGATAGATCAAGGTTTCATTCTGACGCTCCGTCCGCCGGTCTTGGAAACTCTTTGGGTAATAGCCCTGATTTTGCAGCAAAAGGAGGATCCAGCTTCACTCGAATTGGCTATCAGATTACTTCAGGCATTATGGGATCGCTTTGTTCAAGGTGGTCAAGTTGAAAGCCAGGATGCGCTCAGGGTTCGTTACGACCTTGCATTGGCCATACGCCGTAAAGCAGAAGCGGAAACAAGTCATGAAAATGGTGATAAGCGTTTAGGGGAGTCTGCGGAACATCTCCGCAACGTGTATCGATCTAGATCACAGGTTTTGGGACATGAAAATCCTGAAACGCTTTCTGCGAGACTCGAACTAATCATCACCAATTGTACACTCGGCAGATGGGAAGAGATGCTCAGTTTAGCAGAGGTTTCTGAACGGGAGAAACTAGAGAAATCTCCCGAACAAGTGGACTTTTTCTCTTCAAGCTCCCTGGATCAGAAGAGTTGGACATTAGTCCAATCTGAGTCGCGCAAAATCGCGGATCTGCATGAAGCGAAGCTGGGTGAGAACCATCCTGAGACTTTAAAGTCCCTTTTGTGGGTTCTCGCAGTCCAAGCCCTCCTGGGCGATATTGCAACTGCTACCAAAACCTCAGAAAAGATACTTAGGCGATTGAAAATGGTTCGAACGCAGCGGCTGGTAGAGTCTATTCATCTGGAACGCAAGCTTGCTTTAGTGGTTGTCGTGTTTGACAGGCATTGGGCTGATATCATATTGAGAGGAACAAGAGAAACTATACAAGAAAAGCGAGATTTCATGCCGGAGACGTGGCAAATGCTCGACAAGATGATAAACGGAGAGCTTAGCCGTCTGGAACACATGTCTCGGTAACAAACTTCAAGCCAGGAATTAAGTAACATTCAGTGTAGCTATATGCAACTTCGGAAATTTAGGTGCTTCTAGCCAAGCTAAACAGTTGAGAATGGGATGCTACGCACCTTGAGGATCCTTAACGCCGTGAATACTTCCGTTTCTGGAAGCTTACCACATTTCGTATTAACAGCAGCTGGTGAGCAACCCTAAAATAATTTTATATCGTACTGACGTATTTAATGCCCACCGCAGATCACCTGTGTGGTTATATAGTCGCTCTTTAGCACCTCTTTTTTGTAGATTAGAGATCGACTAAGACATCTTTTAATGCTTCCTCGATCATCTCATCTTCAGTTCCCCCTTCACACATCGGCTCAGGTGAGAAATGCAAAATATAGATAGTAATGACATTCGCTTATTATTTTAAAATTTAATATTATATACACCTAATTTGAATTCAACGTCTAAAAAGACAAAGGCGTGCTGCCCAAAGTGTCCGGCCGCCCTTTAACCACTCCGATTTATTTTCTCACTCGGACTAAATAGTTCTTAATCGCACTCGGGTAGGAAGTTCGTCCTTGATCGTGCCCATGCCTTTTCCGGCACGGTAGGCACGTTCGCCGTCCTGCATCTGCACCGGGCCCGCCCGGCCTTGTACTTTGTCCCAGAGATCGTAGTTGAATTCCATGTCAAGCTCCCTCAATGTGAACACCAGCGCCAGCTTCATCTCCATCATGGCAAGCTCTTCGCCAATGCAGCGCATAGTGCCCAGCTCAAAAGGCCGAAAGGCATTCTTGACCGGGCGTAGCGGGTCGTTTTCGGGCCCCAGAAATCTCTCTGGAATGAACTCATTCGATGTCGGCCAGAGGTCCGGGTGGCGATGTAGCGCGACCGGAGTGGTCTGCACGACGCAGTCGTAGGTCGGATACTGCACGCCATCCTCAACAAAGGCAAAGTCCGGTGCACATTTGCGCAGCGTTCCGGCTGGTGGTCGTAGTCGTAATGTCTCCTTGATTACGGCTGTAGTATAGCTAAGCTCGCTGAGTTTGTGGTGAGAGGACAGAAGAGTCTTCTTTGCCGCTGTGGGGTCTTTGCCAAGGACTTGGTCATGCTCCTTGCGAAGCTTTTCCACAACCCCGGGATACTTGTTGATCTCCCAGTAGACCCAGCAACTGCTCAACTGATTAGTAATAATATACGCATAAATGATATGAAAATCATACAGAGTTTGCGCAGTTGTCTCATGGCCGGCAAATAGAAAGATTTTGAGATTGGCAATCACTTCTTCGACAAAAACTTCGCTCCTGGTTGACTGTTCATTGCCCATTTCCTTTACCGCGAGATCTACTACGGTTTTGCGATCGGCAAGCTTGCTTGACTCCAGAATTCGTGCTTCCACTTCAGGTTGGAGAAGCTTCCGTATGACTTCTGCATTTTGATATACTTTTCGTTTAAAGGATGGAGTATGTCGCTCAATTCTGTTCTTTAGGCTGTCAAGTTTCAAGCACGCAATCAAGTTCCTCAGAGACACGAGCAGAGGACTGGGCCCGCTGCTCTGTTCGTAAAGGCGTAACCCCCTTGCAACAAGTCAGTAAACCTGAATGCATCTGTGCGGTTATATCACTTACGTAGTGATCCTCGCGATAATGTCAAAAGTCAGAGCAATCACCTTGTCGTACATGGTAAACATCTGCCCCCACTCGCCGGCTGGACCAGCCTGGCTTGTCATGATCTGAGAGAAAATGTCTACTTCTTCGATTAAGGCTGGGAAGTGGCTGTTCAAGCTTTGGGAAGAGAACCCTGGGTTCAATCTCGATCTCCATAGCTTGTGGCCTGTCCAGTCCAGTGACAGCATGTCAAGACCGTCCGTCAGAGGCTTTTGTGCCCACTTGAACATGGGTTGTCTCGGCTGCGGTGTCACCTGTGTCAACTGCGCACACAGCTCGGGCGATACCACCATGGCAAAGGTAAAGGGCACAAAAGGCCATAGGTCAAGATATATAACAGGAGGGCATTCCGTTGCTCCAGGAAAGTATTCGTTCCAATTTTCCATGATTTTCTTGTTGATTATCGTCTGGTGCGAGTCTGATGGGAACTGCTTTCTGATCTTATTCATGAGCAGTAGATGACCTGTGATCAAAGAGTACGGCTCCATGATTGGCTGTAGCGTTTTGTCGCCAAGGTAGGTCTTTCAAGAGAATCTGCTTTGCATTTCAACATTAACTTACAATTCCATTAGCCTTTAATTGCATCATTTTCCGTCGCACCATAATGCCCTGATATAATATTTTGGTAATCCATGTCGTGAATACGATGACGAGTAAAGTTGAGATGGCCCCTTTGGAGATGATTGCACTGGATGAGAACTGGGTTAGTGATGCCATCTTGCTGACAAGGAAGATGGCCTTTAGTGCTGGTAAGAAGCCTCAGTGGTGCATGGCTGATTGACTGATTGGTAAGTCGGGATGATAAATAAGTTTTATGAATTAAATTACCAAAATAGCAAACCAAAACACACTCCAGTCACTTCCTGTGCCGTTGGCCTGCATCTATGTCAGTATCTCCTGTTCCGTATCCCCCTGTTACAGTTCACCGCAACCTTCAAGATTTTTCATCTGCCCAGAGTACGTCATTTGTCGTTACTTGGCGCTACACCAATGAAATCAACATCGTATCGGGTCTACTACGCATGCGGTAAAGCCCACCATGTATGCGCTCAGTTGGTTGTTGGTTGGCTGATGCTACGCGTTATCGTCAGGCTACTGGAGATAATACAGCACAATTTATGTCCCAGTAAAGTCCGTACTAATCCAGGAAGAAAGAGTCTATTGTATGCCTTTGATTCGAAAATATGATTTTGCTTGGTTCCAACCGCTCCTGGATTGTACCAAATTAGCACCAATTGTCAAACGACAAGTCCGTATGCATTCCACGAAACGCCGGGCATGTCTATTGTTCTGTTGCTATATTGTTCTAATGATAATTTTTCACATTCTAAAAGCGCACTTAAGTGCAACATCAAATATCATCCAGAGTCTGTTGCAATTAGGAAATTGCAAAAGGATGCAGGGTAGTCCACTTTAGGCTTTCTCAGTGTCTCCACCTGCTTTCGCGGCCTGTTTCTTCATCCTCTGCCTCCTCCAGCCCGGACCGTAGAACCAATTCACGACCGCCATCGGAGTACATGCTACCACGATGAGGGCCAGTAAGAGGAAGGAGGTAGCCGGGCCCAATGCTGTCACCATGGTCTCGGCAAACGCCACGCCCACGGCCGCCAAGCCACAGCGCACCAGGTTGTTGATGGCGGTGCTGCTCGCGCCCTTGCCTGGACACAGGTCTGACACCATGGTCTGGTTCATGGCAAACACGGCATTGCTCGTTGCGGCAATAAAGAACTGGAGCAGCAGCGGGACAATGACCCATACCGGCTTCGACGTAAGAGACGAGCTGGAGACCGTGAACCCGTAGATTCCCGTGGCGAGTGTGAAGAGAAGGGTGACCCATGAGAGATGTTTGAGTCGCGCGTGCTCAATGTTGAAGTCGGTTGGTATTGCCTTGGACGGGATCTTGTACTCGGGCGGCAGATTGTGTTGTGCCCTGTAAGTGACTTCGGCAGCTGCAAAATCCTTGTTCATGAGCTTTCCTATGACGGCAGATCCGACAATAGTTCCTAGGCCTATTCACCTTGGTCAGAAAACAAATGCACTTCTTGAACGTGGGTGGAGTTGTTTAGAACTGACCATTGGGCAGGAAAGCCAGACCGACAAGGAGTTCGTCTAGGCCGAATGCTGACTTGAAGATGCTTGTGGTGGTTGATGTCACCATACTCCAAATGGTGTAGATGATACCCCCAAACACGAGATTCAACAATATGTCTTTCTGTCCCAACAGTCGGAGTGGATCTGTAAATGTTGATATACTAATCTTTTTTCGTTGGACAGCATATTCCGGGTCTCGCATATAGTCGGGCTCCTTTCTGAATATGCGGATCAATGGTCTGTAGATGCCTTTGAGACGAAGAGAGCCATTGCCGGCAATATTTCTCATGGTTTCTGGAAGAAAGACGAGAATGAATCCCAATGTTATACTCGATATAATCAACAGAAATACAAAAATGGAGCGGAATCCTAAAGAGTTTGAAAGAGCGCCGCCCAGTACAGGTCCTACTGCAATGCTGAAATTTCGTACTAACCCATGAATAGGTCAGCCTCTGTTATAATGAAAGTGGTTCCAGTGGAGGTTTGAAGGCCAGTGACTCACTTGCTTGATAGAAACTAATGTACGATCCTCTCTCGGCGGGTTGAGTGATGTCTTGAATCACGCCATTCCCTTTGGTGCATTAGCTGTGCGTGAACTGTATAGAGATAATCTTTGGGGTCTTAGAGTGTAGTACCTATACTGACAGTGGAGGCGCTACCAGCAGCTTGTAGCCCTCTGAAAATGATCAAAATAGTAAAATTGGGCGAAAAACTCAGGACAACGTTGGCCGTGATGTAAACTGCAAAGGATGCAAGATAAATTGGCCGACGACCAAGTGCGTCTGCAAAAGATCCCCATATCACTGGAGATATACCTTGAATAACAAGGTATGATGTTATTGTCAAAGACACTGTTTGAATGCTCACATTCAAATCCTGATCGACATTTTTAGTATACCAATCAGTAGTTATTGTCCATGTTACTCGAGCTTACCTGTGCAATTGCATCTAGAGCCGGAAAGTAGATGTTGGATGAAAGACCAGAGAACAAGCCCGCAGCGCCAATTATAATGACCACGAACCACCTCTGTCTTGATGTAAAGACATGATACGGCTCTTCTGCTGGACTAGTTTTCGTATCTTTGAAAGTATCTTGGTTTTCGCCCGCATTGCCAATACCAAGGCTGTTCGAGAATAAATTCTGGGTACGCCTGCGGTCTTCTACTGGAACAGGGTCGGCGAAAGGATCTTCGGAATCTGTCTGCTGTATAGTTGAGTCGTTTGTCGACTCGTCGTGGGCTGTTCCGCTAGCTTGACGTGTGATGGTTTCTCCGTTGTCGTCGTGGATGCTGTCAAGATCAGGATACGTGGACAGGTTGATCAAGCCATGACCTGCTGCATAGTATAGATTGTTTGCTACTTCTCTCCACCCCTCAATGGTGGAAAATCGACGATGGATATGTCTTTCAGTGACTCTGCCTCCTTCGTGCTGTTCCATGGCTGATGAAGCAACTTGTTGATACGGTTGTAAGAAAGATAGTAGGAAAGGTACCGATTATCAATGCGTGTTGTGGTGCATCACTCGTATAGTCGACTTTTGAAGCAGAAGACTCAAAACGGAATATTGGAGATATTGGGGGGCAAAATATTTATCCACTAGCCGTCTCAACTTGACCCTATGTCTGTCGAATGAGTTCACACTCGAGGGGTCTGAGAGTGCTCTCGTATGCACGTTTATCAAAACGTAAAATATAGGACCTTGGTTCAATTAGGATGGTCGATGATTTCCCTCCGCAAACGTGCAGATAAACTGCCAAGTCTGATAAATTAGGTTTTGGTCCAATTGATTGAACATGAGCGTTCTACGTATGGAGCATACTGTCTCAGGCTGGCGTTCGTTTTTGTGGGTAGCAGCGCCGTGTTTCGTGTCATTGCATGAGACGCTTTCCCGAGATGTTCTTGTACTTGGCTACTGTTCTGAAGCACGGATACTGATCGACAAGGTGCAACTTGTGTATGTGATGAAGCGCAGCTCAGTACTGCATTGCCCCGTTGTTCCAATCTGCCAAAGTACCATACTGTATTATTCCGACCCTCTAGGGGAATCATACAATTTGTAAATCCAGGGGCACCAAATTCTTATGATATGAGATAACAATACTCCGGTGAACTGCCAACAGACGATGGAAAGATTGATCTGGAATAGAGTTATTGTCCACGTTCAAGTGTTACATTGCACGATAAAGGGCTCACCGTTGGGCAGAACGCATTTCCCGATACAATACAACACAATACAAGACCTGCCTTGTTTGGATTCCAATTGGAAGCAGATTCTCCGCTTCTGACTTCATCATGCCTGAAAGTCATTAGAATGGAACCGGAACGATAGCGGCCCAGCCACGGCACGCGTCATCCAAAGTGTTGAAACGACCTTTCCTACGATCTACTTCGCCCCCAAGCTTCAGGCAACTTGAATAGGGGCTCAGAGAAACGATCGCTGACTAAAATATGGCAGACAATGCTATCAGACAGCTTCATAATACCTTTCGCATAGACGGTGGAGCCATCATTCTCACAGGTTTGCGACCAGGCCAATTTTTAGACCAAGACCAAATAATAGCGTGAAGAAAACACACGAGGTCAAGGCAGACTTGCTAAATCTAAAATTGTCCAGTTTTGTAAGGCGTACAAAATCAACCTCGTAACTACAACAGAAGCGCAGGCTAAGCCATCTTGGGCTACTGAAAGTATGATAGTCCCGTCATTGCGCGTCCGGAGCACTACAGCCCGCTGAACTGGCTGCTCAGCCACACACTTTGTCGCTGCTCGACCTAAGCGCCCAAGTCGAACCTTGCGCACGACTCGTGTGGTTATCAGCAGAATACCTTGCTTCTGCGAGTCTTGTTGGCTACATTTTTTCAAGTCCTACACAATAAATCGCCGCGGTGCAGATCGAAAGAAATATTACAAGTTTTGTACTGAAAAGGATTGAAATCTATTGCAATAAAAATGATTATCACTACTCAAACTACCTCAAATTCTGCGCAGTATCGAGAATGTAGAAATCAAGGGAAAAACAATAAGACTTTCTGTTTTCAGCAATTCATGCCTCACAATGATTGTTCAATTGGCACCTTGGCCCGTCATGTTCTGCTATCATACCTTTTTACATACCCATTGTGACCTAGAACATAAAGTTGACAATCAAAGAAGTATCAGCTACCGCTAGTTGTCTTTGAACAGTGGATCTCGGTACTCCTCCCGCATCTGCATCCGCTGTGGGTAATAAAACATGAACGTTGATCGACCATCCACTGCCCAGGCAGCAGAATAACACATGGTTCGCTCCTGTAGATTGGTGGACCTCGTTTACGGCTGTGAAAATAAGCTTGTTAAGCGTTTCGTGAGGGCACGGCGGTATTATACTACGCCTCCGCCGGGGCCCCATCCCCAATGACACTCTACTTGCGCCTCTTTTCTGCTTGCTAGCGATATCTCTAGCATGCCACAATTTGCAAGTATGATAGGGCGACAGTTTTATTGGATCTTTTCTTCAGCCTCCGCTTTACGCGTCCAAATCCATTCTATACTCTCCTTGTGCCCACGTTCTCTAGCAGGGGGCAGCTTGTGGTACAGGCGAAGGTCTAGAATAGTTTCCACTGACTAAATCACAGCTCAGTGAGTTGGCTAAAACGTGGGGGCATTAGTCTGCGAGTCAAACATGAACCGCCGTTGCCAATCATTCCTTCTCTCGATGCAAGGAAGGTGGTAAAATATGTCACTTGGAGGAGAAGATAAGAGCATGCCGTCATTATCGTTCCGACTTGTGATTTGTGCTTCGTCAAAGGTACCGCTATCATTCTGATGCATGCAACATGGGTCGGAAAGGACCAGATAAGCAACTCTTTCGATCTCTAGACCGTTAAAATGCTGTTGACATAGCATCCGTGCCTGAAACGTTGCTGCATGATGGCTTGGGCCTTGCGTAGTGTGACAAATAACGCGGCACCCTGAGCCGGATAGGCTGATTTAAATGCCGATGATGCTGTTTCGCTGATGTGTTCTCAGCTTCAGCCCTGTTTGATTTCCAAGTCTATTGAGAATCCCGGAGTCTTGTCCCGGTTCATCTTCAGCTTCGCTGATTGAAACAAACAGTACCATTCTGAAAGGATCACAGTTTATCTCGTTATCAAAATTGAAAACATCATTTTAATTCCACACATAAACATATTACAGCTTCCCGATGGAGTTTCGTGACCAAAGAACAAGACCACTTGTACAAGAAGGCCGGGGCATGATGGCCAGGGACTGGGACGAAGAATGGAGCAGTCTTACAGCTAGTATTGCAGCCACGTCGCAGACAGGTATCCATTCCACCGAGGATCAAAAGACTGGCCTTTGCACTTTTCCCACAAACATTGCTAAATTTTCTCCCCATTCAGGCACTTTTACGAGTACACGAACACCTACTCCAACCATCACATCTTCAACGACCACCCGCCCTCCGACGCCGTTGACTACACTGACACTCGAGAGACCTCCGACCCCTACAACCACGTCTAGCAGCGTCAGGCCACCAACCCCTACAGTAACACTATTTACCGTGCGCCCCCCAACGCCGACAGTAACGGTCACGCAACAACCTATAACCCACTCGTCGGGCCTGACAAGTGGTACTGCATCTATACCATCAAGTACTGCTACAATATCGACACCATCAAGCTCAGCCGTTGCAACAACCACGGGCGTTTCGGGCTCTGGTACTGCGGTCATTGCCGCGGCAGGAAGCTTAGGTACGACAGTGGGAGGGAATTATTTGTGATCTCCAATCATTGTTTGCGTCTCACAATCTAACCATTGTCTCTTCTTTAGCTGGTGTATCTGTCGCTGTGAGCGGGGTATTTGTGTTGTTGCGAATGAGAAGAAAGAAACGGCTGGGCAAAAGGTACGGCATCTCGTTCTTTTCCCTCTTCTTTCAACCACCGCCATCAGCACCTAACCTTTTGAAGTAAGGCCTAAAACAGCAGACTAAATCTGCTTCGACCGTGGTCTCATGATCTAGCGATCGGTACTGTCAATGCGCACAATAGTGGTCATCTACCGACATTCTACGAGTTCCCGGCAACGAAGTTTTCACGCGTCTAAGATGCGCAGAAATCAGAGGGCAGATGCTTATAAGGATTTTCCAGCATGTCGTTCGTCGTGGTGTGTTGAAGCTAGTCACAGGGTGGAATTGGTGTATGTTCAGCTAGGCATTGTGTTTGGGGGAATGCAATCATTGTTCGAATTTACTACATGTCTTGACTGGGCTGCCAACTGAAACGTGCAGCTTCCATGAAATGCCCCACCTATAGTTTCGTTTGGAATATTCACAGTGAGAAGAATGAGCATTATAGAACCCGGCCTGCATTAGCATGGGGAATTCGGGTGGAGATTAGCCAAGCGTGAGGTCTTCAGCTCAATCGAGATTCTCTGTGGCGTTCATGGATCATGATAGACTATCTGGATATCGGCCATCGCCTCGTTTTCCCCTAACGAGGTGATCCACTGGGGTTCTATGCAGCGGACCGATGCAGTACACCATCTGTTCAAGGCCCCTCACTACGCCAGTGCAACTCTGCCACTTTAGGGTTAACGCCGGCAACGGTTCTCTTACAAACTGCCCCTGTCCCTGCCCTGCCCCTTTCCAAGTCCAGACACACAAGATAAAAAGGCCTTTATTGCTCCCATGATTTAGGCAGCAGAATAAAAACTGCAGCGCCTCAGATTTCCGCATCATCCCGCATCACGGTACTTTCCAAGCTTGGCATAGCCCCAAAGCTAAGCTGATGAGTCGTTCATACTGGAAAATGCTGCTCAATTGATGGTATTATGGTGTAGGTATATGTCTAGTTGATATTATAACAAAGGAGAGAGATCGCGAGCTAAGAATGGCTAAGCTAATGGTAGGAAAGGGATGAAGATAGACCCTGAACATTGCCACAAAGGTCTTGATTCAACAAAACAAGGTGTAGATTGATCACTGAGTCGGCTGGTTTAGACTAGGTTCTCAACCTCCCCACGACCCTCAGACATGTCCCGAGCTCTGGCATAGTTATTGCTGCCGAGACCAGCCCAGAAAGCCTTATCCTGGCTGCGTGGGGCCCAGGCCCAACCAGCACCACGTCCCAATGGAAGATGATAAAGTCGGAACGCCACAAGTGATGTCATGAACCCAATCAAAAAGCTGAAAATGATGTCGAATCCGTGATGTTGATAGTCGTACCATCTGGAAACACAAATGTACACTGAAGTGAATAACGGGACCACCGTAATAACGAGCAAATACAATGGTGGCGCAGCAGCCTCTTTTCTCGTGGCGGCCAAGTCTTTTGGTGTTTCCAAAGGCGCCTGTTGGTCGCTTCCGCGCTGCTCAAGAGGGATGGGCGAGGTGATTTGTCGGTAGTGGCGACGGGAGGGAAAAGCGGAATGGGCGCTTTCGTCGCGACGATAAGTCCCGTGATGGAGGAACGGTATGAAGGCACCAAGCTTCGTAGCTAGGAACAGAGTCAAGTAGACCAGACCGGCGGCCGAGATTGAGCTGTGGCCAGAGGGCGAGCTGCGGAATCCTTCGTCAATAATGGAAGAATCAGGGTTTTGGCAGATGGCGGCCGTGACCAATCTGCCATCGCTTGTCGCCGTCAATACGCCGCCAACCACGTAATCAGCAATGTTGTTGAGATCAGGCTGGCAGCGGGCCAACAAGTTGGGTCGCGGTTTGCCAAGTAGGTTTTTCATGCCATTGATAATGAACCATGTAGTTATAAAGGATGCAGCCAGCCCGAGCAAGCTCGCGTGCAACTCCCAAAGTCTTCTTTTCCAGATCAAGCCCTGCGATATTCCCTTGTGCGCCGTCGGGCCGGGAACGACGAGAAATGTTACGACGAGGATGATGGCGGCTGGCGCGACAATACTGACGATACCACACACGGCAATGGACACGGTATCGTCGTGTAGTGGAAAGCTGATGTTGCGATCTTCGAGGCTAAAGGCGTGCTTGTTTGGAGTAATGTTGTTGATGGCGTACCCCGCGAGACCGAACGCGATCAGTATAACCCAGTCGGCGACATACGAGGCGATTAGCTTGAAAGACATTATAAGCAATGGTGTTACAAAATTGCATGCATGCAGAAATGAGAGAAATGATCATTGCTTGAGAATTGGAGGACAAGAGAAGTAAATGCAGGGACAGGGAGAGATGGTTCTTTTAAGTCTTAAGTCTTGTAACTAACATAGCCTGTTGTCTAAGCCTCACAGGGAATTTCCCGCGCCTATTAGCTTTCCCTACACAACAGAGCTCTAGTGGCACAATAGTGCTGTGGTATTTCCGCCTAGCGGCCCTTGCAATGTGTCTGGAATGCGATATTCCTCCAAATAACATAATTCCCATGATTTATGGCATGAAACTTTTCGTGCATGGAGTCTTATAGGTAGCTGTGAGCTCCATAGCTCTCGAGTGCAAATTTTGATAAGAAATGGCTGGCATGTCAGCCACTGCCTCCATGAGCTGTCCATATTTTTGCATCATGACATCAAAGCAACACTGAGAAGAACGAAATCACCAGACGGCATAATCCAAACCACTGCCACGATTCCGGAACTCCGTGTACTTGACTGACTGCATGATGGAAAATAGTTGTCACCTTACTGCTATATCTTGAGAGGATAAGTCCAAGTACAGTGTCCCCAAATGATGGTTGAGCATCTATATAGATGAAATGGCAGAAGAACTTGATGCTCCGTGTCTCTAGCAAACATAACATTTTAGTTGCATCGCCACGACAAGTATAGCAAGAATGCTCAGCATTGGTGATAACACGGAACCAATGTGTACGAGTACACAACCAAACACCGGCAACATTTGTCAGGCAATACTGGTATCACCCCTCACATCATTGTAATAATGTGTTCTTTCAAAGAAATTATCTCAGAGGTAGGTGCACAACATTCGTCGCGATCACTTTGTACGAGAGACTGTTACGTCGGATGGAGAACGATGAAGAATGAATTCAAGGGGCCGGGGAGATGCGAGCAAGCCCTACCGACTGCCTGAACCCTTCAACGTAAATAAACATCTTTTCCGATCTACATCCGTGTATTATGGAACGCGTTTGATAGTATTCGCGGATTTGTTCTTCTAAAAATGCAGAACCACTATATTGCTTACAATAGCGGTCGGAGCTCTGGCGCTCTGGCGCTCTGGCGCTCTGGCGCTCTGGCGCTCTGGCGCTCTGGCGCTTTGGTCGCAACTCAGACCTCAGTAAGAGAAGCTCGCGCAAGTCGCGACGTGGCGTCGGACATGAATTGATTGCGCTCGACTGTAAGATTATGATGATAATGATGATGGTTAACCACATTCCAATCAAGTTGCCCAGGATTTGTTGAATACCACCGGTGAGGCAACTCGGGGCTCGCATAGCGCTTCTTGGACTGAGCGAGATTTGAGTACCAAATGAACTAGACGGCCAGTGTCTTATGAAGCAGTTCGCTAGACTTCTACGATATCTTTTCGACATTCTATTTCATTCGGTCCAACACCTGTCCGGTTCGCTAGTTTGTTTATCCGCTGCTCTGCGACTGTGAGTCCAGATTCTTTTGTCGAGTCTAAGACCTTCATGATCCCCAAACCAAGCCACCAACGAAAGCAAATTGAATTTCAGGTCTTCTCCGATGAACTTGACTCTGGGCGGTGGATTCTCACTGGTGGAGGATCCTACAGCAGCATCTATTCATTCGCTTGTTCCCCTAATTTGGTGGGACAGGCAACTGAATCGCCACGGTCTGACATGACATAGTCTTGGGTATTGCGATGCCTAAGGGTGTGATCGGCTCGTTTTTTTAAGGGGGGGGTCTTAACTTTTTGGGATACAAAATCGTTGCATAAGAAATTGTGGGGAGGGGAAATGTACCGCGTATAACTTAGGTAAGCATCTTTTGGATGTTGTCGTGGGATAAGAGCCTTGGCACCCATAAGAGGGGAGCTTAAGCTTAGCAGCCCTCCATCGCCCTGGGCTTATCGACCTTGGGCTTATTTGTGCCATTTCTCGAAAATTGGAGACGTTATGCCTTTTATAGTAGGCGGTAAACGATTTTAGAGCCCATGTCAATTCGGTACATTGGAAATCTTGCATAACTTAAGAGGGCCGTCTTACGATTATCCGTGCGACATTTTGACTGCCAAATTAGGTATGGTTGTGTCCTGACAGCATTTTCTTTTATTTTTTAGCGTATAATATGGATTGGTATAAGGCCCTGGCAACACTTAAGACCCCCTCTTACAGCGAGCCGATCAGGGCCTAATAGAGAAGGACAGAAACTTGCCACTGTTCCATTGCGTTTGAACTGATTGTGACATTTATTGGATGCCACTTTCGCATCGACCCAACCTTTAGAGACCCATTGCAAACCAATCGGAGCGTATGCCTGCACTATCCAAGAAAATCCACAGAAAGCTCGGTCTGCCCAACCTTTGCTATCGCCAGTAATGAATATCGCCGCGAAAACGACCGGTATTCGTGCAAAACAACAACTTTCAACTATATTCTCGCCTTGCTTGCTGCCAATTCTAAGGATATAACTACACGGTGGGTCCGTACCTGTGGACCGATCTATTTTAAAGCTACCAAAATATGGAGCACGCGATCACAGAACCATAAAAATCTGGACGAATAACTGCTACGGGATTGCCCACGTGGTAGACCCTTAAAATATTTCAACGTAGAAGAAAGAATCAGACTTCGGACCTCCCATTTTTGATACCGCACAAGCGGAAAGGGCGAGGAAATATTTTATGGGGCGGTGATTACAACGGACCATTTTCACGAGGCGGGATATATTACCAAATGCGGAAGAGACAAAAGTTGGCTAAAAGAAAATGACGAAAAGTTAAAAAAGTTAAAAACTCACCGGCGTGTTAAGACTAGCATAAATGAACACAATATCTGCAATATAGGCCAGATTGCCAGGCAGGGGCTCGTGTTTGGGACTTGCTTATTTCCTTCGACAACTTCGTTTGCTACCCGACATACGCAGTATGAGGTACCTCTATGCTTCGCCACCGACCAACCAACACAGCTGTCAAAGTTATGAATTGGCACTCTTGCTCAAGTTGAAACAAAATCCCACCTGAAAGTGTTTGGAATTCTTCAGGATATTCATCACTTCCTGTGCTACCTATAATATAGTCACAAGAAAATTGAGGACAACCCATATCAAGATCACTGTGTGGAAAAGCTGTAAAGCATTTCGCGAAAGACCTCAATCTGCACGTCTGGAAACACCCCAGCCAATATCTCCAGGCTGCTGTTTAGATCTAAAATCTCGTTTGGAAGGGCCGTTTGGGGCTGTAGCTGCCATTCGTCGGTGATGTAGAACGATGTGGGATCGGGACTTGATGAGCGCTGCAGAGGCGCTGCGCCAGCAGTCAACTGCTCTCGGGACTGCAAACCTCAGCTGTCAACGTTTGAATCGTTACGGAGCTTTGAATGGGGGCGCGCGTAGTACAGAGGATGATCGACCTCCCCTGAATTTCTCTTGCAAAGCCACATTTGTCGCTGCTGCCTGTCCAAGATACCTGACATGGGCCGGCTAGACAGCCGTGTTAGCACGTTTCCCCCATGCCTTGGACATGCCCACCACTCCTCTGTCTCAATAGATTATGTGATATCTCCCATATGATACGAAGGGGGCGTTGTTGTCACCCATCAGATCTTCATGGTAGCTCATCGGTGCTATTACTACTTGACTACCACCTTGGGTTCTCCTCACCGCTGTCCTGGGGCCGCCTTTACAATCTTGGTCTTGGCTGCGTGCTCTAGGATGTTTCGCTCCCTAGAAAGGGCACTGCAACTCTCTTATCCTCGATGTTCTCGCATGACGCCTCGGTGGAGAGCCCCCATCATCTTTTGTGGCTCTGGTCCAGTTTGATTTGTCATACACTGCCTATGTACCCTTGAAGCCGAGGGAAATGTACGAGCTGATACAAACAAGCCGTTGCACGAATGAACGTGGACTTGGATCAGGTTTATTGGCCTTGGGTTCGATGCATCATGGAGTGCAACAGGGCAACGCATGCGGGCCTACCCTGACACACCAGGCGCCCGCTGCTACATACAAATTAGGATGCGGCCGATGTATGAATATGTAATGGCTTTGAAGCATTCCTAATTTTTCAGCCTTTCAAACTGCCGATTGTCAACCCGACATTTCCATCGTGAATCTAATCGTTATGAGCGCCAAGCTTTCATTTGGTTCCAGCACTAGGGTCTCCAAGGATGCACCTATTGTATGACGCTCGCCTCATTGGCTTTCATTCCAAGACTCGGCATGATGTTAGCCCTCCACTGAACGATGGAGCAGCATTTCTGGCTCTTAGTGAGTGGGATTTCGAAAGATTGCCTGCATTCCAATCGCAGAGGCTCGTGTCCAAGGTATCTGACCAGAGACATCAGCTCAGAGTTGTTGCGCCAAATTTTCCATGATGCTACCGCTGCCGCTGTGAGGCCCGAATTTGGTACCCAAGTACACTGGGCGAGCGCTATTTTGTGAGATATTTTATGCTTTTTAACAAGCTACACCATTATTTGGTCTCGCCCACCGTGGGCACGTGCTTCATAGCCTGAAAGTCCTGACATGTGGGAATCGGAGAGCTGAAAGTAATGGTCCGTTGTCACTCTAATGGGGCTAGAAATGCCATTTGTGATACCTTGTTGCGCGTTTGATATGGACATTGCTTTCGAGGGAGGCGTGGGTGCGGATCTTTTAAGGCAAAGACGAATGGAGAAATTGAAGTGCCGCAGGTGATGTATCCACAGCAATCGGAGAGCCGCAGAACAGCCAACGATGACCATAATGCAGCACTCGAGGGATCTACACATAGTCAGATCACATTACTGTAATGAATACAGTCGGGGGCTTGGCTTACGTCGCAACCATAGCGTTAGTGATATTCGAAGACATCTTTGCGGCTTGTCCGAATTGATAATACAAGGAAACAACACTGGCTATAATGCAGCTTAATCACAAACAAAAAAGACTCAGTTAAATGATATATGATGCGAATTGCGAGTAGACGGGTTGAAGACTCACAAGATTCCCATAAGAAACACCAAAGCTACTCCGAGCTTTTCATAACCGGGCAACTTGAGCTTTGCGATGGTTGGTAACGGCAGTATGAAGATGGCAATGTCTACTGCCAATGAAAGGGCGCTCCGCGACAACCTTGTATAAAATGTGGCCTCGACACATTGAAGTAAATATTTTCCGTCTGGATGATGCAACCCTGGACTGCAGTGCACTACAGTGTACAGTGTGCTAGCGAGGAACCCTAGACCTGTTATGATCATGAGAGAATATGAGGCATATCTAATAAGTTTCTTGATTCCGAAAGTCCGTATAATCAAAACCAAGATGGGCAGTTTGGCAAAGTACATTGCAGCTGTGGCTGTAAAGATGCAGGCCGCGGCCAGCTTTTCAAGAATTTTAATATTAATAATCATTTATTCAAATATGACAAACATTGGCCGGAACGTACCCTGGTAATGAAAGCCACAGTAATGCTTTCTGGATCTGATTCGAAAGCTGCCACAAAAGTCAATATTACTTTTTCTCCGAGACGACATTTGATCGCGATTACTTGACTTCATCATGGATGTTGTTACAGAGTTGCTCACAATGAAGAGGACCGCGATAATGCATAGGTCTAGCCCATGATGTTAGATGTGCAAAATGGCGGGTCTGCAATACGCACAATCTTCGAGGAATGGCCGTTTGAAATGCCTGCAATTGGTTCCTATCCGTACAATCACGAAAGCAGCGGCGATAAAGTCGAGCGTCACCTGAGAGGCAATATAATTACGGGCCGGTATGGCGGTTAGCTGCACAACGGATTCCATCTTGATTCGTGCCCACGTTCAGAGGTCTGGATGTGAGGGTGTATGGACATGTAGATGAAAATTGAAGAGGTCAATAGGCTTGCCTGAGTATACTACAGTAAATAATTATCATACGATGCTTGGTGACGTCTGATAAAATGATAAAAAGAGTTTGACTGCGCGGGAGTGGAGATGATGCAGAAATTGCGACCATATCAGCCGCCGGCCTATAAGAATGCTTCATTGAAGAAGGGTTCGAACGCCCAGAAACAGAACTCGGTTTGTCCGGGGTTTTAGAATACGGATGGTAGCATTTCGCCAATCTCTTTCAAATGGGACCTGGTAATGTACGCCATCGGGCTATGTTGAGGGGATCTGCCATAAAGTCCTGGTCATGTAGCGATCTGCCAAGCAGAGCTGAGTGAGCAAAGGGGCGAAAAAGTCAGCTTGGCCCCCCAGGCGGATTCAACACAGCCTTCTCGTATGCAACCCGGACACCTATAGACCCTAGGATCCCCAAATCCTCGCCACGAGGCTTGACATGACTGCATTACTATCGCTTTACGGGGCGCATCTTCCCCTAGAATCTCAAAGCTTTGTCGCCCTGGCTGTTGCCAAGAACGTTGAGCAAACTGGCTGCTGCAGTGTGTTGGGTCACAATTCAATTTACATGTAAAATTTCTCCCACTTTCATTCTAACTCTTCATACTACCATAGACAAATGCCGTTCCCTGGCTTTCTTCGTCGCCTGACAAGATTCCCATGCTCAATTGTTTCCGTGACCGTTTGAGTCATTGGAGGATTACCACGATTGAGATCAACGTCAGTGTCTTGGTACTTTCAGAAGTGGATAAAGAAGCATTCGTGTTACTATTGGCAGGCATAATCAGTGCTGTACACTACATATCTCTTCAATAGCCTGAGCATGATGTCGATCGTTGGGCTTTTGCAGATACGCCCTAGCGGCATCGTGACAATGTGTTGCCAAAACAAAGTAAAATGTAAGTCAATCACTTACCCATAACTCAACATTTGCAATCTTTTCCCCTCCCGACCCTACAAATGGTGCTACTACAAACTCAACCTGGCGACTGGAGTGACCCCGTTCGATTAATCATATATGAACCCAATAGGATAGCACAGTATTACCCAACTTCGGTGTCTTGAAATGACCAGCATTGCTTCCATTTGTTGCGGGAATAGACCGGACAAGCCCTGGGCACCGGTAGCTCGAAGGTGCTCGCTCAAGGAAATAGTGGCGCGGGGCCGCACGGCCAAGAGACAATTAGTCCATGGACAACACCTTGAAATCTCATTATATCGGGATGAAAGATTGTCGCTCCTGCACTAAACTGGACTGCCCAAACCAGCTGACAAATAGCTAAGTGAATCCCTGACCAAAACCTTCGGCATCCAAATTAGGATGGAGAAGCCAAGCCTGTCCAGCGTGGAGCCGAGTCCGGGAAAGCCGCAGTACCTGACCCCGCGTTTTCCTCAGTGGCCCTGCTCTCCCCCAAAAATAGGGTCGCTCTAAGAGTCTAGTATAACATCTTATTCCTGATAATAGAGGACCTGGTGAAGTTGCTGTTGGCCAGTCCAATGTGTATCCCTCTTTGCCTATGCCGTGGTCTGTACGTCGCAAATGAATATAGGATAGTAAAGCTCTAGTTGACATGAATCATGCCAATTCGGGCTCGACGCTGTTGGATTATTCAACAAACCGAGGTATCTTGGTACGAGGATAGCATGGGTCATTTCTCTTATTTCCGGAGGAACATTGCTTAGTACACTTAGTTTCCTTTTACTTTAATATTATGCTTGTACCTGCTACTTATCTTTACTCTTTATTGCAACAGACGCCAGAGCCGCAAGTCACGTCCCGGACTTCCCCAGCGCCAAATCTTCAGGCCACCGACGTGTACGTCAATTGTCCTGTTGTATGACCTCTTGTCGCGCGAAAATGACCCCTAATCTCAATTTACCTCTAGGTCTAACCGACGCACTCGAGAACCTGACAATGGGGAGCTTCCGAATAAACGACGACCCGGCGCTCGACCACGTGCATCTCAAGCATGCCAGTCCTGCGCGGCTGCCAAGATTCGATGTGACAACTTGACGACTTGTCGTAGGTGCAAGGCAAGGGGAGTCGTGTGCCTAAGACCTGTCAGAGCAGTGCATTTGCACAACGAAACGACAAGTCCATCTACCATCACAGCTCCCATTGCTCCAGTACGCCAGCAGAGCCCTAGCGAAAGTCTGTCTCAATGCCATGTCACCAACCAGTCAGATCCTACGAAGACGACCCCTTGTTCTAGCGAGCGATCTAATGTGGATACTTTTGTCAACAATGACAACGACGACAACAATAATAGCAGCAACCCATCTGTGTTACTCTTCGCCACTTCACCCTCGACTTGGCCAGTCATTTCCGAAAAGACATACAACCCTCCACAAACTGACGCGTCCGAAGCACGCGACGCAGTATACCAAGAGGAGGGACACGCTAATGGTTTCTTCGATTTGTTTCCAATCGCCGCGCAACAATGGGCAAATTGGCGGCAGCCCATGGACTGGGATCTAGATCAGCCGTTCCTGAACGCTCTTATGCCAATCGACGTTCAAGATGGCGAAAATCAGCGCCCCGTTGACCTGGATGCCAGGATGGAAACGCCAATATCATCAAACGGTACCGAAAGCGAAGCCAAAATCTCCAAGTATGCCGTTGATACATACAACGACACACTGGGCACTTGGCACCCGAAACCCAAAAATTATTTTGCCGCAGAGAAAACCTTTCTTTCGATACCTCTAGAGATGCAAGAGGACATATTAGGATTCCCAGAGAGTCTTGAGTCGTCTGTGATCAATCATCGTCTGATGCCTGCCAGACGAGATGATATTATTGTCGTCGTGAATGGTCGTTTCTCCGGAGGCCAGCCGCTGTCATCTATCCAGTCCTTCCCCTCGTCTGCGGTTCTCGACAAGTTCCTTACAGTGTTCCTCACGATGCAAAAGAGTCAGTTGTGTAGCTTCATACACCTTCCCACGTTCGATCCCAATGTTTGCGACCTCTCACTTTTAATGACGTGCATTGCCGCGGGGGCCACTGCGTCGCCCACTCTTGCTGCTCAGATGTTTGGATTTGCATTGCTTGAGATCTTGCGCTGGTATATACCAACCTTGGTAAGTCGACAGGTTTCCTGGGGTCGAGCCTGGCGGACTGCCTTGACCATTGGGTTGTCATTCTTACTTGTGCTAGGCAGACAATGACAACACTCTGACTCGATCCATCCCGTTCGTGCAATCGTTAGTAATTCTATCAAACGTCACGTTTTGGAGCGGTGATAAACGCAAATCAGAAATCTCGGACATCATGGCTGAATTTGCTGTGACAGTAAGATACCTTTGCCACACAAGGCTGTAAAGTCAGCTAACATTGTCGTTATAGATGATTCGTCACGCTCGCCGACTGGCTGGATCTTCGTATCTGTCCATTGTTCCCATACCAAACAGTACACCCTCACAGCTAGAACTCACTTGGAGACATTGGGTCAGCCAAGAATCCGGTAAAAGGTAATTTCTTAACCTAATTGCCATGATCGGTCCCTGACTTGTTGACACTGAAAAGGACCGTATATCAACACTTGATGAATTGTATACAGCGTGCTGTACTTAGAAACACCGTCGTCATAATGTCATGCACCGAGGTCTGCACACCAATCCCGGAGGCGGACCAACTATGGTTTGCACAGTCAGCTCTTGAATGGGCCTCGACTCATGGGGGGCTACAGGCCAGTAGAGATCGCCACCCGCTCTCGCTAACAGATTGTTTTACCAGTGCTACAGCATGGCAGTCGGTTCCGACGTTGCAAGACCGCAATTTGGCCAAATCAATGATTCTATACTCCTCAATATCGATGCTAGTAGAGGATCATCGTCGCAGCTTCGTGTTTAATCTTCAAGCTGACCGTAACTGGGCTTACGAAAGGATATCTGATTCATCGACAGCATGGCACATAGCCTCCCTTCTGGATGAAATGCGTGGGTCTATGAGTAAGGACTCCCTGGGCGGCAGTTCAGCCAACGCAATGTTTCTACTTGAATACTACGGCCTTTACTCTTCAAGCCCGAACTACTTGGCGGAAGCGCTCCTCGGCGATGAGCGATTCGGGTCGTCTCGGAAGGCTCTGTCTTGTTTGAGGGACTGGCGGAAGACTCGCTTGGCGAGGACTGCCGTTTGGCACGCTGGTCAACTCTTTCGTCTTGGCAGATCAATTACATCCAAGCAGGATATGGATTTCGAGGTTTTTGCTATGTACCAGGCCGTTCTATGCTTATGGATGTATGGTTATGTGAGCCATGAATCCTCGTCATCCTTACCTGGATCAATTACGCCAAAAGAACCATCGGGCAGCAAACTGTTAGAGGAACCCAGAATTCGTCTTGATGGAGCTGAGTCTCTGGAAAGTCAGCGATGGGTCAGTCATAATCGAGGTACTCCTTACATCGCAAAATCGAGCAGCATGATTGGAGTGCTAGACTCTGCTACAGAGATTATACCGATCACTGCCGCTAATAATGCGAAGATGTCTTTCATAATACCCCTGGTGGGCATGATGGAGACGCATTTTTCTCTCGAGCAGGTCGGCAGACGGCTTCCTATACTTTCGCATATTTGTCGGATTCTACGTGCCTTGGGGCGAGTGCCACAGCTAGAGAACTGGGCTGAATGAATGGAAAAACGGATTCCTAATTACACTCACTTTGATGCAACTGATTGAGAGTTTGTAATTGTCTGCCATGCTTAGCTAGTTACTCCGTAGTGATAGCAGAACTGGGCAATGGTGGCTTAATTATAGTTGATTAAGCTGATTCGAAAATTTCAAGTTTTAGTCTCACTGATAAGCACAACGAAAATGAGACACGCTCACTTGAGCATCGAACAATTGAGCACTTGGCATCATCGCTGGAAGCGTATAGTGCCTAGCCAGTCGAGCTAGTGATGAATAATTGTTAAAGGAATGTCCTAAGCCGTACCAGTCGGTCCTTGACAAACCCGAACCGGACGATGCCATTAATATACCGAATAGCGCCAATCCTCGTCACACTCCAGCGCGTCAAGAAATTGACGCTTCTCTGCAGCCTCGAGCCACGGTCGGCATGCCGAAATGGCTCCACCCTTTGCACACGGGTCCTTCATTGTGTGTGTCAGGTACAGAAATATTGCTCTGGGCCAGAATCCGCTCTATTCTCGCTTTTAGGGCGAGGGACCTTTTGGTAAGCACCTGGTACACGTGGAAACAACGGGAGATTGAATGATAAAAAGTGACGCTGATAAAAAGTGACGCTTGTATTGTCGAGCTACGTGGCCATGAGAATGATGATCGTTTAAAAGGATCTCTCAATTTCCAGGTGCCAAGTGAAGCTACGGAAAGCGTGGTGTAGAAAAGAGGGCGGAAAAGGCGTTGTGGCTGCGGGGGATGTTGGTACCAGTACTTAGTGCAGTGTCTTAGCACCTAACATCGCTATTTGTCCCCACGTTGAACAAATTACAGACAGGCTAGGACTTGGGACAGAAATGCTCATGGCCGCCATGGTTGGAGTTCAATTCTACGGAGACGATTTTATCCGTCAACACACATGCAAAGACATTCTCACATTTACATGCAAATGCTAAGATCCAGTAGGCTAATTGCCTTTCAGATTGAAATGGGGAATGAAAACCAAATCAAGCAAAACCTCACCTAAGACGGACAGCCGTAAAAGGCCGTTGTCTTTGTATGGTTTTTGATCAAATAGCACATAAAGTCTTGAAGTATATGGCAGCTGTATCAAGTAAAGAAAACGATAGATCATCTCCCTGTACGCTAAACGCAGCAAAAACAAAGGTTTATAAGTCCCTTCTAGACCATTGAGCCACCCTAAGCTAAGCCTCCATAGCCACTATTAGTGGCCATCTCCAGCGCCCCCACATCAAGATTCAGCGGGAATGCCGAACTTTCGAATCGCTCAAGGCTATCCGGCTCTCCGACTTTTATTAAAGGTTTTTAAGATTTGCCATTGACGCAAAAATCAATGGTATTTGACAACAAACTTGTTTCATTTTCAGAATGATATGCTGTCGCATTCTCTCTCTATCAAGTATTGATGAGCTTGACTCCGAATCTTGATGCTAACTGGGAAAGGTGGAGTCGTAGTCGCTGAATGCAACGGTTTCGACGTATCAAGGGGAGGGGCGTCATCAGGCTGGGAAAACTCAAAGCAATACAAAAGTCGCGCAAGGGCAATGAACAGATTCGAATTGGCGACATTGTATCCAACACAGGCTCTGCGTCCTAAATGAGAGTATCGTTTGGTTAGGTTCTCATAGCTTTCTAAACTTGGAAATGAACGGAATGCTCACCGGCACCAAATCCGAGGTGACCTTTCAGAGGTTTATCAATATCCTCATTCAAGAAACGCTCTGGCCAGAATCGCTCAGGCTCTGTATACTCATCCGGCGAGTTCGAATTAGCCCAATGATTCCAGGTGACGACCGTTCCAGCCGGTATTGTGTACCCTTCGAAGACATCGTCACAAATCAGCGCGTGAGGTATACCTGTCTCCCCAATGCAAGGTCTGTTGATACGAGTGTCAGTATCGGCGCAAAGATCCTGATACGATTCCAAGACTTACTTCCACCGAACGCTCTCTTTCACAACCGCTTTGACCAATGGAAGATCTGGTGCGTCCTGTTCCGTCGGCAGTCTCTCTGCATTAGCCCCGCACACCTTGTCGATTTGCTCACGAACTCTTTCAACCCAGTCTGGCCACAGTATTGCCGCGGCGACGCATTGTGTCAACGAAACGCGAGTGGTGTCTGTGCCAGCCTCGATCAAGGCTCCAGCTATAAAGAGTAACTCATCCTCTTCAAATTCGTCTCCTTTCCCAGATTCATAAAACTGGGACATGAAACAGTTATTTTGCACGCCGGATCTCATTCGCTCACGAAGGGCGTTCATCTCCTTCTCATAAAGACTGCCCATGGGTAATTAGCATTGAAGCGCTTCCCGGTAAATCCTCGCTTTAGCTGCCCTTACCTTCTGGTACGACGGTATAGCTTGTCGCCCCACCATCGCCACGGCTGTAGGCTCTGGGGCAAAGGCAAGTTCAACAGGAAGGGGAAGTTGTCGACAAAAGAACGACCGGGTTCAAGGTAAGGAACAAACTGCTCTGCTACTGCCAGTAGTTCCTGCAGGCGATTGTCTGCGCCTGCCCGTTGTCCGAAAACAACACTCATGATGACGGATCCCGAAAAGACTCCATGACTAATGAACCAGCTTTCTGGTTGCTTCAAGTAATTGTATAGCAAGATTTTTGATTCAATGTCTTGAAATGGCCCAAATACATTCGCCTGAGTCGAATCCAGGATTTGGTGCATGATCTTACGCTCACGGCGCCAAAGATCGCCGTAGGGCATGAGAAGAGTTCTCTTTTCGTTTGATATGACTCGGTAAGCCATGGGGAGGTTCATCCGAGATGAGTATATAGCTGCTCTCTTTTCGAGTAATTCGTGGACAACGCGCCTCGAGTTGAGGAACAGCCAGTATGTTCCTCCTATGTTGATAGTGAACCTGAAAAGTATTAACAGCAGAGACCACCGGCCCATGCAGGCATCGTTGCGTGCTTACATCTCGCCATGTCTCTTGGCCAGGTCTTGAAAATGCAGACACGCATTGCTTGCCGGGATTTGATGGGCGTTCCCAACCAACGGCAAACCTGGAATTAGATTGGGCAAGTTGTATTTCTTTGCGGAGCGCACGCGCTCAGTGACTTTCCAGGCAATCCATATGAATAAAAGGAGCACGCTGCCGAGGGTAGCGCTTCTGGTGACTGAGACATGACTTTCTGTCAAGTTTTCAAGTAGAGCCATCTTGGCCTGCAGAATGAAGAATGCTGTGAACTCACAACTTGAAGATCGGCCAAGTAATCTGTGAATTTTCGAAGTAGATGAGCAGCATGTGTTAGTTGATGCTGGCTTAGCCTTTTGAAACTTATTTATTTTGATGCTTGGCCTGCGTCTTGACCCCTACCCATTGATCAACGCATGTCATGCTGCCAACGCCAAGTTTCGGCATGCCGAGTTCGCGTGATGCATGCTAGGTTCAAATTGATTCTTGCCGCGACCTCCACGTCACGACACGAATCGATTATTAAAATTTGATCCCGCTGCTAGACTAACATCATTTATTGTATTTAAATCGATCAACATTTACATGCAAGCATGACCAAGAAAATGATTATGCTATTTGTACTAGATGTTGGCATACTAGGTAGTGACCTCTGAGAACACAGCATCCTTGCTCAAACTCTTCTAAAATTCCCCACCGAAATTGATCCACGCCTTTCAGTCAAAAGAAAAGCCCTCTACTCACCTACAATGGAATCGGAACAAGGCAAAATGACTTTGACAGATAGGGTAGCAGTAGTCAGCGGGTCTTCGTCAGGGATTGGGGCAGCAATTGCTCAAGAGTTGTCAAAGCGCGGGGCCCGAGTAGTCATTAACTACCCATTCGAAGCTGAAAAACAAAGAGCCGAAACCGTACAATCTACGCTGGCGAGATCCACCGAATCCATCATTGTCGAAGCCGATCTGTCAACAACCACTGGCCCCACCAAATTAGTGGAAGCGGCCGTTGCAGCTTTCGGAACAATCGACATACTTGTCAACAACGCTGGCATCGTTGTACCTGCTGACATGGAAGATGGAGATGAAGAACGACTCCTCCGGGCGTGGGATGCCACAGTCAATCTCAACGGCCGGGGAACGTTGTTGCTCACTCATGCGGTTTTGCAGCATCTATCCAAGAACAATTCGCGGATCATCAACATATCTAGCATTAGCACTCGCGATCCGGAACCCTTTGCTCTTATTTATGGCGCCACCAAAGGCATGGTTGACAGCTTCACCAGGACCTGGGCTCGATACCTGCCCCGCAAATATGGATGCACCGTCAATGCTGTGGCCCCGGGGCCTATCGGGACAGAAGCGCTTCTTACCGCTCCTCTGCCTCTACAGGATTCGGTGCGGGAGACCTACGAGCGAACACCTATAGCGCCCCGGATGGGCACAGTATCAGAGGTTGCCTGGACGGTAGCTATGTTGTGTGAGGAAGAGGCCAGCTGGTTGAATGGGCAGTACATTCACGTCGATGGAGGACTTATACTATTCTGACGTTGGAGACGGCAAGAACAGTGCAGGCCCTCAGAGGCATAGGCTGTCACTATTGAATTGAACTTCAATTTACTCAATTCATGCTCTCAAGTGATTTAAATTCTTGCTACAACTCAGATGTGATTCTGTTCCGGAATTATTTCATCAATTATAGTCGCCCCTGCTGGGTGCAATGATTCAGATGAATTATCTAGAGTGAAGGAATTCCGTTAGTGAATAAAAGAGTGGTTGGACATTGAAAACTTGTTCATCGCCATCTATATGTTCCTAATTGTTCTAATGGGACTAGTATCCCAAATAAAGATAAATTTAATGATGGTGTGCATCTACTAAATTACTAGGTGAATAAACAGATTTGATAACCCTTCATGTTAGGTCACCCGAAAACTGCAACACTACACAGCCACAGCATCATCTCCAACAAATACCTGCGATCATCAAGGCTACAGTCTTGGACTCAAAATCATTATTGGGGAGCGCGATAGCATCTTGACAGAGTTTTAGTATTTCCCGCAACGTAGGATCTGCAATCTCGTAGTCGAACAGCTTCTTGGAAGCAATCTCGACGGTATCAGTAGTGCCGGGCGCAATAGTTTACTCCATGCAGTCGGCCAACCGCCAGGGACTGGGAGCTTTGGCAGCGGCAGTGTGACAGCAGGCTTGGGTGTTTCCTCGCTATGTGCTATATACACTTGAGGGAATCCTCAAAGGAGATGAAATCTAGAAGTTTGACAACATACTCGGCAGCTTCGATAGATTGGACTGAGCATTGCATTGACACCATCACTCTAATGCACCGTGGTAGAGAAGCATGTAGTATTAGACGATTTTATATCTAATGATGACGCTTTGGAATTCTCTTGGGCCTTCAAGGCTAAGCAATACGTGTACCTGGTGGCTTCACTGCTGGAAATGTACTACTTTGCCGCGATTGTTGTGCCATGACAAACAAGACTGCTACCCATATTATGAAGGGTGCACCGTTCCTTACGCAAATCATTCCTCGGTATGCATACCGATTTTGCATGCTTGCGTTTACACAAATAAGCAGCACTTTGCGCACCCATCAGTCTGTCTTTGTGACCTCGGAGAAATCAACTTCGCAGAGACTAGTGAGGCGTTTACCCTTCAGTACTATGCGGCTTGAACATAGACCTAAATATCGTCATTCGATTAAAATACAATGAATATCACAAAGACGCCTGCAATTGAAAGGAACGTGGGGCATCTAAGTTGCGAGACTGCTGGGCTGGAGTGCTGCGCAGGCCATTCAACATGAACCTCGCCACGTCAATGTTTTTGTGCATGAATAAATTAGAATACGTCATTTAACGCGTTAAAACCTCTATCTTTCCCCTAACGCAAATCCCAGACATGCAGAGTAGTGATCATAGATGTACACGTACTGAGCCCTGATCCAAGGATCAATTCGGAAAATCGAATCATGTAGCTTGACGAGCAACACGATTAGTACCATCGTCATGATGCAGGGTTGCTTAGAGATTTGTAAATGTCTGTAACGAGTAGGAAACACGTGAATGGGCTCTCCTAAGTCTTGTTTGCGGGCTCAGCACATCAATGCATCATGTTGTTGGTCTATTTTCTTTTCCCATTGTTCCCCTGAAGCGCCTCACGCCAATAAGCTCTTGACATGGTCATTGATCCACTCACGTAACCAGCCCTGACCGCAGATTTTGAAGTAATCTAATTGTAGTGAGACTCATATCCGCTGCTGCTTATGGGATAGCCGTTATGCGAGAAGCTGCATTGATGTGTTTTTACTTTGCTAATGTTTCGGGCTGGCATCCATTGACTCTTATCGGCGCACTTCCCCAACTATTGGAGCGCTCTTGGTTGGTCGTTGATGCAATTGAACTGTGATGCAAAGCGACGGTCGCGGGAAACCATTGCCATCCGGCCCGTCGTGGAAGGTTGGCACCACCGCGGCTGCGTAGTAACCGACACAAGAACTACCTACACAGTAGATCTTGCAGCCATACGCAATGCGATACGGCAGGAAGAGCCATTGTCAATTACTATAATAGGTAGGTACAGGCGCAGGCCTCATTCCGTCGCCAGTAGCTTCTTAAATTATGCTTCAAAGTATGACTCCTTCACACCGGAATTTGCCCCGGCATGTCCCCGGATTTTGCCCTGAATGACGCGGAATGTATTAGCCTCAAAGGACCCACGCTGAGGCGCCGCCGTACTGTGTATGGATACATCGCTGGATCTGTATGTACAGGGCCGTGGCAAGGTGGGAAAGCCTCATTTCCCCAAAGGGAGGAAGGCGATAAGCGTACATGCAATGCTAGAGGCGTTGGCTTGTATGCACCCACACGCGCACCCCGGCTCGACCCCCGACGTCGTGGAACGTATACAGTATCCGCAGCAAGGAACTTTGCTGACAACAAGAGGTGGAAATAGTGAGAAGTATTACGCCGTCGATTTCACTACTAGGCCAAAACTGTAATGAACCATAATGTACTTCTTGTCACCTTTAGCTTGACAAGTTTTTAGTTTACACTGGGTAGTATTTCATAGGTCGAAATGCTGCTAAGCGTGTATATGCATAAAATGAAAGACCAAGGTTCTGTTTATGTTATGATTCTTGCAAAGTCATCCATGTAACTCGCTTTTTCGCGGAGCAAAGCCTGTAACCTCGGTCCCTCCGGCTAGCCGGCTAGTTCTAGGAGCAAATTGCTGGCTGAATCCTCGCACGAAAGACCCAACCTCCATGAACCTGCAGGTGACCATCTAATAGCGAGGAATCTCAGAGTCGAACAAGATATGTACAGGCAGTCTTATGATCTGGCAGCTTTGCCTTTCGGTGCCAATGTACTGTGTTTGTGTAAGCACTAACCGCGGCTACTTTTAACGGGCCTTTGAATTTATAATACTTTTCCTGAGGGTTTTTGGTTTTGTCTCCCTGAAAATATGCTAAAACTGGTCTTACGTCTCGCTACATTTTTGCATTGAGAAGTTAACACTACCGACATACAAAAGAACATTTTGTGGGCTGCTTGGGCCACCTAGAATCTTCACGTTTTGATAGGATCTGCCCCCATTGCACAAGCATATTTGTTAGCCAACAGTCTATAACCGCCCCAAGCCATGTCAACAATTGAGAACCAAAGGTGCATAGTCGAGCCTAAGGACTGGCCGGAGGTCAGTGAATAAATGCCCTGATGTAATACGTATACTGTTGTCATCAAGGCGATTTAAACACAGCCACATATGACTAACAACACAGCACGTTAGGGAAGAAAGAACCTTATTGTTTTCACGGCTATGCTCTTGATCTTTAACAGCACCATGGGAAGCTCACTGCCTACTATGCTTACACCCTATATGGTAGAAGCCTGGGGCCGATGGAGATCAGCAGCGTTTCTACAGAGTGCCCTTCCCATCTCTTCATATATGATGGGTTATGTAGTCGGGCCAGTTATTTGTGAGTTGATTGAATTCTGAGGAGTCATGATCCTAGCGCTTTCTCCAACGATAATGAGCTACCAACATGCGTTTTACATTTCTAACCATAAACCAAAAGGGGGCCCATGCAGCGAGCACTTCGGCCGGCGACCTGTGACTCGCATATCGACGTTCTCCTTCGTGGCATGGTCTCTTGTGGTCTCCATAGCTCCGAACTGGACCGTCTTTCTACTCTTTAGATTCTTAGCCGGGGCCTCAGCAAGCGCTCCTTTTGCTGTTGTAGCTGGCATCCTCTCCGACTTATACAAGGACCCCCAGCAAAGGGGACGGATTACACACTACTTTCTAATCGCAAGTAAATATCAAGCTCATGGCAATACAATAGCTAATGCGACACCAGATGGCCGTTTTTGGGCCGCTGTTGGCACCTACTGTCTCAGTAAAGAACCGGATTCTACAAACAACGGCTCCATGGCTAATACAGTGAAGGGTTTATGCTCGACCTCTATCGGGTGGCGCTGGACCTTCTGGATTGGGCTCGTTTGTGCCGCCGCCTCTGTTATTCCAGTGATTTGGCTTCCGGAAACAAACATGCAAGTGCTGCAGCTCGATGAAACGCGGCAATCTCGTGAGGGTACACCTCGCTTCGCTGCTGGAGAGGTGACGCAATTCGTCAAAGTTGTCTTGGCTCGGCCTTTGCACATGCTGTTTACCGAGTTCATAGTGGCTGTAACCTGTGGTTATCTGGCACTTTGCTACGCAGTATTTTACATGTCATTTCAACTTTTCCCGCCCATATTTCAAACATTTTATGGTTTGGGCCCCCGTATGACTGGAGTGTGCTTTCTACCCGTCGGTGGTGGCTATCTTCTTTCGCTAATGATAACGGCAAAGTATGACGCCAAACTTAATAGTCTCCGAGTGCAAAATAGCTCGTGGGCTAAAAGAGAGGATATGAGACGTTTACCACTTGCATGTATCGGAGGGCCCATGTTATCTGGATCACTCTTCTGGCTTGGATGGACTACTAAGCAGAGTATACCATATGTCGTGCCAATGTTGGCAGGGGTTCCATTTGGATGCGGCTTCATGCTTATATTTGCTGCGTTGCTAAATTACTTGTCGGATGCGTACGGGGTATTTGCAGCTAGTGCTAGCGCTACAGCAAGTTTTGCACGTTCTGTCTTTGCTGCACTGCTTCCATTTGCCGCTTCTCCTTTACTTCAGCATCTTGGGATCTCAAGGGCATGCAGCCTCCTTGGCAGCGTTGCAGCGCTCATGAGTTTGATACCCTTCTTTATTATTTGGAAAGGCGAGGTCATACGGTCAAGGTCTAAGCTCTTTAACAGCCTGGAAGGATAGATATTATGTAAGAATGAGGTGTAGGCGAAAATGGAGTGAGTAGTACTCATGCAAGAAGCTGTGCTGCGCGGAAGAAATAACAAAAATCAAAATGTGGTCTACTGTGAATGGCTGCACTCCATAATGCGAGCAAGATTTGAACTGGGGGTTTTCCGTGCCGATGTGGATTAAAAGAAAAGAAAAAGAGCAATCAGCGAAGAGGCCAAGTTAGGCAAAGAAGATTGCCAAGCTCTTTCAAGGTGGATGAATGCGTTGATTTGTTCCTGGATAGGTACTAAACGTAGCATAAAACAAACAATGGTAGCAGTGGCCATGAACAGAGGTTTGTATTGCTACGTTAGGTAGCTACCTAATTTGAAGTCGCAGAGAATGGAGTTTCATATGGCTTTTCCGCTTGCAAAGTTAGACGAGCCAGGTGTCTTCGCGCTTTACTAGTCCAATCCACAATGGCAGAGTGCTGGGTAACGCGATTGTCCCACACCACTACAGTCCCGGGCTCCCATCGTACGCGAACCTGGAAATCAGCACCATATGAGACGTGATTGTATAAGAATTTAAGAAGAGCTTCGGACTCCTCCTGCTTCATACCCACAATATTTCTCGTGACTAGAGGCGTGTAAGCTGTGGAATCTGCATGAGGGGAAGAGACCTCACATTGAGGATTGACAAATATGGCCTTTTCTCCAGTCGTGGGATGAGTTCGCACAATGGGATGTTCGGTTACCACAGGCGCTCTTCGTGTGACGCTGCCCTTTGCGATTGAAGCCTTGATCTGCTCAGCACCAGAGTGTATGGCCGTAAGGCCGTGGAGACGATGCTGAAATGCGGGGCTCAGTCGCTCGTATGCTTCAAAACAGTTGGCGAAGAGCGTATCTCCACCGGATTCAGGTTTCTCCAAGACATATAGAAATGTAATTCCAGGAGGCTGTCGCTCGTAAGTAACGTCGGAATGCCAAACTACAGAGCTTGTGCGCTCGCTGAAAAAATCTTCAAAGCACCGTCATCCCCTGCCCCACGATGCACAAGATGGATCTGCGGGTATCCCTTTGGTGAGCCAGAGGTTGGATGTACGTGATAACGGCCATAGTATGCACCAAAATCCAAGACATCAGAGATGGGCAGATCCGCAAACTGTTGTTCCCGAAACACAACTACTTTCCGTTCGGCAACGAAGCGTGCAAGCTGATTCCTCCCAGAATCGCTAAGGGAAGTAAGTTGAAGGCCTTGAATTTCTGATCCTGTCTTTGGGCTGATCTCGGAAACTTCGACCCCATAACCAAACAGATCAGGATAGGTGGTATCAACCCCCTGACCACGGTCGGCAAATGGGAATGCCTCGAGGGGAGGATAACTTTGGTCTGGATCCCAGGTTGGAAGGTAATTTGGGTACTGACTAGAGTAAGCAGACGCTCGATTGGGGCAACGACGGTCGACTCACCTTGGCAGCTGGAAATTCTTCGTTACCATTCACTTCGATGTCCTGGTTGAACTTGTTCAAGAACACATCTTTAGATGCCCCTAAATCATTATCCATAATGTTGGCCTGTGTATCTGTGGTGGTTGTGAAGTCTTGAGTGGTTCCAGTGACTGTCATGGCATTCGCGTTTCAATGAATGGCCAGTACTTCCAGTGACGAATGACTGTCTTGTTATATGCAGAAGATGCGATTCATCACGCATTCTTTATACATGAAGATCAAGTGACTCTTCGGAGGACTTCAATTGATGGCTAGTGTATCGACTATGGAATGGCGTAATTAGGCATCAAAATAACGACTTATTTCCAAGAACACATACAATCAGAAGAAGTGTTTCGGTTGACGGGGAAAAGATACGGGAACTGCTGCGTAATCACCTAACAAACAAGAAATCACGCCATGAAGGCCTTGCGCGTCCTCATTTCGGCTATGAAACCAGCTATGCACCATGGTTTGTGTTGTCAGGTAGCGAAACAAAACAGCAATGGTATCCGGACACTGTTTCTGTTGTTGATGCGCCTCTTCTAATTTTTAATGTCTGCTGAACGACTTCAGTACCTGATATCTGCCTGAATCCTATATTTAGCTCATATCGGGCAATGAATGCTCTTGTGTTGACTTTTTCCCGAGCCTTTTACTTGCGTGTTCTGCATATATGTGCAAGTATGCCATGTCAATATGGGGGAATAAATGGTGCGCATTTTTACGCATGTATATAGTTTTGACCATGGAACGTCTGTTGAATATGAACAACTCAATTAACACAATAACTATTACACAACTCCATCATACCTTTCCGCATGCTAGACTCTCGATACAGCTCCAACATTCAAAGCTTGGTGGCTGCTGGTCGCAGAATGGACTGCTGCGTCATACTTGCCACAAGTGTACTATCGTTATTCCAAAGCCTAGACTCTGAATAAGTCCGGCCAGCGCCACCAGCAATCGTGAAAAGCTCCCTGAAATGCCAATTGTTCAAGTCTATGTCGGAGACGAACACTCGCAAGGCAAATTCGAGACTGGAACAGGCACTTGCCATTTCCATTGGTAGTGAGCTATGGGCCATGGGTACGAATGCGAGAGACGCATCCATCATGAAGCCAAGTGCCGCAGAGTGGTTTGCTTGGGAGGGGACACCATCCTTGAGCCTGTAGTGCTCGCCCGACGTTTTATCTGTGATTGCCAAACCATCTTGTGTAGTGGGGATCTGAGCTGCTCCTCCAAGGTTCTGAGCCATTACTCCTTCCGGCGAGTTTCGAATATCAAAAAACTTGTGCATTAGGGCAGAGTCTCTTGTACGTCCATCGAGTTGGTCTTTTGAAATCTTTCCAGTCACGAAGAGATCCTGATTCGCCTGTTGTGGGGTTGGAAGATCCTGGGCAATCTTGTATAATTTCAAAGGCGCTGGCGAATAGCTTAGTAGGCTAGCCGGCTCGTTGGTCTGAAAGTCAAGAATGGCAATCAAGCAGAGCCTATCAGGTTGAGAACCCTCTTGCTTTTGGCTGATTTGTACCTCTCTTGTCGCAAAGGTCCTGGTTTCACGGATGGTCTTGATCGTCGCGATCAATTTCCGATCAGTTCGCGCAGGGCCTAGGTAGGTTCCAAGGGCTGAATACAAGTGGTGTTTCGGATGTACCGTCTGGTATGCCGCGGAGATTGCAACACCGAGTGCACAACCACCATAGGCAATATTGGCGACATTGACCATCTTTACTGGGAGGTAGCGAGAAATAAACTCGCTTGGTCCAGTCTCATCAACGGCCAACTGCTCGAAGACGGTATTGGCATGAGACGCCATCTGGGCGGCAGTCCTGTCAAATAATGAAACAAGAACGGATGAGGCAGATTTTTCAAACGCGGAGAAGTGCCTTTTTGAATATGTGCTGAAGATTTCCTTTTCAAACCAGTCGGAACATGGGGTTTTTTGCTACACAATGATTGCTGTATGTGTCAAGTTTATCTTTGATCGCGAGAAATAAATGGTTGTTGTTTACTATTTTGATACTGCCTAATATAAAACGCAGGAACAGACCTTGCTTAACGTACTTGAATTTCCAGTACGTACCTACCTAACCTAGTAGAATGCCACTCTTCCGCGGTTCAAGATTTCTCACTGCGGGGTATTCCCCAGGATTGTCGATCGCATGACGACCACTTCCAAATTTGTGCCGATGCGCTATGTCTTGAAGCTTGTGAAGGCGTGAACTTTGGATTTGGAGTATGGGTTGCCGAGCCGAAGGGAGATACCGAACCTGCTCAACCCGTCCAGGTCAAGTCCCCACGTTGCATGGAGGATGTTGTTGATTGAAGTCGAGGGAAAGTTGCGCCTCATATTGTCTAGCCGAATCCAGAATGCGCATGCGAGGCAATGTGCGCTTAGTAAGCGGATATAGCGGATGTCATGCAGTTCGGGTCCACACAATGATGACAGTCACCACATACTGTGTACCTATCTAGGTACGTAGAGAAATTCCGTACTACAAGAAGGAAGTGTGAACACCGTGCATTCAGAGCCGCAGTGTGCAACCATAGAGTGACTGAACTCTTTAAACAAATTCAGCTCCGTATTGCATAAATCTCCTTCAGCCTTCCACAAGCCATGGTGGATTCAAATGCTGCAGTTGACTTCTACATACACGAGATTACTTGGGGTACTTGTGCGCCATTCTTACCGTGATGCGTCTGGTAGGCAACCTGAGCACCCTGACAACGACGCCACCATTTCCGGTTACTATTATTGCATCGGTTGTAATTGCTATTTTTTTTTTCAGTCTTTTCAATGGCCAAGGATATGAATGAATCAGCCTTACAGAGCACTGCACCCTCATGGAAGAAGTCTTTACTACCTGCGAACATCACCGTTCATTGAGGGTCACAGGAATTTACCGCACCGTCTCTGTTTATATATTTATAATAAATTATATAATCCTAATTTTACCTTCAAAACAGTCTTGCATAAATATAAATCTTCCTAACTAGGAAAGGGGATTATAAATGGCTAATTTTGGAGCATTTTCGTGGATTATAGCGAAGATAAAAGGAAAAAAAAAAAAAACTATTCGCATATCGAATAAAAAAATGCTATTAATGCTTTAAAGACCTAATTTTTCTGATGCTCCACCTGATCCATCTGGACATCCACCTCTTGTACTGCTTGTCTTGGAACGACTTGGAACGGATCGTCGGGAACGGGGGATCTGGAACTCGTCGGAATCGTCGGAATCAGAACCTTGGATCGGGAACGTGATGGTCGGGGCCGGGGAGGGAGGTCGGTGGTGCTGTTCACCACAGCTGGTTTCCCGCTTGCGGAGGTGCTTGAACAGTTGATTTCGAGTCTCAAAGATCTGTTGACAGAACCGGCAAGTCCGATCCGGTGGCGGTGTGACTGGCCGATCGGGAGTGACTGGCCGATCCGGCTGCAGTTGTACAGACTGGAGCTGCTGCTGTAGCTGTTCAATTGACTGTTGCTGTTGAAGAAATTGCTGCTGTTGTTCACGGACCAGTCGTTTGAGGTCCTCAACCTCACGCTCCAGGGAGTGGATCAGCTGTTGCTGTTGTTGACGTCGATCACGGGATCCATCTCTTGAGCGTGGCTTGGGAGCTGGTGTTTTCTTCGGCGACTTAGCTGTTTGCGTGAGCCCCTGCTTACGTGGCTGGGGGGGAGGAATCTCATGCTGTGGGGACTGCCAACGGGGGCTGGAGGGTGATGTGGCCACTGGATCTGGAGGGGGAATCGGTGACTGATACCGATAAGGTGGCGAGCAACCGTAGGATAATTCCGTTGACTGGTACAGCTGTTATACCACACCAGTACTGTAGCGGACCAGTGGTGAGGAAACAGATCTGTAATCTGGAGAAGGGTTACGGCGGGAAAGCGGTCCGGAAGAGGGTTAACGATGCTCCGAGGCTTGAAGCAAACGGGCCTTCTCAAAGAGGATCATCCGAAGGGGTGGCTGTTCCCAGTGTTCCATCGTGGATTAATTGACTGTTGCGGTGTGCAGTCAAATGATGGGTGTTGACTGATGGGAGAGGGTCTTGAAGAAGTCAATTGATGGGGTGGATCAGTTGACTGGGGAAGACAATTGAGGTGCCTGAGGGGGTGATAGAGGTCCCAGCTAAGGGTTCCGTCAAAGTCAACAGGTGCGTTGACTGGGACCGTACAAAAGGTGACGGATCAGTGAGATTGTATGGGTTTGCCACACAAAATTACTGAGGGTTCAGTACAGTTACGTACTAGGGCAAAAACAACAGAGGATCCAGCTAAGGACTCTGTTGTGAAGGTGAGGAACGAACAGCTGTGCGCTGTGGGATCGATCAATTGACGGATCAGTTGACAGGCGTGGACCTGGCCAACCAATTAACCAACAGGCGTGGGAACCTGGCCGGACCACAATGGGCCGATCTTGAACAAACGGGTGCTCGTGGAAGCTTCAGGCAGCAACTGGTGTGCTGACAGGGGTGGACCCGGCCAGTGTGTTGTTGAAGACTGAAGGTCGGGAAATGAGGTGTTGTTGAAGGCAAGTACCTAATGTAGGTGGTTGCCGTCAGGTGTTGTCAACGGGTGTGTTGACAAGGGGACTGGATCAAAGTAATGATCCGTAGGGTTGTTGCCCTACGTCTTCCCACGGAGTGATAGGAAGCTTAGCATCTGAGTAAGAGTATTCTGAGTAAATTCGATTGATTTATGGCATTATAGCTGCGGGATGGTATTAAATTCCATGTTTTGCTAATTGGTGTGGCCCGTTCGCTTGTGGACTATGGACAAACTTGTAGTCGGGAATCAAAGTAACAAGCTGGGAAAGTCGGGGAAATTTCCCCAAAAGAAGTTATAATAGAGCAGTCAATTAAGTAGAAAGATTATGTAAAGAGGATGGTTCCCCCCCCCCAACTCTCATGTCCAGGCACTAAAGCTATCACAAATAATGGCCCGGTGGCCGTGCTTTCCCACGTTCCACCTTCCAACTACATGACCGGCGTAAGACTGAATAACAACTACTTGTTAAATTTAACGCCACCGATTCTTTTCTGTGTTTTACAGACCTGCCAGGCTCAATAAAGCAGCAGCGAAGGCGAAAAATGCTTGAGACTTCGGACCAGTGGCTGAGCTAACAACGGGAGTCGTGGTACCGGTGGTCTTGGGGGATGATGACCCGCTGATCATGGGAATTGTAGTGTTGCTAGACAAGGGAACCGTTGGGAAGTTGATGTCTTCTTGACTTGTATTAGCGGCACAGGTCCGGTTCTTGAACAAGGTGGCCGAGTCTAGAACACTTCCATTGTTGCTAGCCACGAAGTCGTGCGTCAAGTGCGTGCAGTTGTGAAATGTCAACTTGCTCCATCCATAGGTAGCATTTGTTGTGTCGAGACCAAAACGGCTGTAATTCTGACGAGGCGACTGTAGCGAATCCAGTCCGTCGTAGTGTCCAGCAGCACCGTTTGTGATGTACCATGGGTAGACAGGGTTGTTGAGCTCATTTTCGTCAATTTTTCCCTCAGCCAGTGGCGCTTGACGCTCATAGACATGAGCATGGCCTGAAAGTACCAGATCGACGTTATACTTGATCAGCAGCGGCTCAAATACATCCTTGCAGGTCCAGCAGATGGTACCGCTGGCGTTAGCGTGGCTAAGATACCAGGGCCGGTGGCCGGCGACGACAACCCACGGTGTCTTAGAGCGGTCGACCGCCGCCAAGTCAGCTTCTAGCCATGTTGTCTGGGCGTTCAGGATGGTACTCATTGGAGAGGCGCCCATGCCTTCGGTACCGCCAATTTCGTCTGCTCCAATAAATCCGTGACCAAGATCGGTCTCGGTGTCGAGCTGCACGAAGTGAGTCATGCCATTGTCGAAGCTGTACCAGAAGTTGCCGGTGCCCCCAGACACATCACTGGGCATTCGGAAGTGGTTCTTGTAGCCGGTAAAATTGGTCTGACCAGGGATGCATATGCTATTGGTGTAGGTGATGTTCTTCGCCGAATCCGTGGTGCCACCATTGTCGCAGGTTGCTTCATGGTTGCCAGGACCGACCATATAAGGCTTCGAAGCTGTGACTGCCATCATTTCGTCGTAAAAATCATTTAGAATCGACTCGTACACTTTGGAGCCATCGGCAATCGTGGTGTTGGGCAGGAAGCCCTGGATCTCCTCCTTCAGCCAATAGTCGGCATATGCAATGTCGCCAGGATGCCAAACAAAATCGAATCCCTCCTTGAAGCTAGCGAGCGACTCGATCGTATTGGTCTCGTTAGGCCGCAGGATATTGGTCTGGCTTACGCCAGAGCCGGCCGACGTTGTCAGGCCTCTGCTGCCCATAGTGCCAAGGTCCACCACGACAGCCACTGAAAAGGATGTGTCATCACCGGCGGCTTTACTGGTGGTGAAGGTAAGAGGCTCTAGACAATCGCTGGTGTAGTTCAGAGACTTTGGTAAATAGTAGTAAGTGGTGTTGGGCATGAGGCCAGTGATGCGGACGTGGTTGTTGTAAGTCAGCGAGGTCGGATAAGTGACAGACACATTTGAACGAGCCGTGTTATTGAGATTGGATCTAGAGAGACCCCACTGCACAGTTGGGCTGTCCAACCGGGACATGGTGTTCCAACTGACAATCATGCCATCATTGCCGTGGTAGGCCAGACGAAGCTGGGGATTGATCGAGTCTGCAGAAGCACTACCGATAACGGTGGCAGCCAAGGCGGCTGCCGAGAGCTTAAGACTGTGTCCGGCGGCTTCCAATCTCATCCTAGCGTTATTCAGGCTAGCGAGCCGCACTGTTGAGATGATGGAATAGAATGACACAGGGAAGGACGTTGACGTGCAAGGAAATGATCTGAGATTATATATTGCCAAGCGATCTGTTCAACCTTATCCTTGAATGCCGTATTTACGTTGGAATCGGCACGATACAATGAATCTGCGAATGAGCATCTTCGAATTAGTAAAACTAACCGGAAGAAGCTAAGTGGTATGGTTGATGAGCTGACTATACGCACGTGGGCAGCCGACAGGATCGGACTTGTTTGCCTTTAGTGTACGCGTGGTGTACCCACAGTAATAAGGGCTGGACTAATTTAGCTAAGTTGTCGAATTGCGGGTATTGGAAACGCTTATTCCGCTATAGTTTTATAGGCACTATTGGCGGGCAGAAGCGTCCAATGCTAAGCCTTTAGCCGCCCATGTGTCTTTATGCTTAGATAATCGTGAGTACGCGAGTCCGGGAAAATAAACTCCCTTACCTTAATCGGCTTTAATTAGGGAGATTAACGGCGATTAAATTTTCTAAATGCAATGCCATTTAAATAAAAACACAATTTCGTCAAAAGACAATCGATTTGCGATGGCCGATATAATCGCGTAATGACAGTGTTTAATAATTAGAAAACACGGCCTTTTGCGAACTCTTATTTCTGATGCCGACCCTTTTAGGGTTTTACCTGTGGGTTGCCGACTCTGCTTTATCTTAGGACACTCGTGTCCATGAAACCAACTGCTTTTAATGTTGCTGTCACGGCGCTGGACCCTGCCTACGGGCAGGAAGTGGAAGAACCCCGGGCGCCAGCTGTGGGCGGCCGGGTGGACAGGTGTGGACCTGGGAACTGACAATGTCTTCAGTGTCCCCGCCCGAACTGAAGATATAGCTCTTCGAGCTATATCCTATTAATAAAGTTACCCGTAACACTGCGAGAACCGTAGAGAATAAACTGTTATACGTTTGCCTGTACTGCCGTTCAAAACTATTGAAATGCTAATTCGGGACAACTTTAAGCTGGCATAAAACGCGACTTCCTCTTAACGCGGAACCAGAAAGCGACCTTTCTACAGTGACTGCTGTTAAATTTGAATTAGATGTCGGGATAAATTCTTTATTATATATACGTTACAATTCTATGCGTTCTATCTTGTTTTAATTAATGATATATTGTACTATTGAGCTGAATTTCATCTTTAAAGCACTATTTCTTTACTTAGACGTTGATGTGGGGGCGCTGGAGATGCCTAATAAAAGTGGCTGTGGAGGCTTAGCTTAGAGTGGCTCAATGGTCCAGGTGGGACTTATAAGCCTTTGTTTTTCGTTGCGTTTAGCATATTGGATCATCATCTATCGTTTTCTCAATTAATACATTCTCATACACTCTAAGATTTAATAATCTATTTAATCAAAAAAACATACAAAGACTACAGCCTTACGGCTGTCCGTCTTAGGTGGGGGTTAGTTTGGTTTGGTTTTTGTTCCCCATCTTAACGTGAATCATACTTTATAGTTTTCCAGGTGTACGGCCACATTTCTTGGCGTGGCGTAGCTGACCAATTATACGGCTATATTCGAGTAAAATCGGGCCCGATCGTTTTGCTTTTTTCGATTTTAAACCCTTTTTACGCCTTTAAAATAGCTTTAAATCTAAATATATCAAATATAATAATAAAAATTATTATTATTTATTAATCGGTAATAAATTTAAAGCTTTCGGGGTTATTTCGATGCTTTTATAACGTTATAAAAGTATATTTTTTTAACCTGTTTTTACGTTATATTTAATCTTAAATTATATTATTTTTTATTTTTTTATTTTTTTAATTGTTTTATTTATAGGAAATAGCTATAAAACTAGTTATAAAATTAAATTAGGAATTAGATTAGGAATTAAATTAGGAATTAGATTAGGAATTAGATTAGCATTTATTTTGTTAGCTAGCGGGTGGTTTTTTTTTCTTTTTTTTTTTTATAATTAACGATTTTGCTATTTTTTACGATTTTGCTGTTTTTTACGATTTTGCTATTATTTTTTCCTTTTTTGCGTAAGCAAAAAAGGAATTAGCTAAAATATTAGCTAATTAATTAATTATTAAAAAAAAAATATATTATTTTATTTTACGATATTAATTTATTTAGTTATTTATAATTAATGCTAAAATAAAAGCTATATTTAGCTCCGATAAAGCTATAAACGAATTAATTATAAATACGATAAATAATTAAACGAATATAAAAAAAAGGATTATTAATAATAAATAAATTAATTTATTTCCGGTATTATATAATATAGGGCCTGTTATTTTTTAATTTTAAAACCTTTAATTTTGGATATTATTATGCCGAAAATTATTATATATATATAATTTATTTGCTTAAAGCTCGATTAAAGCCCGATTTTTTAATTAGTTTCTTTTTCGATAAAATTCCTAACGATAAAGGGGATCCACCCCCGACGGTTAAAAAACTAAGCTTATATAACCTATTTATTAATAAGGCTTTCGCTTTCGGAGATTTTAGATTTGGCTTTAGAATTATTATTATAATAAGGCCTTTTAGGTTTTTGCTTATTAGAATAGGTTTTAAAGTTATTTTTTGCTTAATTTTATTTATATCGATATTTATTAGTATTTTACGATTCGAAAAAAAAAAGTATAATTAACGTTAAAATTAGTATTTTACGTATTAAGCGAATTTTAAACGGTAACAAAACGCAAAATGGCAAATAGGCTAATATATTAAGCCTAACCCTTAATATAAGTATTATATTTATTTTTATATTAATTTTAAGGCGGATAATAATTATTAAAATAAAGGTTTATTTATTAAAAAGCGTATAATACCGCGGATAATAAATCGTTAATATAGGAAGCTATATTTATAGCGACCGTAAAATATTAGGCCAAAAATATAGTATTTTTTTTTATTATATAGTTATTCGCTAATAAGCTGGTAAGTTTATTTTTTTTTATTTATACGTTTAAAATAAATTATATAATTATAATTTTACGTTTAAAATAAGCTTAATTAAATATTAATCTTTTTAATTAGGAAAAAAAAAATATAAACGGCGAATTTTAAAATATTTTTATAAATTATATAAAAAATAAAGGGATGCAAAAAAAAAGTTATTTATATATTAAATAAAAAGGCATATTTAAGGCTTTAAAAACCTAATTTTTATTTTTATTTTTAAAGTAATTATACGGGTTTTAATAATTTACTTTTTAATATTAATTATATTAATAGCTTTTTTTTTATTAGTAGGGTATCCGTAATCTTTTTAGGTAATTCGACGTTATGCATCGATTAATAGGCTATTATAATAACGACCTGCTGTTTTATAAGCATTTATTATACGTAATTTAGGTTTTTGCGCATATGAGAATTATAGCGGTTTCGGCGTTAGCGATAGCTATTTAGCTATTTATTATTAAATTGCTTTAGTATGCCTAATAAATATGCTATACCTTAGGTTTAATTAAATATTTTCGCTCGAATATTTATTAATATAATTCGGAGATAATTAATTTAGCCTTTATCGATTTACTTAATTTGCGTATTATTTTTAATATTTATGCCGCATTTTCGCACTTTTAAAATCGTTTCCTTGCCTAAATCTTATAAATCGATGCTATTTATATTACCTAAAGATATGTGTAAAGCGTTTTGTGCTTGGTTTATTATATAGTACTGCAAAACCGATGGCTTATTATTCGAATGATAAACATGCTTTCATAACCAACAATGATTCGGGACAAAAATCGTAAGGGTAAAAATGAATTACACTTTGTCTTAAGAGGTGGATATCTTTTTGTTCATCTATTTTCAAACACACTGTCCCACCCACAATTTCAGGGCTTCCATCAGCCTCTCGTCACCAGCACATGGTTGTTCGAACGGGATAGAACGCATCAACTATCTTTGCTCCACGGTTCCCACCAGCAGAAGGATGCAGTCGATTCCACATTTGTTTGCATGCCTGAGACTCGAACAAGTCATTTAATATATACTCCCGTGGATCAGACTTTTTGTTTTTTTATTTCTTTCTTTCTTTCTTTCCCCACCGTGTCTACGAAATATCAATCCATTTTCCTCCACTGCGGCCCAAATCTCTTCTTATAGTCGTTAAAGTACTGAAGATTGTACATGAGACCGTCGCCTTCATCTTGCATCGCCTCGTGGCGATTTTCTTCCCAGCCCTCGAATGTACTTCCATCGTAGACAAGGAGAGGGAAGACCCTATGAAACAGCTCAAGATCACAGGCGGGAAACGCTTTCTCCAATAGCTTATCATTGTTGGGTGCTCCGTCTATCCCCGGCACGGCCGTACTATTTCTTTGCGTGGGAATTCCATTGATCTGAATACCCCTCAGAGCGAGGCGGCGAAGATTTTCGAAACGGCTACTCTGCTCAAGAAGCAGTCGCAGGACGCTTCGACAGAAAAGGACGTCTCCGCGGTCAGGGTCAGTTCCTATAAAGGGGTTATGAGGACCACCCCTATTACTACCTTTCGTCCTGGGATGAGGGTCGCCATCGCCAACGGTGTCGCCCCAATGCTGAGGGACACGATGCTCAAGAACGAGCTCCTTGAGTGTTGGTGCAACGCCTCGAAGCAGGAAAACCCATTCATGGCACAGGACCTGCTCGTAACGGTGGGGGATATCCGTAAATGCGTCATTTCCAAGGTCTCCAAGACTCGTCTCGCCAGTATACGGTTTCACGAGATGAAGATGAGTAACGGTCGCAAATTGTGACGGTAGAGCTTTGGGAAGCCAGATTGCCCCGTGCAAAGCAAATGGCTCATCATCATCTTCCTCCTGATCGTCATCGCTATCGTCGGCGTCCTCGTCGCCTTCCTCCTCCTTCGCATCAGCATCACCGTCGCCGTTCTCCGCTATACTGCCATCTCCGGCCACAAGCTCAATTGCCTCGATTCCTTTCCGTTGGAAGCTCGCAGCTTCTTCCTCGGTGATTATCTCCGAGTTGCCATCGTCTAACAGCAATGTGCGACGATAAGCCTCGTCATCCTTTGGTGTCGCAAGGACCCCGATATTCAAGTATTTGATGTTCTGGGCATTGCTGCAGACATTCCTTACAAACGCACTCGGCAAGTATCCACGAAGCTTCAGGTTCTTCAACACGGGGAGATCAATGCTCGGAGCTAGTGCGGGGTGGCCATTATTCAGCGGCAACCCAACGAGTTCTAGAGACGTAAGGTTCGGTAGGCTTCCGATAACTCTTATGACCTCGTCGTCAACGCCAATCGACATACATAGTGAGCGCACGTGTCTCGCTAGTTCCACCCAGCGATCCGGGGAACTGATCTTCCTCACGGAAATGAATTGTTCTTCCCTGCCAAACTGAAAGTTCCTGCGGTTGCAATTCTCGGAGAGCCTGGTCGGGGGGCTGACGACCTCGGAATTATTCCATTGATCGAAGCGCTTCTCCTTGGACCATGTGACGGGATCGAACTTCTCCTGGCAGTATCTGCGCCGCGAAGGCTCGTACATCAGCTCTTCATACGGATACACCACGTCTTCACGCCGGTGTACGCGGGGGTTGAAGCGCGACTTGTGGCTCTTGAGCTTCCCGGTGTACTTGTATTCGCTGACTTCACTCTCAACGTCTATGCCCTCGTGAGTGCCGAGGTGATGGCATTCGATCTCGCTCCAGAGAAATGGAAGGAGACATCGATTGTACGCCGTGCATGTGCGACTGAGACTTGCTTGGGCTGGAGGTGATAGCAAGGAGATGATCTCCCGAAATAAGTCGACAGGAAGTGTATCCAAGGATGGGGCCATGGTTGGTCAGCTTTCGCCTGCAGCACGACTGGATAGATTGAGAATGATGGTGATGTTAAATGAGTCTCAAGCTCAAGTTTGCATGGGATTCATTGGATTTTAAGTAAACGGCTCTTTGCGTCAGGGAGGGAACATCTTTCCCTGGTGCTGCTTGTTGAATCCAATACCTTCAATGTTGTTCTGCGCCCCACAGTTGCTGCCTGCGCTTTGAGCGTTAGCAGTCGTTTTAGCGCCTTGATTACCTAGAGGCTCTACATTAGGTAACCAAGGGTAGAGGCCTAAATTACCTAGCGCGCTTAGTTGTATTGCAAAGCAAAGTCAATTCAGTGTCACGTCAAGTTTTCTCTGTTATAAAAGTTTTGAACTAGCCTCGATTTACGCTTTTGTGTCAAAGATGGCAATTTCATGACGAGAAGTGATAGAAGAACGACGGGAGTGGATTGCAACAGTGTCATCTGGGTGTTCTCTGACTGACGCCAGTCCAAAATAGCTTACTGCTTGGTAGGGCAGATGAGCTGATAAGGACCACTAAGGGGTTCTTCATGTGCAGTCGCTGTTCTGGGAACCTTCATCTTCTTCGTGCGATCGTCCACTACGTACTATTACTACCCCATGGACAGACCCCGTGTCACCAACATCATCAGCGGACACTATACCAGAATGCAATGTTCCAATGTCTACCTAGGTAGGTACTGATTAAGGACCCCACCAAATCGCAGTGCGCCTCACCCCGCAACCTTGAGTACTTCATCAGTCGCGCCTACAGTTGATAATGTTATTCCCGCCTCATACGTGTCTCACCGTCTTCAAAGGTACTAACAGGTGGCTATCGTACTGACCACCCATATGGATAACGTGAGTACCAATGTTACGCGAGGTTTGACTCGGGGCCTGTTCAGTCACCCAGTCGGGTGCCCACAGGGTGGGATCACCAAGAGTGACAAAGGTTATGTTGTCGGCAGGCATAAAAGTAAAGGACTCTCGAGGAACTGGGATCTCAGCGCTGCCAAACGCCGGCCCGCCGATACTGTCTACGCCGGGCTCGACAGTGACTTGCAACATCTCTCCGGCGTGGATGCGCAGACCGAGAGGCCAGAGGCCGATATCGACGGGCACAATTTCGCCGGCCGAGAGCATTTGCTCCCCCTGGAACAACAACACAGGCTCAGATTCTGTAGACTTGTCCGTGTCAAGCTGCCGGCGGGAGACATGGGAATACTGGTACGCTGCCGAAATGCTTGTACCACCTTGGGGCAGCGTCCGCAGAAGAGCATCACCATTAGCAGAGACCTTTGTGACAGTAATGTAAAGGTCCATATCGTCGGATCCGACAGCCTCAACCCATAAGCGCAGCTTCATGTATCCAAGCAATTCGCTTTCTTCCTCCACCGGGATTTGGAAAATAGCTGACCCATTAACGGCAGCATACGAGACATTGGCTGCAATGGCACCCTGATCAGGCGACATTGTATTGTTGGGATGGAGGTACAACTGGGAAAAGGTGTAATCAGAGGGTGGCCATTCTTCAATAACACGATTGACAACGTCGGTACCATTGGGGTCGAGGAGAGAGACGCGGATTTGGGGTGTTTCCTCCCATCCATTATCGATACCTTTGAGGTAATAGTCAAAGTATTGTAGGAGCTCGCTCTGGCTGTCGTTTTGGTACAGGTCGTACCACTCGTGGCTGTTGTGTACGCGCAGCCACTTGTTTTCAGATTGGATTTTGCGAAAGCCTTCAAAGGTGCCGTGCGTATGCAGCACGTTTTCGTAAGACGCCACTACATAGGCGGGAATTTCAATGTTCTCGAGTCGGACGGTCTTGTCCTGCCAGTAGAGCGTGTTGTTGGGCTCGGCGAGCGACATTATGAGTGTATCGTCAATGAAATGGTTGCCAGCCTGGATCTCAATGAAAGCTTCGTTGAAGTTGAGCTGTGGCATGCCACCTCGAACAGCCTGTTCTCGCAAAACGTCGGTAAAGCCTTCCCAAGGTGCAATGGCAGGCAGGTGAGGGGGGCGTTCGGCGGCAATGAACTATTGCGAAATAGTGAGCCAGCTGTTGCCAGACATGCCGAGCTTGCCGCTGGACCATGTCTGATTGGCAGCCCATTCGATGAAGTCGTAGCCATCTTCAGCCAGCTGTCGGCCCCAGAAGGGAAAGTTGCCCGTCGACGAGAAAGCGCCTCGTGTGTCTGGTTGGAGGATGGCGTAGCCGTTGCACACCCACTCGGCCGGGTCGTTGGCCTCCCACTTCTGAAGTTCGGACAGGGACGATAGTGGTACGTTGTAGCGCCCAGGAATGTCGTCGAGATGCTGGTTGCCTGTCTCCTTGCCATAAGGGCTCCAATGCACAATGCCCGGGTAAGTACCATTGGTTGTAGGGCGAAAGATGTCGGCATAGATAGTGTTGCCGTCCCGCAGTGTCACGGCCACGTCACGCTCCAAAAGAATATCGCAGCGCAAAGACTTGGCTCCCTCGCGGCGTTTGGAGCCCTTTTTGAGTACAGCCGTCTCCGGCTTGAATCCGGGGTATCTCGCACGGGGAGTCTCCGGCGGCAGGAGGCGGCGATGCCATACTGGGTAGGTATCATCACCGTAAACCTTCTGCGTCAGCAGAGTTACGTTAGCTTCATAGGGAGCCGCGTCCTCCGCGTGCGCAACTGTGACCGCACTGGTCACGCCGACTGCAGTCGCTGCCCAAACAAGTGCTGTTGCAATACCCATGGTAAAACGCGTATACTTTGTAGTTGCTACTGGGGCTTCTTTGCATCTCACCTACAAGGAATCCATTGTCTTTATCAAATGGACGCGCTCATGTGCTTGCAGGCGTCGAAGCCGACTAGACTATACGTTTGTGGGCATGACGTATTCTTCAGCGAGACCCGACACGATGCTTGCCAGCAGCGACTCGTGGATCTTTTCCAAAATAGTCAGGAATGAAATGAGTTTCGTAAGTGCCAGGTGCTATAAGTAGTGCCCATGCAAAGACTTGTCCCACTCGCGCGAGCTCGGTCGAGTGTGGAGAAATGAATAGCCTGTTAATATCGCACCAAGTGCCGTTATATTCTCCCGTATTCTTGCTATGTCATCTTTTGGACTTGAAATTTGCAACATCCCGTCCAAGTCCGCGCTAATGTACCCAGACAGCAGAATGTGTGATACTAGTAAGATTCCACTCTCGCAGGTTGTAAGAGGGCGGGGTCGAGAAGTCGTGGAAGGGGGAAGGTTTCTGTCGGCTTGTCACTGATTGGCGACAGAATCCCCAAGATCAAAAAAGAGAGGGAGCATGGACCTAATATGACTTGCAATAATCAGCGTCCACAAAGGGCAAGTTATAGCTGACACTCAAAATCTGCTGTGTTCCAGCGAGCACATATCATGAATATGCACTCGTTCCTTCGTTCGATCCCTACGTTTTGGAACACGTTCTGGAAGCTCAGCTCTAAACAGTGTTTGTGAAGAAATATTAAACCAGTATTCACAGCAACATGGGCGAGAGTGGCTTTGGTTGACACCAAACTGATGTTATGGACCCTGTTATCACCTAAGGAAGCACGTGCTCCCCCTAGCCATACACCGCATACGCCTTTCCTTACAAAGCAGTGACGAATTATGGGACACCATATCCGACGAACCACGAGAATGATTTTTTCCATGTCCTTGAGCACACCAGCCTGTCAAGAAGCATGCTTTTCATGAGGCACCCCACCGGAAACAGCGACATGACCAAAGGAGTACCTTCTCAGCAAACAGTTGACAATGCCGCCCGCACCATGAAGAGCATCCTGCGTGCTTACAGGCACGGCAACTATCCGACAATTCAGACTCCACTTGTCACTCAGACTCAGCATGCTGCCGAATGCCTTAAATGGAAGATTATACGTCCGAGATTCCAGGTGTCGGCTGTCTTGGACTACAAGCCAGTTCATCACGTTCCTCAATAACTGATGCTCGAGACATAGAGGGTCCTGGATTGGACAATTACTGCCCAAGACGCCCAAAGTCCGGTGCGGGCCACGTGCAGAGAGAAGACTAAAAGTTGAAGGACGCAGTCGAGGTAAGAGGCCGGTGGAAAACCACAATGGGTTTTGCTTGGTATACCTCTGTACGTCATAAATGAGGCCGCGTCGCTACTCTTTGCCAACATTAGAAAAAAAAAAAAAAGAACTGAACATATACCTCCCGAGACGGAATGATGCAGCTATTGCGCCTGTAGTGCATGTATTGTGCATGGAGTGGGCCACGCCCAGAGTTTGCCAAGGACCGCTCTGTTGTTGATCGATGCGTACAAGACGGAAGTAATACTGTCGAGGTGTAGACGTTCGCCATTGTGAAGTCACTGCCTATTATGAGGCAATTTTGCACATTTATCACTGCTAATTTTGTGGGCGAAAAGCACGAACCGGTGTTTTTTTTTCCCTATCTGCAATGAATCTGGATGGACGAATATCAAGCCGAAGGAACATTGTCGCAACCTTACCACAGTAACTCAAGATAAAACGTTAACAGGTAAAAGACAATGTTTATTATACAGCACATAGCTATCCTCTATAAACGATGGTCGTTGACATCTTCGACCAGACCCTCTCCAGGTTCCGCGCTCGTCTCTCCTTTGACGCATACACATACACAGTAATTTCCCTTCGATGCCCACGTTTCCAGGTATACCGTCCTATACTTGTCTCGTTGGTACTCTCATTCTCTGCCAGTTAGGCAGAGGCGACGCAGCTTTCATAGCACTCTGTCTGGATGCTATTGGCGCAGCTTGCAGAGCATTCTGTCTGGCGCCTCTCGAGTTCGGTACTTTCCTCCTCAGTGCTCTCCTCGTCACTCTCACCCATGGCCACCTTGGTCACGTAGGTAACGCAGCTTCCATAGCACTCTGTCTGGCGATTTTCGAGCTGGGTGCTGTCATCCTCAGTTGACTCCTCCTCAGCACTCTCGCCCTCGTCGAACTTGGTTACGTAAGTGACGCAGCTTCCATAGCAATCCTCTGGTGTGCGGCTCTGGAGCTCGGACACGCTGCCGGTTTCGGTGGCACTTAGGCCATAGGGATTGGCGACAGGCAGTGCATGAACGGCGACGTTGGCGCTGGCAAGGAGGAAGACGCTGAAGGGACGCATTTTGGTAGTATGGAGTAGGGCTGGGTAAGTTGATAGGAAAGCTGGGCGGGCTAATAGGAGGTTTGGTAGTATATAGGAAAAATAAAGTCAGGGTGGAATGTGATTTGATTGTGTAAAGTGAGATTTTGATGCTTTGATACATTCAAAAACCAAAGATGCTCGAGGGCGTGTGCCTGTATATATATGTAAAAGAGACTCTACTATTGTAGACTGTTAGTAACTTTGTATGATATGATATGTTTAACCTTGTCAAAGTGTAGGACAAAATGAGGCGCTTCTCCACAAACTGATGTATAAGACCATCCAAGCTCTGTTGGTGTAAATAAATGAATGCATAGTAATACAACATCTATTACCCTATACTGATCATACCTTTCCCCCATTCTGTTTCAAGCAGTGCTGGCTAGTAAGTGGAGGCAGTGGAGTCGTGATGCGAACATACCAAAACGGGCCTCGAAGGCGGCGCAGCTGGTACAACACAGACACAGGCAACTTCAAGGGCGTCATACTCAACTCACCCCGTCACACGCATGCACTACCCTTGCAACATGTCATGAACACTCAAGCGTCTCTCTAGCCTCCTGAATGAGAGTCGCCCGCTAGTTCTTGAACGAAAACCATCACGCGAAGCCTAGTGTTTTCGGATTTTCGGTTTGCCAAAGAGCTGAATTCTCACCTACATTCCACTATCATCCGCCGCATCATATACGCGACACTAATCGTCTGCCGTGCCTTTGATTGTGGTAGCAAAACCTTTTCTCCTTAGGGTGGGGGCATAACGAACACAGCGCTGAATGTTTACTACGGCCCGACCCGCACAGGCAAATCGTGCCGATGCTCACGCCCTGCGACCGCAAATCATATGATATGTTTTATTCACAGATTCACGAGGCGGGAAGTAACTGAATAAGTGCCGGCAATCGCCTCGGCTTGGCAGTCGCTGTATCGCGTCAGCCTTAATATCAGCCCATTGCGGGCCTAAGCCAACAGCCCCTAGTCACGGTTGTCCTCGCCGAGTGTGCCGGAAGATCAGCCGCTCTATATTGACGAGCAATATACAGCAAGCACTGGATCGGAGCCTTTTGATTCAGGGTATAATCATCAACTTGGTTCTCACTCCTTCTGTTCCTGTTTCTTGCACGGAAGATTTACAAGATTTCCACACCATACAGAGGACCGGTTACGTTGATCACTAGAGATGCGACGATGGATCAAGAAAATAGTACATAGTAAATCCACCACGTCCGATTCAATGACCATGGCGCCGAGAATCATCTACCACGCGCTATGCTCGCCATTTATGTCAGTGATTGATGGTTTTCAATTTTCATCTAAACTAGTCCACGCGCTGCAGCTCATAAGATAGATTACCAAGGTAGCTCCGACAACTCCAAGGGCTGAACCAGGAGGATCTTTGCCTTGCAAGATTTACCTACGTGAATACCTACCTATGGATGGTCTGCCAGAGTGCCTATGCTACGCTAGCACAGCGCCCAGTCCACCGTAGCGATGGCGTTACTCGATTCAGGAAAGACGCCCCGCTCCGGCCTCCGGCCAGCTGACTACACCACCTACTAGGTACCGGAGCCTTTCTTCGCCAATCTTGGAACTCATTAGCGAAGAGAAATTTTGGGCTGCATTATGTTCTCATCGCCACTTATAAGGAGTAAAAGTCTCTATTTTTATACAAGGGGGACACCGGATATAGTGCTGCTGGAGCGCGGGCGCCGTTCAACAAGAATGTGTCAGAATCCTGCGAGCGCTCAAGCTATGCCGGCCATCGAGGTACTGGAGTCGCTGCTGAATTGATCAACTTCGAACCGGCTGACCAGGGCCACAGATGCTTTAGGTACCGCACAGGAGCTCTACATTCTTTCCTTCCCGTTTTTTGGCGTCCCATTATAATTCCTACGTCCCCCGGCTCAATAATTGGCGGCGTTATGGATCCTGAGCCTTCATTTGGTATCTCTGAACAATATTTACGAGCGCAAGGTATCATGGTTCTTTGTTTGTTTCATTGACTTAAGCTGAGGATATGATGGATTATCAAGTATAGGTAGCAAGCAGCACTAGCTGGATCGCTACAGCGCTGATAGACCCCTGTAAGGCACTGAACTCAGTGGAGTCTAGGCGCTAGTGTCTGCGACGCGACAGCTCAAGTGAGAGACATTATCCGAATTCAGTGGTGTTAGTTTGTTCTATCGCTTTTTCCAAACCAGAGGCGCACGCTCGGGGTGCAGCATCTGCAAGAGCAAAACAGGACCAGAATCTGTTTTGATAAGTTGCTCGACCCTGTTTCGCGCGGCATTGATGTTTTCGCCTTTGGCCGTCACCGGATCTACTCGCCAATCCAAGAATAGTGTCGCAATGGTTGCCACGAACTCTACTTGGGAGAATTTCTTTCCTGGACAGTCGCGAGTGCCATCGGACCAACCAATGAATGCACCACGTACGGGCATATTGAGATCCTCGTCGCCCGGCATCGACGTAGCGCTTGGCTTGATCCAACGTGAAGGTTTCCATTCAAGAGAGTCAGAGCCCCAGAATCTAGGGTCTGTCTGTACAGAGCCGTAACTTGGAGCAATCATGCTATCAGGTGGAATGATAACTGTCTTTTCGTTGATACTGATGGGTTGAGATTTGTCAGCTGTCCATTTAATGGATGGTACAACGGTATACAGGCGAATCGTCTCAAATATTATAGAGAGACACCGTTTGAGACGAGGGAAATCTGCTCTGTAATCCCATTCGGAAGGCTGTCGGCCACCAGCAACAGCGCGTATCTCTTCCGACAGCCAGTCTTGGACTTCCGGGTGCGCAGCCAAGAAATACAGGGCAAAGGTGAAAGTATGCGCCGTCGTGTCATGCCCCGCAAAGTTGAAAGCAAACATATTGCCATATATCTCTCCCTCAGTGAGGCCACCCGACGTCTTGGCTTCATCTTGGGATGCACGAACCAGCGATGTCATCAGATTGTGGTCTCGATCCTTGTTCTCGGCAAATGCACGCTTCTCTTCCTCGTACAAGTTGGTCATGTATGCCTGGAATGAGACGCAGGCCTCGTGAACCAGGCGAAGTTTGCGGGGCAACCAGGGAATCGCCAGAAATTTGGTTCCTAAACCTAGTATAAGAACTAGGTTTTCCAAGACAGTCTGTAAAGACTCTTTGTAGCTGCTAGATGGGCTTGTTGAAGGCTGCTGCTCATCATGGCCCACGAATTTGAAGGATTTTCCGAACCCAGCCCGAGCGAGTACGTGAAGGGAAAGCGTGCGCAAGTCGTCAGCGCTTGATGTCACCGACGTCTTTCTGGTCCAATAGGAGAGCATGTCGCTGGCCAGGCCAATAGCGGACGACCACACGATTTCATTGTTGTGTTCGTTGAAACAGTGGGTTGCGATTTTTCGCTGCGTCTTCCATCGCTCACCCTCAGCCTATGAACCCACACTCTTGTTAAAAAGAACCAACCATAGTAATATGCAGAGATGATAGTATAAAGAATCTTACGGTAGATATATTGGGCCCGAAGACATTCAAAATCTCTGTGATTCATTTTAGATTAGCATCATATTGGTGGACATATGCGCGCATTAGCTTGAGCTTGTATTAGATCATACCGTTGATGAAAACTGGTCGCGGAAAGTCAGTTCCCCTTCTATACAATGACACTAATGCTGCAGGGTCATTGATGTAAACCCAATTCTTAAATGGTGTCACCAAAACCCAGATATCTCCCATCTCAGTATGAGATCGATATCTATCTTCAACCTCCCATCCCCGCCAGTTGTAGCGGGTGAAGCTGTTATCGCCAAAAGGTAAGCGACGAAAGAGGGGAAGGACTCTTCTATCAAGGAGTACCCAAAATGGATTGAGTGGGCTAATGGGGATAAAGCGAATGGGAACGCCCATAGTTCGAGCCGATCGATAGTTCTGTAGCATGCGGATGCCGGTGCTGGTCAGCGTGGCAATCGCCACGACGAAAGCCACGGCCAGCAAGGCTGTCAACCCGGCCATCGGTAAAGGGATGCAAAGGGAAGAGCAATGAAATTGCAGTTGGAAGAGAGTGAGCGCTTTCGTCTTCGATTGCTGGTCTCAAATTATGGCAATCGAATTGAAAGCGCGAAAGAAAAATTTCGGAAAGATTGAGTAAAAATGTTGGCAAGCCGTTGGATACCTTGTCTGGAACGCCCAGAAAGATGGCGGGGCCGCACTGAAGAGCCGGTGTGTGACCAACCAAAAGCCTACAGGATGGATACCGGGGTAGGCGGCAGTGTTACTGCAGCCCACTTGCCCACATATGACCCTGGCTATGGTGTAGGTGTCCAAGCAATATCTCTGATTAGAAACCCCCATGTTTTGACAAGTCATGTCGCGGGAAGTACCTGCAAGTACCCATCACATCGCGACATGGGCTTTCTGGTCATAAATTATACTATAATGATCCTTGAGCGCTTTAGTGAGGCTGCATCGGACACCTATGCCATGAAGACGCGATCAGTCCCACAACGCCACAGCAGGAGCTCTGCAACTTGTCACTGCAATCTCATTGAGGTTGGTTTAACCTGACACTTCCAAGTATGATATGATGGAACCTCAACGGTTAAAGACGGATAGTCAACCCGTGGTGGAATGCTGATTGGTACCCCGAATACCACTGGCATGGTGCGCGGCCATCGGATCCATAATTTCTTTTCCTCAATCGACGCCTATGGGGTGTACAAGAGGCGCAGAATCCTCTCAAGTCTTCTTATTGACTGTAAGACGTTTGACAATACTACTACAAAAAATTGAAAAAAAAAAAAAAAGATACCACTTGCCGTGTACAGGCAGGTCTTACAGGACAAGCTTCATTTATACTTACCTCCAAACAAGAGCATCCAGCCTTGCTTCCTTCCGACCACATTGTCTCTTCCTCTCACGGGGATATTGCCTGCCATGGATGCTCTATCTGTTATTGGCCTGCATAGTAATGCCACAGACCTGAAATCTTCAGTCGATCTTTTCTATACCATGAGACTCAGAGGTTTCACTGTAAGCTGCATCATGATGTTTTTTACCTGGTCATTTCATAGGTTGAACTGACTCTAATGGATTAGATCCCAGGATTGCATTCCCTGATTTCTCTTGTCTGTCGCCCATTCACCGAATACTGGATTTCTACCAACAAATTGATCAAATGGCCTCTTGTAGGACTACTGGCACTACTTGCCACGTACATCACATCTTCGTTTCACTTCAATAGGGAGATATCCAGGAACAAGCAGTTCAATTCCAAAGATAGACTCCGAAATGCACCAGTCGTGCCTTATTGGATTCCAGGACTTTTCCATGGATTTGGCTTCATGAATCCTGCTGAGTTTCTGCTCAAGCTTCAGTAATGCTTCTTTCTCATCTCGCCATGACTTTTCAAATCGTGTTAGAGTGTACGGCTAACCCTCACAAGGAGACAGTTCGGTTCAAACACGCCTCTTCAACTTAAAGCAGGTCCATTCCGCTTTTTCTTCTACCAGAGTGCCGATGATATCAAGGCTGCATTCAGAGCTTGCAAAAGGACAGCGAACAAATCAACCACTCTTTTCGCGCTCAAGAATCTTTTTGGTCTCCCAGATTATGCCGTCAGGTTCTACCTGGACGACAATTCGGGCATGGGTCAAATACCACGCGCTGGGAGCAACGTAGCTCCGCATAATCGGATCAACTACCTCATAAATCTGAACGTGAAGAAATATCTGTCATCTGAATTTCTCAATGATTTAGATGAAAGGTTTATGGCGACATTCATCGATCATCTGGATACTTACATGATCAAGGATGATTGGACCGATTTCCCCGATCTGCATGCTTTTATTCAATCAGCTGCCATAAAGCCATGCATTGAATCACTGGTCGGCTCAGAGTTTCTAAAACTCAACCCCCATTTCATTCAGGATCTATTGGTCTTCCAAGAGTACACACCTGACTTTCTTCATCTTTTGCCTCAATGGATCATACCGAAAGCGTACAACGTACGAAAGCGATTGCTCGAAAGCGTCAAACGGTGGCATCAGCATGCGCACGAGCATTATGATTGCTCAAAGCTTGGCTCAGACGACCCCCTTTGGGAGCCATACTTCGGATTTAAGCTCATTCGGGCACGGGAGAATTACTGTATGAAGACAGAGAAAATGACTGCAGATGCTCGGGCCTCGGAAGATCTTGGCTTGATATTCACGTATGTTCCGTGCCCTTGTCCTTGTTCCTTCGCTTGTTCATCCTGCCGTTGCTGACCATTTATATCAGGTCTACAACGAACGTTGTGACTTCTATGTTCTGGTTTGTCTTTGAGGCACTCAAAGATCCGGAACTATTAACACAACTTAAGCAAGAAGTTGCCGAGTGTACCGCGAAAGAGGGCAGCAACGTCCAGATCAAAAAGCTCACTCTGCAGCCTTTGTTGCAGTCGAATTATGCAGAAGTGCTGCGCCTTTACGTCGCCGTGGCTGCAAGCAGGGTTGCTGAGTACTGTGACATAAACGTTGCCGGTTATTCCGTTCCTAAAGACAGCTATCTGGTGATGTACAGCCGTAGTTCCGCCTTTGATTACCCCGGTTGGGAACGAGCGGGTAGAAGTCTCAAAAAGCCACTCGAGGAGTTTGATGCTGAGCGATTCTTGGTCGACGCCGACTGGGTGCCTCCATCACTTGCTGCATTGCGCAAGGCGGAAAAGACAATGGCAAGAAATACGACCTCCTCCACTCAGAAGCGCTTTAGTGTTGAGGGGCTCTTGGGCCTTTGGTATCCTTATGGAGGTGGAGACCATATTTGTCCAGGTCGCCACTACGCAAAACATCAAATTATCATCAGTTTCGCGATGTTGTCCGAAAAGTTTGACTTCGAGCTGCAGGATCCAGAAGCATGTACGGTACTACCAAACATGAGATACGCACCATTTGGTGCTCTTCCTCCTGTGGGCAAGATTCCGTTTCGTTTGCGGAGAAGGGATACCGTGCAGAAATAGTATGGAGGGAATTTAGAGAAGTTGTACTTTTTTTTTTGGGAAACTTCCTAGCAAGTCCCGGGTCTATAGTGCACATACTTCTTTTCCTTCATTTTCTCTTCCTTTACCCATTAATTTCAATGTGAATTATGTCGTTTGTTGCGAACCAAGGCAGTCGCAGTCAATTACAGTGAAATAAATCATGATAGTGCACAGGGTAGAAGTATAGAATGTATGTCGATATAAACTAAGGCGTATCGCAAAAGCGGAAGTTCCATGCCACGCTCAGACTAGTGTGGAATGACATCTCGCACAGCATATGCTATCACCATCCAATCTGACCTATCTTTTAGAGCACATTCTAATTCCCTTGATAGTGGCGCTTACGAAGAAGTAGTGTGATGAGGCCGTATCGTGGAATTGAAGGTATTATTGAGGATGATTCTTCCAGGCTAAATAACTAACTACTGTGCGCATAACCAGGAATCAAAGCCCTTTCACAAGCATAATATCGCCTTAATGAGACTGTGCACAGGTCTTCACAGTCATTAGTGATTGGTATCATAACGTGGTAGTCAATTTTATTGTCCATGATGCCCCCCCCCCCCCCCCCCCCCCAACCCCCAACAACAACAACAACAACAACAACAACAAAAAACCCCGCCACCCACCAGAAAAAAAAAAAGAAACAAAGGAAAAAAAGAAGCGAGACGAAAAAAACACGCACGAACACGCACACGCACACAAGCTCCTACAGGACAACATAACTAATCTTCCCAGGTACGTTCGACATGAGCTGGTTTGTCATTAGTTTTCTGGATATTAAAACAATATTGGTATGAAACTAACAAGAGCATAAGTGACGACTGTGCAGGCAGATAAGCCTGGGGAAAAAAAAAATGTCAATCTGTGTTGCAAGCTCGGGAAAAAAAAAGAGGTAGTAAAAACGCGTTTCACGCACAGGTTGCTGAGACGGGGTGTAACCCACAAGACTCTCCAATAACATGCAGAATCGGTAGAGCTAATGGCGAAAGCAGGATGTGTATCATCGCAATGAACGGAAATGTTGGGTTTGGTAGAAGACTGGGGTGAAGTGTATCGAGGTTGATAGCAAGACCTCGCACTCTGCTAGGTACAGCCTGTTGGAAATGCATCTTTGAAGACAACGATGAAATATTGAGCCTGGTTCTTTTGTCGAGTTTGCGAGCCCGGCAATGTGACTGGAAGAAGATCCTGTTTCATTCATATTCTAAAGACCATACGCGGGTTTGTCGCGTATTACTATTGATGCCGAGCGTTGGTTGGTCGGTCCGTTTAGCCGCCATGATATATACACCCCGTGCATTTGAGTACGACATTTGCCATGCATATGTCCCGTTATTTCTAGGCCTTCTCTGCGTCGTAATGTCATGCGATGTATGGAGTGTTCATGCTGCAAAGCACGCAGTTGCAACCAGAACGTTCCTGCAAACTTTATCAACGTAAACGCCTACTACATGACATATTTCTCGCCCCCACCGGCCACGGTCCGGGGGGCTGGGCCATTTCGGGCGGTACGGATCGCGACCTCTCTTCCCGAAGCCACCCTAGCATCTTGCGGCCTAGTTCATAGGGAGCGCGATGAAGAACTGCCGTGGCTATTTTTGGCCCGGCAGGACTGTTAATAACCAACAAGCAACATGCATTAATATTTGTTACGCAATTTTTGGTTTGGGGGCCATAAACCTGGCGCAATCCGGTTCCGCCCGCCCGAATGAGCACTGTGATCCGGCCCGCAGATGCTGAAGAGCTCTCGTAGAGGTGTCGAAAGGGAACCTTGAAGACAAGTGCCTAACCTTAGCTAGGTACGCTAACCGAGGTGATGACCACTGTGTACCTGTGATTGGCCCCATAATTAACCGCCAGGCCAACCCTCCAAAACCCATCGACTTGTTTTTGAGGATAAGGCTACGCGTCAGCATGTTAAAAATGTGCAGAGACTTGTCGGAAATCCATATGAAGCAGCGAAAATGCCGATTCCAATACTACGGTAATAATGTGTTAAGAGGACTACGCCATTGTGTACTCTGAGGTCGTGTGCTATGTACCTAATTTGTATTGATCGAAAGAAGGGGAGCTTCAGGTAGTCCCGAGGTCCATACCTACCTATAGCAGACCTAATAGTCTTATCTGCACCTGGTGGGGGGACAAGCCCTGGTTCAAACCGCATGAGAACTGGCAATTATCACGAGTGAACGAAGGGAAACGTCGGAAAATTCTCCCAGAATTGTAATACGGTAGTGGATTGATATTTTTTGTCTACAGCTAACTCCCTCGCGATATTCCTAATAAGAGTAAATTCCCCGTTACTCAAGGTGCAATACTCAGTTATAGTCTCGCCTCTTACATGTAGCACCAACCAGCCCCCCGTGCTACGACACGCTGGCTGGCCGCAGCTGCCGTCACAATTTCTATTTAGGGAGGGAAAAAGCAACCTCAAGTGTACTTTTCTGTTCGTCCACGTACCTAGCTTTATCGACAGAGCCCGAATTTATTCACATCCCTTCAATCATATCCTAGGTTCCTATTAAATCCAAGTATTATTACTAAATTACTACCGAATCTCTGCGTCTCTTGTTGGGTAGCCTTCATGCCTTGCACGCGCGACCTTTGAGTAGCACAATCTGAAACCCACTCCGCTAATGTGCTCATGATAATGCCATCATGCTTTAGATACAAACCTGGGTTTACGGCTAGTATGCATAACAAAGAACACCATCAAATCAAAGTTCTTTTTAAGAAAATTCGAATATGTAGAATTCACTGAATAGCCCCTTATATTGCTTCGCGTTATACGTCCGCATAGTGCCTCAGTTCACAGATACCACTCTATGCCGCGTTGGGTTCAAATGTTCCTTCTTCTCTGCCTTCCCACGCGTCGTTCAATCCAACAAGCCCTTATTCGATTACACTTTCTCCAATATAACGGCTCCCTTATCTACCTGGTGACAGAAAATTCAGCCTGATATGAAATACCTCCGTCGGGTTGTACCAGCCCATTGTCAGGGAGATCTCTGTAGCCATGGACCACAGGTCTGTATACATTTGTACAGGGAACGGGTTGATGGACTCCTTCATTCCTTCGGGATACCACAGGTTCAGCATCCGAGCCGAGGATGGCAGACTGAGATACATTGGGCTTCGAGTTGGAACCCAATTCAGCCCAAGTCTCTTTTGACGCTGGTTTTCTTGAACGAATGCGCGACATCATCCTGAGGCGTGATTCCGATGGAGTGAAGGCCGCTTTCTTCTGGTTCGATTGTGTAAAGAGCTGCGGGAACGCAGAAAGGCAGCAAACAACGATGGCTATCACGATAAGAGGAATATGTAAGTAAAAATCCGTGGAGTCTGGTTTGAAATGTTTTGATGATCGTGAAGCGTCAGAAAATGAGTGCTATCAGATGGGTACGTACCGACAGGTGGCTCGATGGCGCTCCATAGCCAAAGATATGTACTATCCAGGTTTCCGTCTGGTCGCCTGGTTAGGTTTATGGTGGCAACTCGCACGATGGCGATGACCATGGTGATTATTGAGAGCGAAAAGAGGCCAAGAATAGCTATCTTCTTAGATCGTTGAATCTGAATTCTCCAAAGAAGAATAGCCGGGAGAGACATAACTAGTGAACATCTTAGTGAAAGAACTTTTGTTTGGTCAAAGAACAGGGAAGGTATAAGGAGGATAATTCTTACTTAAGAAATCAGTGAAAATGTCCAGTGCGCAGTTCGCCTTTAGTGTTGTAACGACAAAGCCAATGGACGAAGCAGTATTGCATTCTTGGAGAATGGTCTCAACAGGGGCAATAAGGCACTTGTAATCGACATTACCAACAGAACCGAAATAGCTTCCCAAAGTCACAACAAGGACTGGCCACCAAATCCACTTGAAGAACTTGATACGTTGCCCTAAACGCTTGAAAAATAAAATAAATGCTAACTTGATCAGCAGAAGGGATGTGTAAAAGAAAAGCTCGACGATGAGCGATACTAGAAGCCATCGTTTCATATCAGGAAAGAAGCGCGTCTGATCGTATAGCTCAAGTCCCGCCTGCACGTTGAGAACGTAGTACATGGCAGGGGCACCCCATTGCCACAGTGCTCCAGTAATCACCACAAGGATGAAAGCAGCAATGACAGAAACATCATCCCAGTACAGTCGGTGCATACCTCGGAACCGAGCAAAAAGGCGACCCAAAAGTGTCAGCGCCGACACTGCGACTCCAGTCCATACCCCGGCCTTCTCAATGGTCAGCGTTGGTATGTTCATCGACGTAGCTATTTGATATGGTATGTTAACTCACTAGAAAACCATGATAGGATACTCCCGGTGGAGTGACCCCCTCCATACTTTGACGCGGGGCGAGATCCATTTTTTGATGTTGCCCGTTGGATGATATGGTGGGAAATGCCTTTTGGAGCTTTGCGCACGCAACAACAAAGCTTAAATTAAGTATTGATAAGTGTGTGTAGTTAGTATTTTTGCTTTGGAAGATTGAAAGGGAAAAATATAGCAATAAAAGGTTGCGGGGGTAAGCCTTCCGCACTGCGCCGACTTGGATTTTCTTCGAGAGGTTTTGGAGGATGCGTTCAGCTGTGTTAATTTCTTTCAGCATTTCAGTACATTGCAACTTATATGTCTAATATAGTGAAATGGCGAGCGAATCAGATTCTGTCGGACCGAAAAAACTCGGACGGGCTCGTTTTGCGAATAGAGTCCATAGCGCAAGCCAACAATCACAAAGCGCTTGGGGGCGTTATAAGTTTGGGCCATGTATCGAATGGATGTAATCGGGTACCGAAATGTACCTAGGTACTAGGTAGCTACGCGTAGCGGCTTTCATTGGTTTGCCTGATCCTGCTAGCTCGCAGAGACATCTCCTCATGAGGCTGTGCCGCAAAGATGCATTGCCGTTTGACAATGCCTACATACGTACGCGCCGTTCTACATCGCCCTCAAGGGTCTAACATGCATTATTGATTCATGCAAGAGCACATCATTTCTTCAAGTTGAACTGTGAAGAAATGCCCGGCCCCCATGTCCTGCGTTCGTGATTGCTGAATGACACGCAATCTGATTTAGCAGCCTTAAAACAACACAAGCCATGCATGCAACAAGCTGGTATCATTTGGTGTTGGCGGGAATTCCCGCCATGCGTTTACTCAAAATCTTGTTTTGTTTTGAGAAGGATGTTACTGTCCTCATGGCATCGCACCTACTGTAGAGACAAATCCTTGTTCATGTCGGTCCTTCAAACTAATGGCACTCAGTGGTGTCCTTTTGGGGGCCTTCGTGCCAACTGATCTTCCAGTCTTTGCATGGCTTCCATCAATGATCACATGCCATGTCAGTGTACTCTTTTGTATAACCCGCATGATTTCCAACTATAACGTTTTACGTTTTCTGATTTCGTATCTCTCATTCCTCAAGCCAACTAGTTCTTTTCTCATGAGTCTTCGCATCGGGCCACCACGCAATTATTCAAGTTCTCTCTGGTCGTCAATCGCCGAACTTACTTGGTATGCGCCTTGAATATCCCAACCTGAAACACCGAACATGTTGAAAGATCTTAAATATCTGCCTCTGGCCGTGACTGTTCCGTTTTTTCTCGGATGCCTTTATTCATTATGGCGCCTCTGGACATTCAATTTGCGACCTCTGCTTCAACCGTCCAAACCAAGAGAAGTACCATATTGGATACCATGTAGGTTATAATATGACGTAAACATAAGAATGATTTATTACAACAGCTAAATGAATTTCTAGTACTCGGTAGGGCACCATATCGTGTCATATTGCTTTGACGATGACTACGTCTCACAAGTAACAGGGCATACCGTTGGTTTCTTTCGAAATTATGCCGCGGTAATGGAAAGTGGACTGTGAGCTTTGTCGACAGTTCCATGTATCAGCGCGTCTTGCTAATACTTGATACCAGGAATTGCTTCGGCCGTGTTCGCGAACCCTTTGCTCTCCAGCTCCTCGGCAAGAAACTGTACATTTGTACGGACCCTGTTGACGTCTCAACCATCTTTGATGACACCGAGAGCTTTAATTTTGATCATCACTTGACCGATCTCTTGAATAGCTTTGGAATTTCGAACGATGCTCTGAGACGATCCTGGCACGTGCCAAGACCTGGCGACTGGTGCTTTATCCCCAACAACCCTGTTAATCCGAAGCAAAAGAGCTTGATTCACTGTGTGGAAGACATTTACAGAGCTCAACTTCTGCCCGGCGAACACATGAATAGATGGACCCAGAAATTTTTGAACTCAGTACGCGATTCACTATATACTATGGACAGTCTGGCATTCTGCCTCCAGCCAGGTGGTGCCGGATCATATCAAGGTCGCACACTTAGCAGGGTTTCTCTCTACTCTCTTGTTTCCTCTATTAATGTGCAGGCCACTGTCAACGCCATGTTCGGACCTCGCCTACTGAACATTGATCCTTTGGTCGTCCAGTACATGACGACCTTCAATGAGTACGTCTGGATGATTATATTTCGATGCCCTAACGTCTTTGGATCGCCTATACTTGCCGCTCAAAATAAACTCCTGGCCGCTGTGCGCACGTTTGTGCAGCTTCCAGAAGATCAACGCAAGGAGGCATCTTGGGCCATCACAAACACTCTAAAAGGCATGGAGATCGTCGGAATGGACCTTGAGTCTAAAGTATCCATGATACTCATGATCTTCTGGGCGTACGTAGGGCTTGTTCATTTCAGAACTATAACAATACATGGTTGGAGCTAACTTCATATATAGCGGTGTTTCTAACGAGCACAATAGCTGTTTCTGGCTTCTGACTCATTTATTATATGACGAGACACTCCTGAACCTAGCAAGAGAAGAAACAGAATCTGCTTGGCAGTCTGGACATTTGGACATCAAATACTTATGTGCAAACAGCCCAAATCTTGACTCCATTTTCAATGAAGTCCTCCGACTCAATAATACTGCTGCTGCTGTCAGAGTCGCGTCAAAAGACACGACTGTTGGAGGCAAGCATCTCCCAGCTGGATCGACCATCCTTATGCCGTTTAGGCAGCTTCATATGAATGAGAATGTATGGGGAACCGGTGTCTCGGAATTTCAGCCCTTGAGATTCCTCAACAGGAAGTCCTTGACTCGTTCTGCGTCTTTCAGACCTTTTGGTGGTGGGGCGACTCTGTGCCCTGGACAGACACTAGCCAGGCAGGAGATCTATGGGTTCATTGCTGCCCTCCTGCACCGTTATTGTGTGGATGTGACACTGGATTCTGTCGGGAACAAGCCACCCTTCCCGCGTCTGAATTCAATGACGCCATCATTTGGTCTCAATGGTCCTATCAAGGGCACAGATGTGTTCGTCTCTATCTCGGAAAAATGGTGATAACACGCAACAACATAGGCATGGGGATTAGCAGTTGTTTGAAGACATGGGTTACATACAAAATCTCCTCCTAAATCACACTGTCTCTGGAAGTAAACAACATTCGTTATGTGGCCAAAACTCCTGAAAATTATTCTGTAAAAGAAATGACGCAAGCGATGAAGGTTCGTGCTTCTGAATTACAAACGGCCTTAGAAGGGTGCATGCTGGCAGCAGTCGGACGATACATTAAGGTAATCACTAGCACTGACCAGAAGAGGGTAGACGTTTCAAGGAAACACGGGGTAAATGTGATCAGTATTGAACGCTAACGTGAGACTGAAGCCCCGATTGCCGACGCATTTGGTCGCGCCCCACCACAGGACTAGAATAGCATCTTCCAACACGAGTTGCGAATATCATGGCTGACTGCAAGGCGACTTGTCGTCCTCAGGTCTGCTCACCATTGAACCGCCGGCTATCTGGGTACCTAGGCAGGTAACTTACTACCTAACATACAATTTAATGTACCTACCTATGTAGGAACTAATGCAAGTTTGCAGTTGGTGAAATATTGACTGCGGACTTCGTGCATGAGTCCATCTAATGGCTGTACATCGTAGGGGTGCAAGGGTTGTGCGGGTGGCGGCGGCAGGAGCCGCCCCCCGACTAGCTCAACGCCTCAAGGACCCGAGATTGCCCCTAGTTACGTGCACCACTCGGCCCGCAAACCTGCAGTTCACTTGACGGGCATCTATCCTGTTTGCGCAAGCCGCATGAGCATATCAGGTTGCAACCAAGTATGTGCCTACCTAGTACCTATTTAGTACTTAGGTGCATTGATACCTGTTTGAGACAGCAATGCAACCCCAATCTACATGTGTGAAGCACCTACATATTGCCCGGCGGGTGTGTGATTAATTTTAATCCAATGCACAGCTTGTCCGGATATTTGCTAGGGAAGCTTCCAATGTTACCTCCAAGCTGCCGTATTACTATGATTTTCGGGGTTGGTTGGAGAGAGAATCCATCTCGTTCTTTTCTCTACTTTCCCTTTCCCCCATCACTTGTCTTGGTTATAGTAGACTACGCCAAACCAAAAATCTGGGAAATCCTTTTACTTGAGCTACTAGTTACCTACCTCACCATGCCTGAGGAAGCGGCGATTTCGGCACAAAGCCTGACCCCCGAAAGGCAGCTTTTAGCCTCATGGCGACTCACAACTGTTATTGGCAGCTTGTGTCTTGGTGTATTTCTCTTTGGTCTAGATGTCAACATCATTTCCGTCGCTATTCCACACATTACAACTGAATTTCAATCCTTAGCAGACGTAGCCTGGTACGGTTCAGCGTACATGCTCACACTAACTGCATTTCAGCCCATGTTTGGCAATCTTTACAAGTACTTCAATGCTAAAGTGGTCTACTTGACTTCGCTCGTTATTTTCGAGGGTATGCGATTCAGTACCTCATAACATCCCAACATTTCTTTACCCCAAGTCAATTCGAGAGCTAATCGTGACATCGTTTTATAGTGGGTTCTGCCATCTGCGCGGGCTCGCCGTCGTCTGCTGTGCTCATCTTTGGACGGTCATGGCTTGGTCTAGGAGCCGCAGGTCTCCTCCAAGGAGCTCTTGCTATCATTGGGCAAACTGTCACGATCGACCGAGTGCCCTTATTCCAGGGAATAGTCGTCAGCTCGATGGCAGTGGCTGTCTGCTGCGGGCCCGTCATTGGTGGCGCTCTTACACAATACACGAGCTGGCGTATGTAAACACATCCGAAGAATATAATTGATTTCATCACTAATGATGTGAGCAGATTGGTGTTTTTGGATGTGAGATATTTTGAGTCCTTCGCATCAATGACATTGGCAATGCATCTCTTCTGACACAGCTGCAGCAATCTCCCCGCCGGTGTGTGTGTCATCATCAGCGTCATACTCTTCGTACCCCTCGGAGAGCCCTCGCAGGATGGCAATAAAGCCTTGTCGCTGCGTGAGAAGTTGATGCATATGGATGCTCCGGGCCTTGTGCTGTTCCTGGGCGCGATGTGCTGCATCCTGCTTGCATTGACTTGGGGTGGTACTGTGTACTCCTGGAACGACCAAAGAATCGTGGGGCTCTTTGTTGGCTTTGGAGTAATGATGGTAATCTTTATTTACTGGCTAATCAGACAGGGAGAGCTTGCCCTTATCCCTGTTCGAGTGTTAAAGACACGTTCAGTATATGTTGGAGCCATATGCCTACTAGGTTTTGGCGGAGTTTCCGTAGTTGTAAGTCTCTAACGAGTATTCTGGGGGTTTCAACCACCGTTGAGTCTGACTTCAGCTACTAACATTTCCTTAGTACGGATACTACCTCCCCATCTTGTTCCAATCTGCACAGGCCGTGTCTACCACCGAAAGTGGGCTACGATACATTGCCCTCGTAGGCCCTCAAATAGTCTCCTTGATCATTATCGGAGGATTAGTCACCAAATGGGGGTATTACGTGAGTTACCATGATCCAGCTTCAGAAATAATTTGACAATTAGTTAACAAAGTCCCTTCCAGGTTCCATATATGGTAGCCGGAAGCGCCCTTTGCAGTATTGGTGCTGGCCTTCTCACAACCGTCACGCTCTCCACTCCCACCACACATTGGGCTACCTTCCTCGTCATAACCGGAATCGGTCTTGGTATGGCAGGTCAGCTTCCGTACACAGCTTTACAGGCAGTTCTTGCGTAAGTTCTATATCACATTACAAAGTCATCATTAATGCGAAATGACTGTTGACATTATCAGTCCTGAGGATGTTGCAATAGGGAATGGTGAGTCGCGAAGTGTCATACACAGTGGTGTTGAAGTTCTAACGTCCAAGCAGCTCTCAACGTGTTCTCATTCCACTTGGCAGGGTATGTGGATTTCAATTATCATTTTGGACATCTCCTCACATCCTTGTTGTTCATTGTGTAAACCTCTTTGATGAGCTAACTTGTTGAAGCGCTGTGGGAACTGCCGTTGGCCAGGCACTCCTGCTCGATGGGCTCAAGGTTGAAGTACCACGGTACACAGACGCCGTAACCGCTCGCGAAGTGATCCAAGCCGGTGCTACAGGTTTGGAAAACGTGGCCAAGTCCCCTGTGGTGCTCCACGCATTGCGTGCAGCATATGCTCAGGCGGTTCGCCGCACAATCATTCTTGGCCTTGCAGGTATCTGCTTGGTCGTCCCTATCTCCTTCGCGATGGAGTGGGTCAACATCAAGGAGGTGGCTGAGACAAGGCTCCGCTTGGGTGAATCTCAACAGCTACAATCCGAGAGCAAGGACCCTCACACTTCGGCCGAGAAGGTGAATGATGTTTAACTATGGTGCATGCAGACCCTGTTTACAACATTGTCAACACTAAATCATATGGAATTCATAATTTTGCCAAGTCCGTGATATGAGTCATTGTTGAGTTTGAAATGTGTGGACATGGCACTTACGCAAGGTCGCGCCAAGCACTCGGTGCTATATAAATGTGGATGCGCCTCTCTCTAGGACTGTTTTGTCACCACGGAGATCATCTGGATGCAGGTGATTATATTTGAGTCCGACTGTAATAAGTTTTGATCCTATTTTAGTCATTTTATGGTACAAAGCCTTATCTTTTGCGGTCAAACTCTCTTAACCAACAATTGTCCTATACATGCTCCAGTTATCGCCGCTCGTAAGTTAGATCCTCCGCAAGCCAAGAATGGCTTCAGGTCGCTAATGGAGCGCACACCACCTGCTAAGGCAAATATTATACTTGCTGCGCTGTAAATTCTATATATTGTACAAGGCGCCCCGCGCCGTTCCTCCCTAAACCTTTCGGTTTCGAATTTCAGGTTTTTACGTCTTTGTCTACCGATCACACGTTGACCGTTTGATTCTTGAAAAAGTTAAATCAACTCAACTCGACACGATCCCACCCTGTTTCCTATGGGAGCTATCTCGAAATAAGATGGGCGGGACGACTCGCGGCGATAGCCCGTCGGTCGTCTAGTCATACCCATTCCTGGTCTGTAACTTTCACGGCATACCATATGAAGAGATTTTGGTTTAGGATGGGGGTCGTCATGGCTGTAATAACAGGACTGCATCTCGCCTGCGAGGCCCTGACTACAAAGATGTTCGAGGATAGAAAAAGGTGCAAGTCCTTGACAAGCGGAGAGTCTTCATCCGAGAGCCGATTTGCGAGGTCGTCTTGATGAGCGGTGGGCTGAGAGTGGGCAGTGGGAATTCTGCCGCGTTCAGATCTCTTTTCGATGATATCTGATAGTCAGCATTTTCAACACATACGACCATAGGTCTTAGAGAACTCGGCATCCCGTCCGCTCTGCCCTAGATAAACTGAGAAGCGCCTGACAATCAGGCATTTGCTGTGCCGCACTGCGCCCCAGTGGGGATTGACCAGGTATCTTTTGTGAGTTAAGCTTAACTTGGGTGGCTTTATTCAACTCGCTAAGTGTAACCCTTATAATCAGACATGATACTGCAGAGAGTTGCCAAACCAAGCCCTCGAACTCAAGGCTATGTTTCGGTCAGCCACTAGGATTTTGATCCTATCACGATACCTTTTCCCATATTGATTTGTCATTACCGCGTTGGAGGGCAAGGCTCAGCTAGGCGGCAGTTTGATCCGTCATTCGAGTAATTTGTCCTATTTTGGGGGCTGCATACTAGGTATGAATACAGCGTTCACTATCTCCTGTCGGTCCCGATCATGCCTCCCCTGCTTCCACCAAGACTCCGTTCTCCCTTGGCAACTCCATTGCCTTTGCACGTCCACCTTTCTTTCCATCGATAAGCTCTACAGTTCAATTTCCTCACACTCACAAAACGATACTGGCGCACAACGGGATCTGAATTCCCCGCCGACAATATGAGCGCTGAGAGCCAACAATCTAGGCCACTTTTGCCTGATGGAAATGGCGCTTTGCCATCGGAACGGCCGATCCATTCGGACAACAAGCAGACACCTTCCCAGTCTCTTCACAAGTTGCAACAATCTCCATTATCGCATTGGCGACCTCCATACCTACGACGGAGAGTGCTGGCCATCTTTTGCGGCATCTTCATTGCGCTAGTCATCGCGCTGTCCGTCCTCTTGTCAGTGTCAAACAATAATACGGGCCTGGCGACCGGCTACCAGGGCGATCATTACCTATGGACCTATGGGCCGACTGCTATTCTTACCGTAATCGCAGCCCTGTTCAACCGGGTCGAATATCAAAGCAAAATGTTTGCTCCGTGGGAGAGCTTATCCAGACAGCATCCTGCGAAAGGAGTCGACAGTGTGGTCCTTGATTATAATTCTCACCTCCAGCCGGTCGCTATTCACCATGCTATCCGGAAAAGGCATTTCACCGTTGCGATTGCAACCACAGTCTCGTTGCTAATCAAGCTCTTGATTGTCCTGTCTACTGGCCTCATCACCTTATTACCAATGGAAGTGATCGATCACTCGTATTCAATGATACTAGAAAACGAGTTTCGTTACAGCAAAACGAGTAGCTTAGGCTTTGGCCCAGCCGGGAACGTCACATCCCCACTCTACATTATGCAAAGCCTCCAAGGAAATACTGGGGATCGCCTCGAGTTTGTGACTGGCCTATTTAAAAACTTTGCGTTCCCGTCATTATCTACAAATCTTCCTGCCGTCGCCAAATTTCGAGCCACAGTCGACGGACTGGAAACCTGGCTGGATTGCAATCCAGCCAATTTGACCCTGCCCGACTTTGGTGGAGATGAACGTGATTTTCCGGCAATTTATCAATATGCACCACGCACCGACATTACACTGACTTCTTCGGACTGTCAAATGACACTCTCGCTGAGGGATCCTCCCTGGGACGATGCTCCGGGACCAGACCAAAGAAGGTTTTCGCGTTTCGTCGAGCAGCAGTGCGATGGTACGACAGGCGATGCCGGCAAGCGCATGGCACTCGTGACTGGAGTTCTCGAGTATTTCATCAACGAGACCGCGCCAATTTCCTCTGACTGCGACAGCTGGTCTACGTGTCAAAACAACCAAACGTACCAAGATGCAATTCGGACACGGGGAAGACTATTGCAGTCGGCGCAACTACTTTGCAAGCCGGCATATCGCATTACCAAGATAAATGTCGTCGGAAACGGTACCTCCACTCTGAGTTTGGAGCCCGCGATTGGATTCCCCAACGTGACGCTTGTGACAGTCACTGCGTGGGACATTGCCACCGCCCATTTTAGGTCATATGCGGCCGCCGTCGACTCAGCCCCTTCGAAAGAAGTGCGAACGAACGACGGCAAGACGGTAGTAGATTATGACGTATACTCCAAGGGTATTATCGCCAGTCTCCAGACATCAGATACAGAAGTGGATTGGGTATACGACCAAGGACACATACAAGAGCTTCTTGACGCCTACTACCGGCAGTTTGGTGCCATAATCGGTCAGCAAATGCTACTGGAGCCCGCATCCATCCCGATGATTGGATCTGCCACACTCGTCAAAAATCGTCTCGTCGTGCAGCAGTGGCCTGCAGAACTGATGATCGGAGTCGTTGTTGTCTCTCTGCTTCTTACACTGCTGGCCATTTTGACAGTTCCACAGCATGGCGTTTTGCCTCGGAGCCCAAACACGTTACTTGGGACAGCAGTCATTGTTTCCCACAGTCCCGGTCTCTTGGCAATGTTACGCGACTTTGGAGATGTAGCGTCCCATTCCTTGGGAAAAACTTTGCATCAAGCAGTTTTCCATACCAGAATAATTGACAATCTAGCCGACAATGAGAAGGTATTTGCCATGATCTGGAACAAACCGGTTCGAGTAGGTTCAACCAATATGCCAAGAAAGATTGGCCAGGAAAAGTCGGACCAAAAGTATCCTCGCATCCTCCACCTGCTTCCCCGGCTGGGCTTGTTTCTTATTTTGTTGGCATTTACTGTTTCCCTCGAAATGACACTGCGTAAGTCCAACGTCAATAACGGTTTGGGAAGTGCCGGCGAAAATTCCAGCATACATTACCTATGGACAGCAATGCCTACCATCATATTTGGCGGTCTCGCTATGGTCTTCTCGTCCATGGACTTCAACACTAGGACTATAGCTATGTATTGGAAGCTGTCGAAAACAGTCACGACGGAGATCTTTGTGGAACTGGATTTCCTGGATGTTTCCATCCTGAGAGCAATGTACAGGGAAGCCAGATTTCGAAGCTTTGGCGCTCTAGCCATGACCACATTGATGCTATTTGCATCACTCTACACGATATTTGCTGGTTCGCTCTTTCAAGCAGTTCCATACCCCATGACATTTTCAACAAGCTTGCAAGTCAATGGTTCCATGTCAACAAACTCCTCTCTGTACACGGCTGCGGACGATGAATTCTTGCAAGATGTCGGCAATACAGTCTCATTGATCATGTCTGCCAATCTATCATTTCCACAGTTCACATATAAGGATCTCACATTCTCTCAGTTCATGCCAGCCATGCTTCCGACGACCAATTCGACATTTGATGCATCCACTGTTCCTATAACGGCAGTCATTCCGGCAGTCAGACCCGCTTTCGACTGTAGATTATATGGTCGGGCTGATATACAGTCCAAAGTTATTATGAACTACACGGCTGAAGCATCATCTGATAAAGATGCGGAAGGAAATCTGATTCCAACAAACCCTCTCGAGTTGATGATACAGGACGAGCAGTGCAACTATTTTTACAGGGATCCAAAGCAAGTGGGGGATCTTTTCAAGTGGAACTTTACGCTGGTTATCTGGGATGCCACCAACGTCACGTACTTTGGAGGAGGGTTTACTGACGATACTAAATGTAGCGAACTGTTATACATTTGGGGCCATCTCGGCCATCCAGAAGATGGCAACATCACGGTACAACACGTGGCGGCTCTGGGTTGCAACCAAACTCTTGAAGTTGTCGACGTGGATGTTCATTTTACTGGGGCTGCTCTCGAAATTGATTCGAAGAACCCGCCGAATCCCCGGGACGAATCAAGACGAAAAACAGCCGTAAAGGTTGACACAGCTGGTCTGTATGACTATCTTCCCGGCTCACCCCTGGATAATGATATCTACCTCAACCATTTCTTCAGTCCGCTCATTTACTCGCCCTGGGCTGTACCTTTGCAAATGCTTGGCAACGCTAGCAATGACAAGGATGTTCAAGATGCAGCACTCTCACAGCAAGGAATTCTTGTGTCTCAAATGCTCAACAAGCAGCGGGTGTATGGTAACACAACCGATATGATGCCCGGCCTCTCTTCTGAAGTGCAGGGCGCCAATGATGCACGATCATACAATGCGTCCGGCATCGACGCAACAAGCTCGAGACGCGTAGTGCAGGATCCAGTTTCAACGCACGTTCTCGAAGCGTTACTCATAGCATCGGCACTGCTGCTGATAGTAGCCTGGGCGCTCGAACCGAGGACCGACATAGTACCACGAGATCCGCGAAGCATTGCCAGTATGGCAGCTGTGATAGCTGGTGGCAATCTTCTCGACTTGATTCCCGCAGATGTGCAGCGCCTCAGCGACAAGGACCTGAAGGACGCGCTGAGACCCGACACCAAGTTTTGGCTCGGCAGGGGAGTTGCACCGGGTGGCAAGCCGCTTCTACAAGAAGATTCGGACGGAATGGACCGATTTGGATTATACGCAAGATAAGGATAACGCGGACGCAATTGGCAGAATATGATGATTGGAAAATCAATTAGTGGGCAAATATGGTGCAAAGAAGTTGATGAATGGGTAATCATGGTGGAAGAATATACAAACCATGCTATTTGAATAAGAGGGACTCGTAACTAATATTAGTGAATAATGACAAGTAGCATCAGCTTTTGTGTATTAATTTTAAATTGTAGGAAGAAATTGCCTACCTCCGAACCTGTAGTGCAGAAGCTAACTCATTATAGCAAAGCTATACTATTCTCACCGGGCAGCGCATTTCCAGTTCACAAGATTCTAAAGATCTTTAATATATAATATTGAACATATTCTATAGATTTCGCTATGCTATCATGGCGATATCATAATAATATCAGAGGTCTTTGTGTATAGAGGATCCCCTAAGGAACCCCATATTCCGCTCCCCGGGTTGCGATATCGTTTTTAAACCTGTTTTTAACTATAATTTTACATCTATTCGTCGCATTTTATTATTTTTTATATTAAATAAATTATTTCGACAAAGGCTATTTAACGGTATAATTTTAGGAGCGTAAAAATGCGAATTGCTTTATTAATTATAAAATGGCTAAAAACTAATTATATTTAAAAGGGTGCACCGGTATTTAAGGCATTTAATTAAGGCCTAAAACTAAATTTTAGCGAAATATACCTTATATTTTAATGCCGTTATAGCCTAATATTATTTATATAATTTTAAATAACTATATAATTATTACTTTATTTATTGCTATTATAAATATAAATTATTTTATTATTATAAATATAATTTACCCTATTATTATTATAAATATAATTTACCTTATTGCTATTATAAATATAATCCACCCTATTATTATAATTATATAAAGACTTTATACCTACCTTATTATTTACGGCGCTATTTCTAAATCTTTTTTGCTAATATATTTAGTATAATTTTGCCTTTTTTACGGTTTAATTATTAAGCGATTATAGCAAATAAAAAATATAAAGTAATAATATACCGGCGCTAGATTTCCTCCTAAATCTGCTTTTTTAAAAAGTAATAGTTTTTTTTTAATTAAAGGCGCTAGCGATAAAATTATCTGCTTTTTAAATAAAGCATAAATAAAATCCTAGCTATGCCTATAATTTAAAAAATAAATATATTTTAAATAATTTTAATAATAATACGGGGAAATAAGTATATAAGCGGGTAAAAATTACTAATTTATATAATAAGTATAGCCGCAATTATTTTAATATATATAGGTAACTATATTATAGCCGGCGCAAAAGCGGGTCTAGCAAATAATATAAATATACCTTTACGCGTAAATTATTTACGGCTATTTATAAAGCGTAAATTAAAGGCTTATTTTGCGTAGCGCCTATTAAAATTAAAGGTTATCGTAAAAATGCTATTAATAAATTTATAGCGAAAATCCTTAACTTCCTCGGCTATATTATTTATTATACGGGAAAGCCGCTATTAATTAATAATTATTTTATTTAGTAATTTTTTTACTTAAAAATATTACGCTTTATTTATTTTTATAGCTATTATAATAGCGGATGCTATAAATCGCAATTTATTTATTATAGCCGGTATAGCTTTTTTATAGCAAATATATAGCTATTAATATATTCGGTTTAATTAGCAATTATAATAGCGTACGCAAAAATAATAAATTCCTCCGATTTAAAAACTAAATTATTTTATATAAAATACAAAAAATAATCTTTTATTATAAAAGCCGTATTTTATAGCAATACGTCCCTTAATTAATTTAATAATTCGAAAAAGGCACCGGCGGCCAAACTCTTATTTTTAAGGCTTATAAAGGGTAAATTTCCTAAGCGCTAATAAATTACGCGCTATTAATTTAGCTATAGCCAAATTTATACCCGCAAATTTTTTAATAATATTACCTACGCCTTACTTATATAATAAAATCCAGCCTAATAAAAATTAAAATTAGCGTAAACGCGTATAAAAAGGAACGCTAAATTAGTTATATAATAGCTAATTATCTAATTATTAATATTTTATTACTTGGCGCGGCGGATTTAAATATAATTAGCAGGCGGATATATAGCGATCGATTTATTATTAAAATAATAACAAAATAATATCCGATTTAAACGTTTAATAATATATTCGAAAACGCTTAAAATTCTTTTTTTTAAAATATAAAAATAATATTTTTACGATTCGTTATAATAATATTATAATAAAATAAAAAAATATAATTATTTTTATATAAATATAAAATATATTATATAAAAATTATAATTTATAAATTTATATTAAAAATATAAATTTTAAAATGCTATATATTATTTAGCGATTAATATAAATATTATTAATAACTATAATTCCGTTAAAGAAATCGCAAAAATAAATAAAATAATATTTAAAAATTTTCGGATTTAAAGTAATTTAAATATATACCGGGTAAATTAAGGTAAATATAAAATAGCGAAGCCGGGTAAAATAATCGTAGGATAAATAATATAAAATAAATTAATTTATATAAAATTTATTTACGCTAAATTTATCGGCATTTTAAGCTATTATAACCTAAAGCAAATATATTACTTTATTTAATCGGATATTATATTTATTATAAATATTTTTTATTTATTTACGTTATATAATATTAAAAAGCATTTTTATTAAATATATAAGGTCCCGTCGCAATAGCTTTAAATTAAATTAATTTTTACTTATATTAAAGCTAAAAAAAAGCTTAAAGGCCTCCCGTTACTAACGCTAAAATAGCTAAAATGCTAAAGCGCCTATTAAATAAGCTTAAAAAATCCGATAGCGAAAAATAGCGTTATATTCCCGGCGCCCGTAAAAGTTAGTTTTCCCTTTATTTATTATTATATAAAATATTTTAATTAATTAGGCTAATATTTAATTTAATATTTTTTAAATTTTTTTACGTAGCAATTTAAAAAAAAATAATTAGCTAATTTAATAAAACGCTTATTATTAAAACGTAATAATATATAATTCGCTAATAAAAAATTAATTATAATACGCAAAATACCGGTAACGGCTTGCTTTTATCCTAATTTCCCGCAAAATTACTAATAAGCGGTAATAAGCTTAAATATAACTAATAAAAAATAATTATTTTTAATAATTATTGCACGGATGTTAATATAGCATCGTATAATGCATAAAATTAGCTTTATAACGCATATTATATCGTTATAATAGTTATAAAACCTATCGAGATATCGTTAAATAACGATATATAGGAAATCAGTGGAATTTACCCTATACTAACTTATAGTTAATATAGCACCATTTATAGCCATTATTTATAGTGCTGTATAGTTAATAAGTTATTATAATTAATTATTATGGCCATTATAGCCATTAGAACCTATTAGAATCTAATAAAACGTTTTATTAGATTAAGCCTTATTAAATATAGCTAATGCACCTGGCTATAGTAGTCTTAAGGTTATAGGGTAACCTATACTATAGAAATCTATAAATTTCGATAATTTCTTCGATTATAAATTAACCTTATTACTAATTAATTTAATTATAAATCTAATTTATTAATAATATATTTTAGAATATTTTTATTAATTAATTTTATAAATATAAAAAGTAGTTATTTTTTCGTAATTAGTTATTTTTTCCTTAAGCTTTAAAAAATTAGTTATATAGCCTTATAACTACCTTTTATAGCCTAATTTTACGAATTATATAAACGCTTCCTTATGCCTAAATTTATAATTTATTAATTATATTTTAAAATAGGTTATAAGCCCGGTCCGGTATAATATCGATTATATTAAAAACCGGACTTTATATTAAAAACTATAGCCGCTCTCTTAAACGAGTTAATTTAATATAAATTTTAAAATTCCGTTATAATAGCCGATTTTTTATAAGCCTATATATAAGCTTATATAAGCCGTAATTATATCGAAAATTATAATTAAATAGCTAATTATAATAATTTTACCCGTTATAGCTATATAACGGCTATAAAATTACTTATAACTAATCCCTATTATAATAGCCGATCTGCTATAGCACCCTATAGCACCTGCTATATTATATTATAACACCTGGATCCCTTTATACACTTTATCGATAAAATAAAAAAATTAATTTCTTTTATTTTTATTCTCTTAACGATTCCTTTACCGTTTTTAACGATAATTATACCGTTATAACGGCAAAAATTCGGCAAAATAAATAACTTTATCCGTATTATTGCCGGATACTAAATGCCGGAAAAATAAAAATTTTCCGGATCCGGAAACTAAAATACGTAAAAATCTACGTTATAATTATATTTTAAACTGCTAAAAATCGATCGGTTTTTTAAAATTACCGATATATATAACGGTATAACCGATATTTAGAAAACCTAGGCATTGCTTTTGATTCGTTAGAATTTAATAATAAAACCGTTAAATTTGATATTCGATAAAATAGATCCATATAAGGCCTTATCCACCTTATAATCAGCCTATTAAGGCACCGGTCCCGTATTACGTCAGTAATTATATCTCGAATTTCATACGATTAAATTCGAAAATTATAACTTATTAAACGAGTTTATATTTATTTTTAAAAAATATATTTTAAAGCTTTTAAGCGTTAGGGCAAAAATCGATAATATCGATCAAAAAACGATTTTTATTGCAGCCCTCCAATTAGCTTACCCTATATAGGCTGACCGTTAACGCAATACTTTACGGTCCATAAATCCACTTATTTTCGAAAGGTTAATTACGGATATTTTAGATAAAAACCGACGGGATCCGGATACGGCTATAGGAAATTCTTATTATACGGATAATAAAAAATCCCGGTTCCCCCGATCCAATCAGAATTAACGGGGAACCTAAAGCGGAAATAAAAAGAATTCGAATAAATCGAATAAATCGAAAAAATCGAATAATTCGAATAATTCGAATAAATCGAATAACTTAAATTCGACCATATTTACCACAAACCAAAAATCTAAAAAACG